TGTGTTCGTAATGCTGATACTTGTCCACCAAACTATAAAAGGGGCCAGACCCTTGAAATGTCTGAAATCCTAAAACTTTCCATAAGAGTAGTTGACAAACTCAGTTTTCCGTCGCGTCCTGATCTCTCGCGTCTTTCTAGTAAAGCTATCCCTGTAGCAGGTCGTGAAGGCCCATAAGGTTGTGAGACTTTGGGGCTCCCACATTATCTAGACAATCGGCTCAAAGATGGCGGTAAGGTTGTCAGCCTTACACGCCGGCCGCGCTTTATTCCCCAGGAAGATTATCAGTGCTGAGGTTAAAAGAATGGCGGAGCAATACCTTCACTCCTCCCTACGTCTTTATTGTTCGGTGATTGGCTAATTAGCACAGGGGCAACTTTACAAATACTCGCTGAAAATCGCCTGTAGGCTTTCCTGTTGTGCCCGGCTGCATACTGTGAAGGTGCCGAGTGGCGTGCACGCCACTGTGCAACTGTGCAACCTTGACGACTTTGTGTTGTCAGGTTCTTTAACCTTACTTCTACAAGCGTAGCAAAGCTGGCTGCATCGTTAGGAGCATTGCCCCCAACGCTTTGGGTCAGGGACTCCACCTGGAATTCACTTCAGGAACTCTGGGAAAGCAGTGAGGAATGTTCATGTCGCGTCGGCAGGATGTGAGGCCAGGTCGTGGTTATATAAATGGATCGTTTGTAGATGCAGCAAAGATGGTGAAATATTTGGTAACATCAGGAGAAAATAATATCACATTAAGTAAACTTGTGCCTGTATTTAACTAATTGGCACATTTAGCTCAGTCATTGCAGTGACCACATTGGGTTCTGTCCCCGGTAGGGTCTCTCTAGTCCTGTTTTGGTGCCTTCCTGCCTAATGGGCGTAATTCGCGGATAAGACGGCCGGGGTGTAAAGCTGACCACTCTCGCCTCCATCTGATACCGTCGTTAGGAATGCGTGGAGCTGTATAGCTTCACAGCTTGCTGCTTAATTAATTAAGCAGAGGAATAACTTTACCATTTCCATTGCATTTGCGTGTGTGCGGTTTCTTGAATCTCACGCCCAAGAACACCCAGTATTCACAGTAAGGGTGGGTACCGTGTACTTGCCGCCGAACAGCTGGGAAGTGTGTTGTGATTGGCTATCCGTACGAACGTACGCGTTTCTCATTGGGTATGTCTTTCCTCCGTGTTACCGCTTGAGCGGTGTTTTGGCGGCCGGCTGTCAGTCGTGAGGATCTCACTCACTCTGAGGGTTGTGACACCCCGCTTTGTGGACGCGCTGGTGGTTCTGTTGCCATGGTTTGGGATTCTGTTACGTCAGACTGCTGTGAGATCTGTCAGGGCTGCTCCAGGTAATACTGTAGGCCTTGTAGTCTGGTAGATGTTACCGACGTTTCGGAGGAACCTGAACGCGGAGACAACAGGCAACTCCAAAACGTTTGGTAACTGCTTACAAGTCTTCATGGACAACGCCGTGAGGACCTCTTGTCTTGCACACGTTACAGCATGAGTACTGATGGCACTGGGGTCGACTGTGTAACGTTCCTGGGTTCAGATCTCGTTCCGGAGCCCGGCTCTGCTGACTGTTCTCGTGGTTTTCCACATGTCCAGAAACAAATGCATGGGTCAGTACCTCAGTAAGATTACTGTTACACGTATATCATTGCAGTTTCTTTTTCTTTCGTTGTTGATCAGCAGACGTTAGTACCTGATCCTAGCCCTTTTGAGGTTGAAAGTGCTCTTGCAAAATTGAAACGGTATAAATCGCCAGGTAGTGATCAAATTCTGGCAGAACTTATTCAAGCAGGAGGCGAAATGTTACATTCTAAGATCCACAATCTAATTACTTCTATTTGGCATAAGGAAAAATTGCCTGATAAGTGGAAGGAGTCTGTTATTGTACCAGTTCACAAGAAGGGTGATAAAGCTGACTTTAGCAATTATCGGGGGAATCAGTGCTATCAACTTCGTATAAAATTGTGTCCAATATTCTTCTTTCAAGGTTAAGTCCATATATAGATGAAATTATTGGGGATCATCAGTGTGGATTTCGACGTAACAGATCAACTACAGATCAGATCTTGTATATTCGTCAGATATTGGAGAAAAAATGGGAGTACGATGAGGCAGTACATCAGCTATTCATAGACTTCAAGAAAGCCTATGATTCAGTTAGGAGGGAAGTATTCTACAATATTCTGATGGGGTTTTGAATACCCATGAAACTAGTTAGGTTGATTAAAATGTGTTTAAACGAGACGTATAGTGAAGTCCGTATAGGTAAACATTTGTCTGATAAATTTCCTATCCAGAATGGCGTAACACAAGGAGATGCTTTATCCCCACTGTTTTTCAACTTTACTTCAAAATATGCAATTAGGAAGGTCCAGGGAAACCAGGTGGGACTGAAATTAAACGGGATACATCAGCTGTTGGCCTATGCTGATGATGTGAATCTACTGGGTGATAATGTAGATACCATAAAGAAAAACACACAAACTTTAATTGAAGCAAATAAAGAGGTTGGTCTGGAAGCAAACACAGAGAAAACTAAGTACATGTTGCTGTCTCGTCACCAGAATTCAGGGCAAAATCATGATATAAAGATAGGAAACAGATGTTTTGAAAATGTAGCACAGTTCAGATATTTGGGAACAACGATAACAGATCGAAACCTGATTCATGAGGAAATTAAGAGGAGATTGAACTCGGGTAATGCTTGCTACCATTCAGTCCAGAACCTTTTGTCTTCTCGTCGGCTGTCCAAAAACATAAAAATTAGAATATACAAAACTGTAACTTTGCCTGTGGTTCTGTATGGGTGNGGAGGCGATACGTTCCTCCGAAACGTCGGCCAAAACGAAGAATACACGGCGCCTAAACCGAGAAGACGATTTTCTTCATAGTCATCGCCGTAAAAACCTCAAAACTTACATAGACTGAGGGTGTTTGAGAACAGGGTGTTGAGGAGAATATTTGGACCGAAGAGAGATGAAGTGACAGGAAGTTGGAGAAAACTGCATAATGAGGAGCTTCATAACTTGTACGCTTCTCCAAGTATAATTAGAATGATCAAGTCAAGGAGGATGAGGTGAGCAGGACATGTAGCACGAATGGGGGAGACGAGGAATGCGTATAGGATATTGGTGGGAAAGCCAGAAGGAAAGAGACCACTGGTAAGACCAAGGCGTAGGTGGGTGGACAGTATTAAAATGGATCTTAGGTAAGATGGGATGGTATTGATTGGATTGATCTGGCTCAGGATAGGGAACAGTGGAGGGCTCTTGTGAACACGGTAATGAACTTTCGGGTTCCGTAAAATGCTGGGAAATTCTTGAGTAGCTACAGAATTTGCGGCTCCGCCAGAAGGGCTCAGCTCCATGAGTGAGTAAGTTGATCAGCAGTCCCACCGTTCTTCGCTGTACAGTCAGAGCTACTTGCAGTGTCGTTAAATAAGCACAAGTAACAAAGTAAACTTCGCCTGAGGGTACGCAATGCCTTCAGTAGTGAGCCTGACGGAAAAAGTGCCCCTTGTGTTCAACGATTTGGTGATTTTGGTTCCCTTATTTTGCTTAAAATAGAAAGCAGTAACTTTCCGATGACGTAACGGTACGTCACGAACAGACGTAGACGCATTATCGGAGATGTTTTTGACACAGTTTAGAGAATTTTAATAGGCAGATGATTGCGGTGCTTGTGTACTCTGTAAGGGCTGTAAATCGGGGCTGCACCAGATAGAAGAGCGACGCCATAAATGTTGGCAGCATTGCGCTTGCGCCATGTAGCTTGCTTTCCTGAAGTTCAAATATTCATATTGCTGCTCTAGTGCAGGTCATCTCATTGTGTAAACCTGCATAGACGTCATTTTATGCAGTCCGATGCAAATGACCTCACGGTATGGGATCAGCTAATGATGGCGTCTAGGATTCGAGTCCCGCATGTTGAGACTGCGGGTGTCTGGTATGTGACGCCGTCTAGTCTCATTAATGATACCAACTTTTCGGAGAAATTTATAGCCCTCATATTAGTGGTATATCAACAGGATCTTCCGAAACGTCGGTAACATTCTACCAGAGTACACGATGTCATAAATCCTAAGATCACGATGTAAATTTTCACCACCGGAAAAAATCTTGTTTCGTACCTACGTACATTTAGCGTAAGCAGAGCAGTGTGTGTAGGTCTCAAGCAGTTTCCATGGAAACGAGACGCAGAAGTGATGTATGTAACAGTTTACAGTGCGTACCAAAGATGCTATGAATCGAGCGAGCAGCCTCAAGGAAATGTTTTCGTTGATATTTAAGTCGTTTTAACATACAGGAGAGGGAGATTGGAAGGAAGGAGGGAAGAAAAAAGGGGCACAAAAGCGTATATAACAAACATTTTCCATTGAAATTTCAACGGGCATTGCACTTGTGGTCGTGTAGCGAAATAGATTGTAAACGTTAGAATGGTTAATGTAATGTTCTGTGGCCAGATTTCTTTCTAAACCAAAGGTAAAAAAGGTAAAGTTTTCCCTGTGCTTAACTAATTAAGCACTACGCTGTGAAGACGTATGGGGGAGTGGATGTTTGGATCCACATTCCAGGTCTCGGCACTAGTTGGAGGTGAGTGTTGGGCTCCACTTCCCGGCCGCTTTACCCTCGGGGAAAGAGCTCCAGGTGTCCATAGGATAGGAGACTGCGTGGGCCCCAAAGCTGGTCTGGACGACATGGAGAAGTGAAAATTCTTGCCCCTACCAGGACTCAAACTCCGGCCCCTTGTCGCCCAGCCCGTAGCCAGTCGCTATACCGACTGCGCTGTCCCTGCTCTCACTAGAAGGCACCGGTAACACACGGCACAGTGAAATATAAGAGGCATCAAATTTTGAAGCAGTTGTGTTGCTTTTGTTAGTTTTATTCGCGTGTGGGGGGACTCCCAGATGTGTCCCCAGTGACACTTGCTGTTCCTTCCTTCTCAGCGTTATGCTCCAGGGTGCTAATCCGTTCTAACGTTTGTGTTTTGCAGGTTGCTGAAGAACACCATCAAGCTGCCGAATTCAAACGGTGGGAACGTGAGCCGATCACGGGGATTCTCCCGCCGTATCAATGTGAACATGCCGGCATCGCCCCACGGCACAGCTCATAATGACAAGGAGAACATGGGGTGTGGGGGAGGCGCCCCAGCAACTGTGACTCCAGAAGTTAACACGCTTCCCTTTGCACAACACCTTAGCAGCCCTTCGAAGGTGAGAGTCGTGAGGTTGTGCACCCGTAGCTCAAAGTGGGAGCCTCTGCTCTGGAGAGTGCTTGTCATATCATCCACATTACTCGCGAGCATAGCGAGTAATGTGGACGCGCCTTTAGAAGACTGAAAGATTGTCTGTTCCTGGCTGTGTAGCTTGTTATGGTGTCGCAAATTAGGTCATCTGGTTTTCACTTCTTCAGATTTTGCAACAGTGATTCTTTTGCAGAAGAAGGTCAACAGCCTTGTGTCCAGCCTCCCAGCCTGGAGGCTCAGCGCTCTGTATGTCCACCAGTGACATGGTAGCCCACTTATATATACCCCCTAGGCAACAGGTTCGCTTTTCGTTGCCATTCTGCGACTTGAATGGCTACAGTGGAGGTATTCTAACCTGCCTCCACATGGACCCCCCCCAACATACGCTTTAAAAATAGGACCATTCAGAAATAACTAAAGTAGGTGTCAGCGAAGGTGATTTTAAAATAACATCAGGGTATATATTGTGACATGACTGTGAAAACGGAAGGCTAATTGGATTGGTCATATCTTACGCGGTAACTGCCTTGTAAAAGAAGTTATAGAAGGAAAGATAGAGGGGCGGATAGAAATGACCAGAAGACGAGGAAGACGTAAGAAGATGCTGGATGACCTTGGGGACAGAAGAGGATATTTTCATTTGAAGGAGAAAGCTCTAGATCGCATCAATTGGAGGAACTGTTTCGGAAGAGACTGTGGACCTGTCATCTTGACAAATTACAGATGAATGAATGAATGACTACTTAAACACCCGTTGCTAGGCAACGGCTCGAAGAACATGTGTCTGCGCAGCCCTGCAAGTTGTAGGAGGAACCCAATGTTTGGGGGTATAACTGGGACTGTTCCTGTGGGATATAAATATGGGGACCTGTCCCTCCAGGTTGGGGAGTCTGAATCTGAGACAATAAATAGTAGTCATGAGGCCTTCGAGTTTCGGACCTGAGGATGGCTGTGCCGGTGAATGCCAGCGGCAATTGTAAACGACAGACCCATCCCCTCATCAGAGAAGATGTTGCGTGCGGCCTATAACTGCAAGTGTTAAGTTGAATTAAAATACTGGTCGTGGGTCTCAAGGAGTTTGGCACTGAGATGGACTGATTGGGGTAAACCGCCAGTTGTAAAGTAACTCTGGCTTTGAGTTAGTCATGGCTTGGAGTTGACATCGTGACTTAGGAAGCAGAGGAGTGGTGCAGTCATAGAGGACTTCGTGAGCATTGTTACAGTGCATTGATTCCGGGCGTGTAAATCAGTGATACTGTTACAGTTATTTGTAGTTACAAGTGTTCAGCAAATGTAGTTATCAATCAGAACCCCATGCCTAGTCCCTAACACATTGCAGCTGGTGTTGAAACTGGGATTGGTTAGACTGATTGATTGGATTGAACTTATTGTTGGATTAAGGACTACATTGGATAATAAAATGTGAAGAACAACAGAACGTGTGCTGGTTGACATAAGAGGAGTGCAAGATGTGGAAACTGACCACGGAGACAAAGGCCATCCAAGTAGCGATGGAGGCCACAACAAAGACCGGCCAAGAAGAAATGGAAGTCCGAATGAGGAAAAGTGGAGACTGGAGTAAACTGCATTTGATCTGAACTGGAGAAGTCCATAAAAATCGGGTGGAGAACGTCCTGATGTCTTCAATGGATCCAGGGCCTCCATGAAGGACTCAACACAAAGACTGAAGAAACCCAGCTGGTTTACTTCAAGCAATAACGACGACAACCCTCAGTACACAGACCAAGAAGGACCTCCATGGTGAGTTCCACTGTGAGATAGAAACCACACGATGCAAGCTCGAAACACGACTAAAAGAAGTCGAGGCCCAAGTGGCACAGGAAGTTCGTGGCAGTACAGGAACTGACGCCAATAGAGTAGACACCAGAGTTATCACTCTGTGCTGTGTGCCGTCACCAGTTTGAGGCCGCAGCAGGACACTAAGTGGGCACCCTGTGCCACGTCTCCGCTTCCTGTCTTCCAGGGCTGGGCTTCCTATAGCCTCTACGGAATCCTAAAAAGGCGTTGTAAGAGATCATCTTGAGCACCCGGTCACAGTGTACAGCACTCAGCCGAAAACAAGGTTCCAAATCATTGGTGAGCCCCCAAACAGTTCACTCACTGTGCCTTTCCTGCACTAAACGAGAACCAAGGTCGTATCCATACCAACGTGATATTTGTCGACGATGTATAAGAGACAGGCAAAAATCAGCAGCTACTTCGGGGAGGCAAGAAAACAGCGGGCCCTCAGGCTTATCAGTACATGAAGGCTTGTGAGGAAACCATATGGGTCAAGGTGAAATAGATTCCTTACGTTTGGAAACTTCCACTGTTACCATCGGCAGGGATTAACATGATCATGTTCCTTTCATGATTGAAGAGCCAAAAACCCATTCCATCTTGGCATGGGAAACTGCCCAAGATTGTGTTTGTAATCTTATCTGTTTTTGTCATTGTTTCTCACTCTTTTCCTCTTTCTGTTCATTCCAGTGCTTTTAGGCTGCCTTAAATTTGAGCTTCTTTGTTCTCCAAACATTATTCTGAGGATGGGAATGGATGTAACAGGCTCAGGCTCATGTCCAGTGGTGGCCTTTCTCATTAGCAGTGTTTGAACTTTACGTTCTGCGGTAGTAGCGTAGTGGTTAAGGCACTATGCTACAAGCCGGAAGGTCGTGGGTTCAAGCCCCAATGAGGTTATTGAATTTTTTTCAATTGACCTAATCCTTCCAGCTGCAATATGGCCCTGGGGTTCACTCAGCCTCTAACAGAAATGAGTACCAGGAATTAATTAAATAATTTTCCTGGAGAGTAAAGTTCGGCCGGCGCATAAGGCTGACAGCCTTACCGCCATCTATGAGCCGATTGTCTAGAAAATGTGGGAACCTGAACATCTCACAACCCTATGGGCTTTCGCGGCCTGTTACAGGGATAGCTTTACTTTTTTCTTTTTTACCAGAGCTTTAATTAGGAAGGTATATCTGAGGGAAATGAGCCGTGAGGATGGAAGGTGAATGGAACTGTCCAGTGGTGTGCCATACTAATTAGTTCTTGTTTATTTTAGTTTGCAGTGCTGAGGCAGACTCCAAGCCCTTTGCGACAACGACAACCGCTAGAAGACCAAGACCCAAACTCGCAAGACAGTGGCTATGGAGCTTTCTTGGACAAAGATGAATCAAAAGCTGGGTTTAGGTTTGTGGAACCGAATGGGGTGGCCCCCAGGAGGTATCATTCGGAGCAGTCGCAGTCACCAAAGAAGGACATATCTCCCACCTGTTCTCCTCGTAATAAAGCCAGTGGACATTCGAACCCACTTCTCTTTCAAACTCTGTCATCTGGAAGCGAATCTCTGGATGAAGGTTTTATGGAGCTTATGGATCTGGAGAAAATGGTGAGATAGGTTTTTGCATACAGTAAGAGTGTTGAGGAGTGCAGTCACATATTTGTTATAAGTAAGTTATTTGTCTAGTAGACTCTAAAGGGTTCTGACACTGGTGCGTAACACTCAGAATTACTGGGTTTTTGGACTCGGTCCATGGTCCTGTATTCTAAAAACTAGAGAGCAGAACTGTACTTCTTTGGCTTATTTTGGACTTCATCCATCGTCTGGTATGTAAAAGACAAAAGACCATGACGTTTCGGAGACTGGATCTGTCTCCGTCTCAGTTGGGCCCGTTAGAAAGAGCTAGTCTCAATCACTGGACCAAATCCTTTCAAGTCTGTCTAGAGAGCAGAACGTTTCGGAAACCGGATCTGTTTCTGTCCTCAGATGAAGATCTAGACTTACATCCAATGATTGAGGTCACCTCTTTCTAAGGGACCAAACAGGCGTGTTTCCCCCCTCACCTGAGGAGGGAAGTTACCTTTCTGATCACACCTATAAAACAATGAATGTTTTAAGTTAATAGCTGATATACGTCTTGACACACGAATGTCTCTGCTGAACAAATGCTTGTGGCAGCTTGAGGAATCTGATAGGTTGACAGGTGGTGTGACTGACAAGGTTGGTCACACTGTGCACACAGCTTCTCCTAGCCTTTTCCTTACTCTTTAGAGCCCAAGTAGTGCACAGGAAAGTGCACCCCTCATTTAGAAGGGCAACATGGAGCAATTGAATTTAAATAGTGTTTGAAGTGTCAATGGATTTTTTGACACATTGATTCAAAGTAAGAATATATTTTGGCATATTTACAAAAATTTGCCTCTTATTCATGCCATGCCTGGTGATCATCCGTTAGAATTTGTTATTGGACAGTTTTATTAAATTTAGTAAACCCTTTCCAATTTTCGCTATACTCAGACGTCGGTATGAAACACTGTACTTGAATACCATGCATTTTCTTTGCTCTTCTCAGACAGTTCGCACATAAATTGCTAAATACTTAACTGGAGTAAGAAATGTTTTGAACAAAATTTGTATAGTAAAATGGAACACACATTTTAAGCCCAGTACATCGTTTTCACGTTTTACGGATTTTGAGATGATTACGCAGAGATGAGCCACCAGGACTGTGTCCCAGTGCCTTTATTTGTAAACTTGTTTTATGTAATGCATGGATAAACATAATGAATATCAGAACGTTTATTCAAATGATGACGTATTTATGCGAAGTAAATGTGAACAATTCTTGTTCTTTAGGATGAGACTGCACATCTTCCTCCAAGGCTATATAATCTACTCTCGGGACCTGTCATCAAGGAACCCCACACATCCGCTAATCTGTCATGTTCTTCAAAAGAAGAGGTGTCAAGGCCGACATTTCAGTACAGCTTCTCTCTGGGGGACAACCTGACACCAGCTTCAAGCAGGGTAATTTAACAGAATGTGGTGGTTGGACTTTGTTAAGGAGACAGCATGTTGGAACTGAAGTTATAAATTTTATTTGAACTTCAGACTTGAAAGTATTGATGGTGAACCTCCCTATATTTTTCACGCAGGCCCGTCATTCCTTGTTCAAGCCGTCACTTTCACCGTCTCCTCAGGAACAAGAGGAAACTGTCGGGCATGTTGCACTGGAGCCCCTACGTTCCTTCAAGCGCCCTGACCCACCGTGTGACATCGGACACCTTCCATCAAAACGGCGAAAATCAAGCTCTTTCCATCTTACGCAAGAAACTCTACAGACATCCACCTCGCTTAGTCTCGAACGAAGCTTCTCTGAAACAGAAGCTACCATTAAAAAGGCATTGCAAAGATGTGAGTATCTTTCATTGTGGCCACACAGTTCTTACCATCGTGTAACTTGTCTTGCAGAATATTGCATATGTTTTAGCAGATTGGAAATGGTTTGTAAGTAAGCAGTCATGGAAACACCGAGGAAAACCACAGAAAATCTCAGGTGGAATAGCTGGTGTCCTGGCTGAGATTTGAACTGGGGATCTCCTGAATGCAAGTGTGGAGTGTTCATTCATTCATTATTGGAGGGGGTGGGTTTCCCCACGCACCGCGACCAGTTGTTGATCTATTGTACATCCCCCCTTTGATATTCTACCAGTTGCCATACCCTTCTGGTACTGGTGCTCGCCCTGTTCAGCCAGCGAGTTCGGCCCCTCTACTAGCAGTGGTACTCGATACTTCCCCCATCTACCGGAGGCATTGGAAACTACTTGGGCGGGAAGCTTTTTACCTAATTTTGCTCAGAGGTCTCCTAGAGACATGAGGATCTTTTACGTGCCATAAATCTACGACATGGGACCCACGGCTTAAAGTTTCTCCCAGAGGACTTGTTCCCTGAATTTTTCTGCCCTTATAATCTGAGCATACCATGACATCGCCTTTCTTATGGATAGGGCATACAGTACTTAGGTTCCATTCCTCTGGGATTATTTCAGTTACCCATATCTTACCCGGGTTTGAACCCGCGTACCTTGAGTCATGAGGTGGGAACTTTACCCCTAGACTACGGAGGCCGCTGAGTGTGGAGTGTTACTGTTAGACCAACCTGCTCATTACTTTTCAAATTATGTTGCTTTGTATTCACCTGTTACTGAAATGTATCATACATTGCTTTATTTGTTGCTACATTACGAGTGTGTGTTCCCGAGCTTCAGCAGGAAGCCAGAACCGTAATATTAACATAGAGCTGCAAGAACAAAGGCGTCTGGTCCCACTGCAGGTTCCATTGGCATTCTGCTGTGAATGTAGTAATGAAACTTTGAAATCTGTAAAAAAGACAGGGAATTTCTTGACCAGTCGAGAGACGGTTTAGCTTTGTAGAGAGGACTTCGCTTCATGTAGACAGTCACTCAGCCAGTTAATGTCTTTACTTCTTTTGGACTTCATCCATTGTCTGGTATGTAAAAGACAAAAGACCACGACGTTTCGGAGACTGGATCTGTCTCCGTCTTCAGGTGGGTAGGGAAGGATACACCTACTCAGTTGGGCCTGTTAGAAAGAGCTAGTCTCAATCACTGGTCCAGTGATTGAGACATGGCGTCATGTCCCAGGACTTCACATTCTTGCAGATGCTGTAATGCAGTAATCAGAATGTTCAATTCTCTTGACAGCTACGCAGATACCGGACCTGATTGGAGATTTTAGCAAGCCGTTTATTCTGCCATTAATGGAGGGCCGACACCAGGATCTCAAGACTATATCCGCGGATACCTTAGCTTCCCTTCTGAGTGGAGATTTCAGTGATGAAGTGGAATCCTATGTTGTAGTCGATTGCCGGTAAGAATTGTTGAGGCTGCATTGTTTCATTTTGCAGTTCTTGCAGTGCAGTGTAATTATTTCTGTATTCAGTTATGTAATTAAGCTTGGGGGGGGAGGTTTATCCGCACCATTCCTGAGGTCAGCACTAGATTGAGGAATATATTGCTTCCATCTTCATCGTTGGTGAGTAAGCCTAGAAAGAAATCGCTACAAACAAGCAGAGCTCTGCTTGCTGCTGAACTGAAATTGATTCTTTCAGGGGCCTGTACTGGCCCTCCCTCACCATGCATTACTCTTCTGCCCTGATGATGGAGGCAACAGGTTCCTCTGAAACATAATGATGCATTGGACTAAATGGTGTCATATTCCTGAAGATTTAATATTCACAGTTACTGCCATAAGAACCTTAGCTCTCATGTCACTTGTATTAATCTTAAATACATAATCACCTGATGTGATCAGTTTGCAAGTGAGCTAATAAAAATTTTGCATCATCATATGGTCACGAAGGTTCTTCCTTACCTTTGTTGATCGGTGCACCGCCGGCTGCGAGGCACATAAAAATTTTACCAATGAATCCATACGCCTGATGGCCAGTAGCGTCTGGAATTAAGGGAAATTATTAATTTTGTGGACTGCTTGATGGCATTATGTTTCACGGTGACCATTGCAGTTAATGCATGGGAGTTTGTTTATGATTTGTCAGCAGTAGGTAGCAGTTATCAGCTCCATTAGCTGTTTGTTCTCAGTTACAGTTAGTGAGCAGTGTAGTACATCATGGCGTATACTTTGGAGCGTGTATTTCTGTATGGCACCTATGTGATATATGGATCCGCTGGAAAGTGTCAGCAGAAATTTCATGATGAAAGAATTTCCAGCAGACAGATAATTCATAGTTTGGAGAATAAACTTAGATTAATGGAACAAAATCATAAGCGCCGAGTGCTTACTGAGGAGAAGTTAGATGACACAGGGGCCAAACTTGAACATACACCTAGAAAATCACTGAAACGTCTAGCTCAAGAGGCTGGAGTGTTAAAGTCTAATGCAAGAAGGGCAACACAATTGCTGAAACTTAGATCCTATAAAACAACAGTAATATGTGCCTTGCAGCTGTGCGATCCAGCTAGCAGGGTTCATTTTTACAGTTGGTTTCTACAGTTTTTCAGAAGATAGGCAGATTTAGTGCAATGGGAATGTGTTGTTGGAAATAATGTACGTAGATGATTTGTTGTAGGAATGTGGGCCACTGTTAGATATGCTCCTTCCACATGTTTTGAGAATTAAAAGCAAAATATGAGGCAGTGCATGAATTTTACATCAAATTCTGTTTAATTGCAGCTATCCATATGAATACGACGGAGGACACATCAGAGGAGCTAGAAACATATATACCAAAGAGCAGATATTTAAAGAATTTGTGGATGTCAAACAGCCAGAACAGAATCTGGATGGAGAATCATCACAGCAAAACGAAGCATCATCGTCTAAAAAGCGTAACATTTTAATCTTCCACTGTGAATTTTCGTCAGAACGTGGTCCCAATCTGTAAGCATTCATTTATACTGAAGTTGCTCACAAATCTCTTCTTTCTTTGCACAGTGTTTATGTCTGATTTCTTGCCCACTCTGTCGTCTCTCGATGTTTTTTAGTGCCTGGCTGAACCATCTTGTTCTGGGTCTCTTTCCTTTACATTTTATTGTGTTGCTCTTCTTGGTACATTTACTCTGTTTGTTATTTTTATGTGGTCGAACCACTGTGATAATGTTTTCTTTTGAAACTCCTAGTAAATTTTGAATTCCAATTTCTCTAAAAATTTCATTTCTAATTCTCTCCCTTTGTGTTTTCCCTCAGTACTTTTCAGAGTAATGTGTGTATCCTTTGAATGACACTAGAATGGTATGAACGCTTGAACAAATTCTGTGCGATCCCCATGCCAGTTACTACATTACAAACAGCTTTTCTCGTTACCTGACACCTAATGTTACAGTTGGATGACTAAACACCAGCACTTCATAGTCTGGAGGTGGCAGGTTCATCAAATCTTACCAGCAGTCCTGATCACATTTTCCCGCTGTTTTCATCAGTCCCTCCAATTAGATGCCGCAGTCACTTGGTTTTATAAAATTCAAGGAACTGAAGTGTGTATGTTTGCTAGGGCTCTGATTTTATCAAAGCTGTTGCTGTGTCTTTTCTTGGAGTATTGGTGCTAAACCCGGAAAGCTGATATTGAGTACATAGGAAATTTGTTGTTAGAGAATTTGGTCATGGATCCAGAAAGTTTTTATGAATATGCCGTTTGTGGGTTTTATCAGGATCACAGTCTCGTGGGATGTGATGCCTTGTAATGTAATAGATATGTACCAACATTTTGGGGGCACTTCATCTGGAGCATTGGTGCATTAGCTACCAAACTTCATGTCATCACAACCTGTTTTGACACTAGATCCAATGTTGGTTTGTTGTTTCATGTTGAATGGAATCTGATTTTGTGGCGCAGGTTTCGGTTTCTGCGCAACTCAGACCGGGACTGGAATAAAGAATCGTACCCAACGCTGAACTACCCAGAGTTGTATCTGCTGCACGGTGGTTACAAGACTTTCTTTGAAAAGCACAGGGACAAGTGTGAGCCTTGTGCATATCTACCGATGCTTGACCCGGATCACGAGAGTGACCTGCGACTCTTCCGCTCCAAGTCGAAGATGTGGAATGCGGATAGTAAGAGTCGTCTGGCACTGCGCAGCACTCTCAAGCGCCTAGGTTTATAAAAATTGGCATTTGGATTTTAGGTGCTATTTTTATTGAACAAGCCCAAATCGCTTAATAGACTTTATGACACAAACAAATTTGATGATTGACATCATGTTTTATTGATATATTCCATAACTGCTGGTTAGAAGGTTATGTATTTTTTTATGGTCTAAGTCAATAGAATGATAAATATTTTGCTTATTTCAGTAAAATATTAGTTTTGGCTCTGATTGAAGGAATGGTTACATATCAGATTATGAATATTTGGACAATACAATGTCTTACATATTAAAAGTTGCAAATGATTTGGCATGTAGGTTTTGAAGATACTGCTGTGTGTGGTTGTTAAATTTGTCTGTATATGTTCTAATGTCCTCATCAGTGTATTCATCTTTAAGTTCTCTGTAGTGGCCAAAAATATATAAATGTATTGTGTCAAGCTCCGTCTACTTGATCACATTTGATATAGTTTGCAGTATCATGTCAGCATATAGTTAGTTGCACATTTTGTCAGTGGAGGAACCATCCATCTCTTCCCTCAAGTGGATCATGTTGTAGCATGATACATCACACGCTTCCCTGTTTGATTATGAAAATGTCTTAGAGCACGCTTAGTTTTCTTACTGCATGATGGTGAAATGGTGAAGAGAATCATCTAATTAATGTCGTAATATCTTTTTTCTTTGGCAGTAATCTTAATTATCACCAAGTCACATGATAATGTGCCGTGTTCTGGGAATGGAAAGAGAAATCAGCTGCTGTTAGGAAGACGTGTTATATAGCAGATGAAACTGTTTAATTTATCCTAAATAAAATTCCCTTTAATACGAATCAAGTATTGCAAACTTGAATAAAATATTTTAAAACGATTTGTGCATTAAATGGTATGCCAGGTGAAATGTTCTCTGAAAGAAATATTGGTGTTGTTGCGTTCAGTTTTTAAATTTCGTTTTGAAGTGTATATTCCAAAATATATAAGGAAATTCATGCACTTGTAGAAATATTTAGGTAACGAGTTTTATTCATTAAGCGCAGAGTAAAGAATTCCCAAGGCTGGAATATTGCTTCATGACTCATTACAGCCAAGTTTTTATTATAATTCCTCAGAGGTGCTCCACGGAGCTGCCGTAGCGAGTAGATTAGCAGCCAGTAACACTTAAAAGAGAACTGTGTTTTGGGATGTGATATCATGTAATCTGATAGAAGTTGATCAACATTTCAGAGGAATGTAATGCCTCAATCTTCATGGTTGAAGAGCTCTCATTTTACTTGCTGTCTGACCCTGAAGATGGAGGCAGTACAGTCCTCTGAAACATCAGTAACTTGTACAAGACTACATGCCATCACATCCCAGAACACAGCATTTTCCATAGTCACGATTGTTAAGTCCTCAATTCCAGCGAGTAACTGCTTGTACACTAGTAAAATGCCCCTGACTGTGGAAGGAATTTTGGTATAGGGGTGTTTACATGTTGGCAAGTGGGGAGTTAAGACCATGTATTGGCAGAAGTAAGAAGGTGGCAGTGTCTATTTGATGATTAAACAGAGGAAATCTAGCATTCAGACAAACAGGTTGTATTGTACTGAGAAAAATTTGGTAATGTCAGAACGCTAATTCTAATATTTTGTTTGCTTAGCAAAATCGTGGGGCTTGCTACATCAAGGGTAACACTGTAATCAGTAATGTTATATATCAAGATAATGAAGCCTGGCTTAAGTCAACTTTGATAAATTAATGACTAGCTTCTGAATGCCCATGATCTATTGATAATTGTGATGTAATGCAGTGTCCTGTGATTGCTTTGTGGATGCAGATTGTATAAACAGTTGTGTGGTTCACATATTGACTGTTTCATGATGTATAAATTGAAGAGAGAAAGTCTTGGTAAAAGAGTGGTACGTTGTAAGAGTGAAATGCAGATTTTAAATTGATCTTGTATGAACGAGGAAAGGGTGAGAGGCTATTGCAAAGTTTCAGCAGCCAGTACTTCTAGCACTTACATCAGATTGCAGAATTTAGTTGACAGTTGTACTGGGACATAGAAAGCATTAGGGGTGTAATTTATTTAACTCTTTGAAGCCTGACATCTTCTTTTCAAATAATATTTAAAGATTCAGTTCCTGCCCCACAGAAATCACTGCATCCCCATTACAAAATCCAACTGGATAACGAGCTTTAAGGAAATAATTGCAGTTTATTCTCAGAATTGTACAAAATATAGATATAATGCATGGAAAAAATGTAGAATTTTTTAATGTTGTGGTGGTAAAGATAATTGCCACTGTGCTTTGAAGGGTTAAATTACATCAAGTGATAACCAAGAGAGCACAAAAATAGGAACTGACTGTTCACCAGAGAGACTATTCCATGATGATTTCTTGTTTTTTTATGCATAATTCTGTTATAGTTCGGCTGTGAATTCCGCAGTTCTCATGAGAACAACTATTTGAACCTGAATTTTTTAATAAGAGGCTTGTACATGTGTGTGTGCAGTGTCTTAGTTGGTTTAATCATTTTACAAGAAAGATCAACATAATTATGTGAAATTTAAGGTTCTCACAGCAGTGAATGTGAACATGTCATCTGAGATATGATACCAAGTAGTCCTGTAGCAAACAGCACTGTGGTAGTCTCCCCCCCCCCTCCAATCTTCAGGACAGAAAAGAAGATGGATGCAGTAATTTCCTCCAAAATGTGGCAGATTACACATTCACATCACAGTCGACAGTAATTTATGAGACGGGGTTAAACCCAGTTTACCTTTTTCCCGGTACTGTGACTTAACAGGTACAGTATTTTGTAACTAACTTATCCGAATACATCTTCTGGATATGTGACATGGGAAATAAACTGACCTAGGTATCATTTTGAGTGTGTTGGCATCTTCAGACAAGTGCTTCTAAATTTTGAAATCATTCCCAAATGTCACCGATATATATGTCATGCATTGTCAGTTCATAGTCAGTGTGTGCTCAAAATTTAAAATGAGGTAATGATCAGTTTCCCCTATTTAAAATATGATTTCGATGTACTCGTACTTTCTTGAAGAGGTAATGCATAATTCATATTTTAAAGCCACAAATGGTTTTAAGTGCTGGCTTATGCCTGGGCTGTTTTTTTTTCTCTCAGTGATCTAAAAAGCATTCTGGACGGAAAGGGTCACTGCTTCTTACAAAGTTATCTCATGTATAGTAGAAAGGGTTCTTTGTGTGGACTTTGCATTAGTAAGACAGTGATCATATATAAGTATTTTGAAATTGGATAGCCATTTGAAGTGAATTTAATATTCTGTTCTTTGAATAACATTTTGGTAATTTTATATACTTTACTGTGTTGTTAAATTTTGTTAACTTTATGTAGCTGTAGTAAGGAATATGTCTTGTGTGTTTTTCAAATTGTGTACTGCCATAATTGCACGATGTGTCATGAATTGTATTGTATCACTACATATCCTATACATGAGTCTTTGACAAAGAAACAGACGTTATGTAAGAATATAGGATATAATGTATATCCGTAACAGGAGTTGAAATAGTGCCTTGTAAGGGCTGTGCATATAGGTGTAGATACAAAAGAGCAAAGCACATCTCTGCTGCTCCCCATCCTGGATAAGTCTATGTAATAGGCCATGTCTGGCACAAGTTTTGCTTTGTGCAGGCTTGAGAGTTTCCTCGTAATTTGACGTACTTTGATGAAATTAATTTTCATTTGTATAAAAATGAGTGAATATAGTTTCCAGATGTGTTCATATGATATTGTGTAATAAGTGCTACAGACCAACATTTCTGTGGTCTTTCTGTAGTGTTTTCAGTGCAATTTTATTACTTAACAAGGAGATATGCAGTAAAGAGGCCCATCTGACAGAAGGTATGTGATGTTATAGGTGTCTTTGTGACATTTTGTTTTCTTTTATGATATGTATGTTCTAAATGTGATTTTCCTCTCTTTTAAATCTTTTTTATTTGTATAAGTTTCTCAGTTACACAGGACTTTTAAAGAGAAAATGTCTTAAATTGTAGGATTTAATGTTTGTTTAAGACTTCATTTCCTAATACACAGTTTTTATTATTCATGCTTTAAAAACGTTTCAAAGATAGTACGTGTGACCGTGTTTCAAAATGTCATTAGGATCCCCACAGCTTCCTTCTGTGAACCAAATTTTGAAGACATTTTCAGGTAAAGAAAAATGCATAATCTCCTACAGATGTCGTGTTCATTTTATGATAGTTTGTACATCAACACTACAATTACTGTATGGTCTTAAGCAAAATATCTGTTTGTTTTTATTGTTATTTTTTATTTTTATTTTATTTTATGAGGAGTGTATTATATCTCAAATTGAACGAATGGGACATGAAAGCTTCTCATGATCAGTGTTGTAATCCCTGTAATGTAAATGCAGATTGTCCTATGAATGATGTGTTCTTAGTAAATACAGTATGGCTGATGAATATAGCATCTTCACTGTCATGGGAGTTGTTTAACCAAGTGCTTGGCTTGCAGTAAGCATCATATATCCATTCATTGCCAATTTCCCTGCTTAGAGTATTGTTACACATTCTCATTTCCCACAAATCTTCATTGGTTGACATCCAAATAATTTCCTTTTATGTCTCAGATCAAACATTCACCCCCTGCAATCAATATCCTCTTTCCATCTGTACAACATATGAGTATATCTTTCTATTAGCAGAATCTGAAGGTACAAAACTGCAAATACCAAAGTTCACCATTGGACACGATTCTGAGACAGTTCCATCCACCTCACAGCCCATTTCTAATTTACCAACTCTGGTACTAGAACCCACAGGTTCAACATCACCAATACCAAAGTCTGCCACTGGACATGATCCTGAGCCAGTTCCATCCACCTCCCATCTTCACAGTGCAGTCTCCTTAAGGTCCGGTCTTTCATTTTCTTGGTCTTCAAAATGGGGGTTTTCCAAGACGTCTTCCAGCTAGAATTGCTTATGTATTCTCGTTTTCCCCATCAAAACTTTGGGCACACTTCTTTACATTCATTAAAACGAAGCTGCCTTTTTCACTTATTACAGTGTATAGTTTTCATGTCAGGAGGTTTCTGATATAAAAATGAGGGTTGTGTAGTGTAATTCACTAGCATATGAGTTCATTTTGAGAATACTGCATCTGAGATGCCATGTGGTCTGGTAGAGGCTGCTGACATTTCCAAATAACACTGTCATCAAGGCCTAAGAGTAAGGAACCAAGCATTAAGTTGGGTTTGAAGATGGAGATGGTAAGTGTCCCTGAGATGATTATATTTTACCAGACATGAAGTGTTGCATCATAGAAGGTAGTATTATTCCTCATAATCGCTGCCAGAGAACTTGAGTTCTAACTTTCTGTGATTCAGTGTGAGGGTAAGTAAGTAGTCTTTATTGTGTTTGGGTTGTGACATCCATCTTTTAGAAGGATACCAAAGTTTTGGAAGAACGTTTTGTTTCTATCTTAAGGGTGAGAAATTGGTTGGGTTATGTAGGAGGGTGTTCACTCAGATCCAAGGGAAGGATGATTAGGAAGAAAAGGATCACAATTGTTTTTTATCAGTGATGAGCCTGTGATGCTGAGGGTAGACAGATTGAAAAATGTTACAATGTGCGTATCAGATTAATTGTGCCTGCAGCTGCCATGGGAAACAAGCACTTTCCTACATCAGAATTATACCTGCGTTGAATAACATGCAAAAAACCGCGAATAAAATATAGATGTTTGAGCAGTCTACCATAAAACAGCGGTATTCCCGAAAAAGCCAATATTCGTCATGTTAAATTAATTCGATATTTAGGTGCTGCGCCCGAATTTGGTAATACTGTACTCATGGGATTGTATTTCATTTTAGTGAGCCGTGGTCTGTACCGGTCTGTACAATTCAGTGATCATCTGATGGAGAGATATGTTAATTACCGTAGCTAGTGGTAGCTACGTAGCTACATTCCTGATTACAGCGTCCTGTTCGGTCCTGGTAGTGTGGCGTTTGTTGTAGAAACGAGTTACCGTCATGTTGGTCGAATTTGTCGTTGGATAGGCTGTTGTAAGACTGTATTCTATAAATCATTTGCAACGGCTGAGTAAAGCATAGTATTAGAATTTCTATTAGATGTGCGCGTAAGAAGACTTCAAAAGGTAATAAAATAACCCCGAAGACAATACTTTTGTGGTGAAGGGTCTCGTTGAACCCACCGAAGTTTGAGCATGTAAGCTTAATTTATTTTGTACCATTATGTAATGATACACTATAACGGACATCATATGAGATTGATCTATTTGTTATAATTATTTGCTATTATTTGAAAGCAAATGAAATTAAAATTATCAATGGATAACTCATTTTTGATAGGATTCAAGTTTTACATTCTGGTATCGCTTATCTGTATGTAAAATGAGGCATGTTACCCCATTCGCTAGAAACAGGTTCCTTGTTGACAGTGTTCGTTTTCAATTTGCCTGATATTCAGTAATCTTTGCCATAAACTTCACATGAAGTATCTTTATCAGTTGTATGTCCGGATTCTTGTAAGAATACGCGTGGCAGAGTACTGTTTGCCACCCCAATCGTGTTTCGTCTTCGTATGTAAGAAGTTCGTGACCGAAAGTATCTTTAAGTTCTAGTTAACATACTGCACTTTAAAGGTTAGTATGTCAATATAAGGTAAGATATTACTGGCCTACTGTAAACTGATGCCAGTTACAGTTATCAGGGAAGATATAACTGAAAAAAAAAATGTATCGTCCAACAGATGAGATTTTCAGTCGACCTTTAAATTATTACTTTAGTCACAAGCCCACTTTATTGATGTATTTTAAATGGAAAAATTATAAATTGATATAAGGGTTATATGTAAAAATGTTTTGTGTGTTTTTGAACTATGGCTTGGTCATTGTGTTTGTATGTACAGTGACTCGTTCCATAGCCAAAGAATGTAGGACCCATTGAAAGCGTGTAAGATCTTTACTGGATTTTTATTAAAATATGATACATAGTCGAAGAGCTATTGAATTTGGAAATGTATTAGAATTACAGAGTTACTTATATTACTTAATTTTATTGTTAAAATCCAAGTGTTATTTCCTTGAAATTTGATGTGTCTGATCTGTTGATGCCATTCATTTTATTAATTGAACCATTAATTTTAGAAAATTAAGCTTCTCTCAGCATGAGCAAAATATAGTGAAACAACTTATATCATGTACTCAGCATAACGGATGGTGGCTGTGTGAGGCTGAAATGTTGTGAACAAATAAGTGAATGTAGTGTAATTCATTCACTCATTTTTATTTTATCCTGTAGATCAAAATACTGTGACATGTAGAATAATTGATAGGCAGTGACTGCAGAATAAGCAAATATAAAAGAGCCATTGCTAAGTAATGGCTCTGCAAACAAGCATGTTTTCATGGCAGTGTAAGTATATAACAATAATAGGAACCCCAGTGGCACAGCAACAGAGGAATGGTGTTTTTTCTATGTGGTCCATGCCAAAATGTTATATATAAGCAGAATGAGTCAGTCAGTCAGTCAGTGAGAGACAAGTAGTTTGAGGGCTCCCAGGGTCATCAGTCAGGCAGTAAAATAAGGTCATGAGTCTTATGGGACTCAAAACCAAGAATCACTATGCTGGCAAAAATCAGCAACAGTAAAAATAAAGTGAGGGTGAGTTGCAAGAAGTGAAAAGTAATTGGTTAGTAAATGAGTCAATTAGAGGACTGCTGTGGGTCAGTTGTTGTGAGCTGTTGCTGTTAGAAGCTGGTAGCTAAGGCCAGGGACAGTTTGGGAACCCAGAGGAAGGGGAACATGTGCTGTTGGAAGGCATTACCAAGCAGTGCAGTGAAGACTGTGAAGGGGAACACTAGTATTTGTATGATAGTGATTTGTAAAGGTGTCGTGTTGTTGTGTGTTTAAGTGTTACCATCAATCCAGAATCTGTCTGTAGTCACCAACATGAGATAACTGGTGTCAGAAGTCCTGTGGGGAAATAAGAGAGAATTGATCTATTTGAATTTCAAGGCTAAACAAAACAAGCAAAAAGGTCAGACACACTAAATCGGTCACAGTCACGTTACACATATTTTTTGCGGGATCCTCAAAGAAGCATTATTCCCCCCAGTCCGATCATCTGAACCAATTCCACTACCCAAACCAGTTCCAGCACCCGAACCAAATCCACTACCTGAACCAATTCCACTACCTAAACCAGTTCCAGCACCTGAACCAATTCCACTACACAAACCAATTCCAGCACCCGAACCATTTCCAGCATCTGAACCAGCCTAGACTCCAAAAGAATCCCAGCCAGAACCTTCATTTCATTTCATTTAAACTGGCTGTTGTTACCTGTTTTTTTTATGTTGTTATGTAATTTGTTACAGAAGATACAGTCTGCTGCTGATGGTTTACTATTACAAAATTCTAAATTATGTACATACCTATTCTAACAGGATTCCGAAATACCTTACCTGATTAGTTTGATGCGAATTCATCAGCTTTATAGTTATTGTACTGTGTAATACATGCAGACAGAACACCCTAACAGTTTCATTGTAAAGTAGACTGTGGTAACTGACCTCATTTGTAAAGGATTTCAAATTCATGTTGTGTGGTCTTTTGGGTTATGACACCATGTAGACTGTCAGGAGGGTAGTAGCCTCATGTTCAGTAGTGGTGTAGTACATGAGATGTTGATGTCTTATAGGAAATATGTCCCTTGGAAGGCAATGTTCATGGCTTTTGCGATGGAGCTGGCAGCCTTACATGTCAGCAGTGACACGCAGTTGTGTGGGACACTATGCAACCAGGCCTCAGAGGGGCTTTTCTTCAAGTGAGAAGTTGGTTGATGTGGCAGTCAATGAAGAAACAGGTAAGGAATTATTTGAATTGATAGGAACATTTTTCTTTGAGCACGACAACTAAGTTTAAGTAATTAGGCAACCAATTAACTAATTAACTATGGTTGTAATGATGTGTCATTCAGAGAGAATCACCTTGTTGCCTGCTTCTGCCAGTGTCTTAATTGGCTTACTTTTTGATCATGAAGCTGGAGCAATAAGTCGTTGTGTAACTTAAGGTTCTCTCTGAACTATACAGTGTTACAACCCAGTGGAGTACAGTCGCTGACATTGGGACCTCATTAACTGACTGACTCTATAGGGCAGCATCCTTCTTGAGAATCAGGCAGTTACACAGCTAATCAACAAATTTCCTATGTTTTATGTAGCTTAAAGTTTCATTACTGTGTTCCCAAGAGCCAGTACTGGACACCATCTTGAGCCAGATGAATCCAGCCAGTCAGAAATCATATGTAATGTTGTATAATGTGCAGATTTGTTATGTCAAGAAGTTGCTTGCTTGCCTGCCCAACCCCCAGGCTGTAGGACCATCCGAGCTGTCTGTGGCTGCATATTCAATATTTTTGCAGCTACTCTCCGTGTCTCGATGCCTTGATGACAGGAGTCACTTGTAATGTGGAATAAACGGGTAACAGTGACTATAATTTATCGTGGAAGGGGATTCAGATGTGCCAAGCTCTCTTTTGTACATCTCTTCAGTAGGATTTAGTTCGGTATTTCGAGTCTAAATAGCAGTGTGAAAGTTTGTTTTGGATTTTTCTACTCCCCCCAAAATGGTATCCCAGAGTTACATCTCCTGTGGGAGGAGGAGGAACCCAATTCAGCCAAGATGAAATTCGTTAACTTTTCAGTCTTATTTGTAGTTTGCACTAAAACAGCTTGTAGCTCTTAAAGACATTGCTTTTCTGCAGAATAATTTTCAGTTATTGCTGCTTACAGTCAGTTGTTTCTCTTCTAGGCATTTCAACAGTGACATTGCAGCGGCTACCAGTGAACAGCCTCAACCTGGAGTTGCTGCAAGAGCTGTGTACAATATTCGATGCCCTAGAAAAGGACAGAAGCCGAGGGATGATTCTTACATCAGTAAGTGAACATCCACATTACCAGAGGTGTGAGAAAGACAGCTGACAATAGGCCATAACAAGAGAAACCTTCAATTTTGCGGACCCATTTCAGCCCATGCAGGTGACTTCAGAAACCTCACATACATAGTATGAGAATGTATTGTGATAGCAGGAATGAATGTTGAGGTTTTGGCAGATTTATACATTTTCAACTTGCCTGAATACAAAAAAAAAGTGGGTTTTGGAGTGTTATTTCACTGCCTGTATGTGCACCCCTAGCACCAGAATGGTTGGACAGATTTCATACATGTTCAGTATTTAAGAGTTACTTGTTTTATGTCGGTGCCCAATGAACATAAACGTTCTACCTCCCAAAATAGGGGCCCTTCATATAGGCTTCAAAATACAGAATGGCAGTATTCTTGGAAACGGCTGTAATGATTTTGAACAAATTTCAGTCACTAATGGAGAACTTTCAAAATCCTTGATTTGGCGGATGCTGAAGGATTGGATAAGTAGTGTTTAGGATCCAAATACAGGCAGTTAAAATGGACTGGCACAGATCTAACAGACACAAATGCTGCTTTGATTGATTTATGTTGTAATCTTTGTACTGCAGGCTTCTTCAACAGTATTCAGTGCAGGTCTGGATATTCTAGAGATGTACAAACCAAAGCCAGACAGAGTGACAGCCTTCTGGACGACTCTGCAAGACACGTGGCTCAAGTTGTTTGGGTCTTCATATCCGACTGTTGCTGCCATTAATGTAAGTCTAGAGAGAGTTATAGTCTTCCGGGTTATAATGCCGTGCAGCTCAGTAGTAGTCCACTGACGTTTCGGAGGAGCATATTGCCCCCATCTCCAGAGTTGTGGAGTCAGTCTAGCAAGAGAGGTGGTGAGCAGAGCGTTGACAACCAAAGAGATTGTACTGTTCATAGTTATCACTGTGAGGACCTGAAATCCGAGAGCATAAGTCTTGTCTAAATGCACGGTTTGTTTGCTTTCTGTTGTATATCATGTGTATCATGGCCCCTAACTATCGTCCTATAGGGCGTGACATCACGTAGTTTGGTAGATAGCTGCTAACATTTCAGAGGAACCTACTGCCTCCATTTTCTGCCCTGAAGATGGAAGAAGGAGATTCTTCCAAAATGCTAACTGTACCAGACTACACGGTGTCACCCCAGAAGACTTCACAGGTTCTCATTGGTGTAATATCAGACCATACAAAACAATAAATATGGCCTAAAATAGCAGACGTTTTCAGACCTCAAAGTGCAGATGGATTGTGAAATTTGTGCATATTGTGAAAGTTTTAGGCTGGGTGCATTACAGTCTCAAATGTGTCTTTGTGCAGGGTCACAGCCCTGCAGGTGGATGCTTGCTAGCTCTCAGCTGCGAGTACCGGGTAATGGTGGGCCCAAAATATACAATCGGCCTTAATGAGACCCAGCTGGGGATTGTGGCCCCAAAATGGTGAGCAACCAATTTACGTCATCCATTTCATGAGTCATTACACAAATAAGGAAAGCTTATAATTATGTCTAGCAATTATCATGCCTACCTGACTCAGATCGGGGACACACGGTAGCGTAGTGGTTAAGGCACTATGTTACAAGTCGGAAGGTCGCGGGTTCAAATACTGATGAGGTCATTGGATTTTTTTCAATTGACCTAATCCTTCCGGCCGCACTATGGCCCTGGGGTTCACTGAGCCTCTAACAGAAATGAGTACCAGGGATTAAATAAATAATTTTCCTGGGTAGTAAAGTGCGGTCAGCACATAAGGCTGACAACCTTACCGCCATCTTTGAGCCGATTTTCTAGAAAATGTGGGACCCTCAACGTCTCACAACCCTATGGGCCTTCATGGCCTGTTAAAGGGATAGCTTTACCCTTTTTTTTTTTCCTGGCTCAGATCACTTGTACATTTCCTCACCTCCAGACAAATGTCAGTAACATACATAGCTTAAAATGGGCCATGACCACTTTCCTACCATGGCCTTACCTGCTTACCATTTATGATCATCCTTCATTTGCATTTGATTGTATATTAAATACAGTGGAACACCCGTTTAATATTCCTCAGTTTAATGTATTCACTCATTTAATGTTCAATTTCATTGATTCCAAGTCAATTTTAATCTCAGTTGCTTTTGAGTTGGAGGTTGCAGTGAGAGGTGTGGCTTCTGGGGAACACAGTTGAAGCTTTCATCAAAGTAAGTGCAGTGATGTCTTCTCGTACATTTAGCCGTGGCAAGTTGGAGCAGATTTCCAGCATTTTTGCAAACTGTTGGTCTCCAGTGTCACACTGATTGACATCTAATCCATGACAGATGCAGTGATAGTTTCCCAAAAAGTTATGATTCTGTTCCAAGTTAACACAGCACACTGTCCGAGAACACTTCATTGCAGTTTGTCAACTGCTGATCTGTATGAGTGTACCATTCTGATTACAGGTTTCAGTATTCAATGAGGAATGTAATTTCCAGTCGGCAGACTGAACTAGCACTTTCAACGGGCCAACTGTTCACAACCGATGAAGCCTTAAAAATTGGATTAATAGATGAAATAGCAACAGATAAAGCTGATGCCATAGCTAAGGCTGAGAAGTTTTTGCTTAGAATGTCAAAAATATCCAGTAAGTATAACTTTGAAGTGCTGTTGTTCATGATTTGTTTTAATTAAAATTTCTGCAGTAAGTTTGCTGTTAAGGGCAGATCAAGTTTTATATACTGTTCACTAGAATTTAGGGAACAGACCAGTGTTTGGGGGGGGGATCATGTATGGCCTTTACCATTTATTGCCCAGGAACTAGGGATTGAAATCTGCTGCTACAATAGCGCTGACATCCTAATTTTAACTCGGTGGTAATGATATTTGTATAGTGGTTAGTGGGACGCTGCAATAGACAGAGTTTAAAGGACAAATTATGCAATCGCAATAAATTGTTTTGTTATTGAGTTCTTTTTTTAGCAAGACTGCGAATGTGCGTTTGAATGGAATACTGTATGTGTGATGTGTATATAGGTGCTTCAAGACTGACCCCAAATTTTCACTGTCTGTCATGAACTGTATGGATTGATGTCAGTCTTGCATGGTCATTTCATGCTCTCTCTCTTACGCATAACCACACATGCACACGTGAGCTTAGTCACAGTGTGACATGCATACATTACAGTTGGTAAGAAGGTGGAGGAGTAACATGTGATAAGATAGGATGAATTTTTTAAATGAATATCCTGTGTTAGAAATGTTTCACCAGAATGGCTGCAGCCCTGTAATACTTCACATTATCATCATTCTGAACATTGGGTTCTTGTTTACAAACATCACACTGTAGCTGATGAAACAGGACTTAGGATGGCTGATGTTCACTGAAGACATACTGTATAGTTCAGGAATGAGAGACTGTGAAACACTTTTGAATGAGTGGCTTCCTGTGTTCAGGGACAGCTGTAACGCTGAACAATCCACCTGTATCTGCGAACGTCAGTCATTAGTATGAACATTAACACAGCTAATAAGCCTCTCTGTACAACTCCTGTGTTCCTGTGTTTAAAATCTTGCAGGTGAAGAACAGTCAGCATTGGTACTATAGAGAAGTCATTCACAAACACCTTAAATTTCAGAAAGTGAGTGCAAGATGGGTACCAGAGATGCCGGATCAAGTATGAACCACCCTTATATGTTTTGTGCGGGAGGACATGCTGACGTAATGTTACCATGATGTTGCCTTTCCTTACAACCTGAAGGAAGTGGAGAAGGGGGGGGGTATTGTTACGTGATTACAGTTATGAATTTGACAGGATTGCTAGTAACATTCTGCTTGTAATTTTGCAGCAACAGCACGTAAGTTGGCAAAGTTGTCCTGTAGACAGGAGCCCCTGGAATGGCTTGTTGCCAACAGACAGAAGGACTTGCAAGAATTCATGGGGTTTGTGACCCTTCCTGCAGTACAGAAGGGGCTTGATCTGTACCTGGAGTCACTCAAGAAGAAAAAATAAATAACCTCTGCTCTCTCTTTATTTTCTAACAGATGTCAAACACTAAGTGATATTATGTATACGTACTGTCCGATATAAGGGACAGAATTTTATATACTTGTATGTTGTGTGATGGGTAATATGCTGGATTAGAGCAGTTGGAGGGGCGTGGATACGCATGCTTTCATTTTGTGGAGAAATGTCTCACAAATATTCTTACCTGCCAAGGTAGAATTTTTGTGCGACTGATGAACTGAGTCGATGTTTGTTGGCTCCTGATAATGTGGTCATGTCAGACAATCATTGCATCGATACAGAAGTGGCGATGTAGAGAGAAAATTTCCTGAAATCTCCCACTTTATTTTGTATTGATGCTACTCACTGCTTGCTTACCATTTCAAAGCGGAGAGGTCGTAATGTCAGTTGGAATTATAGCATTTCAGATCTAAAAGGAAGTGTTAATTGACAGATATCATCTTCCGAATTGCAATGCCGTGCAGTTTGGTAGAAGTCTAAAGGCATTTTGGAGGAACTTTCCACTTCCGTCTCGAGGGTTGAAGAGCAAATTAAGAAAGAAACAGTCAGTAAGCAGGTTGCAAGTTGCTGGTTTCTTGCTTGGCTTCCTCTTCGATCCTGAAGATGGGATCAATATATTCCTCTGAAACATCAGTGGATTTTCATCAAATTACATAGTGTTAACAACCCACATGTTAGCTCAGTTGCTCAAATTGCTCTTGGCACAGTGCGCATGTGTAGAATGATGGAAGTAGTGGAGGTCATGTGTCTTTGTCTGAATGATTCAGCTGAAAACTGCTGCATGGATCTTGATGAAATTTAATATGAATGTTAGGCCACTGAATGCTACCCAAGCCTTGGATTTTTTAATTCTGTAAAATCTGTTACAACATCATGGCAGACGCATGACCTTGCGATGCAGGAACAGCTCTGGTGGCACTTCTAGAATGCACTAACCATTCTGCTTATTATAGAATGATTTGACACCATCTCTTGTCACTCAAATATATATTTATATGATGCCTTTACATGTTTCGGTGAGTAAATGACCATCCTCAGAAGGCATAACAACATGTTGAGGAAACTACTATTACATTGGTCATAGTACATGAAATTGAGTCAAAGTTTTATATACAGATTTTAATTGAGACAAATTGTTGAGTTAAAATTTGTTAAAATTCTTCGTAGTTGGTTAGGAATCTGCAATTATGTTGTTAGGTTGTTACTCTTTTCGTTGTGTGGTGAGGCATTGATTCGTGATGTGTTGTGTTGATATCCCGGTTCCCTGTTAAACCCAAGTTGCACTTAACATTCTGTGTTCATCAGAGCTGTTAGCAACAGCTAGGAGCATTCAGAATGCCAGGTACAGAGGAGGCATACAGAAACTGTTGAATTAATTATGTACATGAGATTAGAGCCTGTTATAAGCCTGTGAGGAACTGCTTCATATATACATGGTAATGCCAAAAAAATGAGATGTTACATATTTTTATACTTAAGAAATGAAATATAAATCATGTTATTAAAGATGTGTATAAATTGTATAGTTAATTGTCAGAAATGTAAATTGAGAAGTGCTTGCGTATAACGTATCCAGAAATTTATGAAACACTAAAAATTTAAAATTCTTATTTAAACTTTTTGCAGTGCTGAAATCTTGTTGACTGTCCAGTCGGCTGGCTTTTTATTTTCACCTTTAGTTTCTGGTTCCACAGCAGAGTTGACGTCCGCAGTTGCGTCTGTGGTTGAGGTCTTGGATAGTACAGCATTGGTAGGTGCATCTTTGCTGTCTCTTGCCAGGGGTTGAGGAACTGCAGTCTGAGGTTCCGGCTTTTGTTCTGTTTCACTGTGTTGCTCCTCAGAGGGCAGTAGAGATGCCATGGCATTCAGCAGTAAAGTCTGAAGATCTTCAAATTGCTCCCTTTGGATGTCTAAGAAGTGATTGATTTCTATGACTCTCTGACGAGAGCGCTGCACTTCACCTCTGCAAAAACAGTGTGCGGTATAATTTCCATAAATCAAAAGTACTTACCAAATTCCACACGTCCAAGTTTCTGCATAAATATAAATGAAAAAGGAACCGATAGAATAATTAGCCATGTATTCATTTGCTGAATATGTTGATAGTTCAGACATACTGAGACCACAGAAGGAAGTCCCTTCGGTGAGGGGGGAAGCTTTCCTGTGTCAACTTCCTCTGGCTCATGTAAACCAGTCCAAATGTTTATTTTAAGCTAAGGTGATCAGCTGGCTGTTGCTACGGGCATTGTGTAAACCCACTGGTTAAATGGCTGGATGGGGAAAGAAGGGAAGTTCACATGAAGGGGGGGGGGCACTGTGCTACAAGCTGGAAAGTCATGGGTTGGAATCCTGATGAGTGGATTTTTTTTTTCAGTTGACCTAATCCTTCCAGATGCACTATGGCCCTGGGGTCGACTCAGCCTCTAACAGAAATGAGTATCAGGAATATTCCTGGGGTGTAAAGGGCAGCTGGTGTGTAAGGCTGACATCCTTACCGCCATCTGTGAGCCGACCGTCTAAAATGTGGGAGCGTTGACGTCTCACAACCCTACAGACCTTTACGGCCTGTTACAGGGATAGCTTTACCTTTTTACCTTAACACTGGTGGGGGGGAGGTGTAATGACTCAAGGGGTGTGTGGAAGGCACTGATCTGTGGACATCTTTAGGTGACATCAGTGTTGCTGTGGGGTAGATTTTGCTCTCTATCAGCATGTCCAGTGTTTTTCAATTTCAGTGTCCATTTCGTAGTGAGGTGTAGAGTAGCTTAGACAGGCCACAGGTTCTACATTCAGGGAACCAAGACTGGAGTCCCAGTAGGCGTTTGTTAGTGTCCACTGTAACCATTCTGACTGCAGGCTCTTTCCTGGGGCTTTAAAGCTGCTGGGGGTGTGTTTAGCTGACCACTCACTTGCATCCAGTGGTGAGGTTAAGAATGCCTGGAGCTGTATCTCCATCCCCATATGCATTTATGGCATGATGCTTAATTAAGCATGGGGAGAACTTTATTAACCCTTTGATTAATCAGTTTAAACATTATTGTATTTTGCTATCAACCAGTTTTTAGCAAGTATTTTAATTTTAGGGGGAGCAGAGGGTTGATTTGGGACTCTACAAGAGGATAACCTGAACCTCCAGTTTTCTGTTTGTAATTTATTGTTAAAACAAGACTGGACTGAAACAGGGTTTCAAAAATGATGTAACATATAAACCAGAAGGGAAAAAGATGCTGTTTTGTCATGTAACAGGTCTCGGTAGTCCTTGGAAAGGTTGGTAGTGTATAGACTACAGGCACATACTGGTATACTTACGTAGCGATTTGGTCACAGTAACTTTCGACCCATTTTCGAATCCTTGTCACCAGTTCATCCTCACGGCTATCAATGGTTTGTATATGGGTGTCATGTGATTGTGTTATAGCACTATTCAGTGATTCTTTGTTGAGCATGATCTGGAAGAGAAATATTACAATATAAATTTATGTATGTAATTTGTTGCTAGAACACTGCAGTCAGAACTTATTCTAATGCTGTGTTCACTACATGAGGTTTTGTTAAGTCTTATTATTAATATTGTAGTTCTGGTATAAACAATTAAAATTTGGATATGAGTTTCACACAACAGTGAGTATGAAGACTGCAGTCTTCTGGGATGTGTAACACCGTACAGTTCAAAGAGAGCCCAGTGTTTGGAGGAGCAAATCAGTTTCATCTTAGCTTTCCACCTGTTTCTGTTCATGTCTTCCTTGGCTTACTCTTCAACCCTGAAAATGGAGGTGAGACACTCCTCTGAAACCCGGTAGTGCTCTGTGATGAATACAGAGGTTTGCGTGTTGGTTGCAAATTCATATCCTGAACATGAAACAACATGGGCCATATTTGCAATTATTTCTGCATAGTAGAACCCCGATATAATGTTCCACGATTTAAGGTTTTTGCTTGTAATGTTTAATTTCGATTATCTTCGGTCAGTGATGACAGTGTTTAATTTTGTCTATTTAAGATTTTCTTCAGTTTAATATTGAAAACAAGTGCAGAATAAATTTCAGTTAGAATAAGACCAGAAGATGGTGGAAATAAAGCAATCATTTCAGTCGGTATTGTGAACACTTGCAGGTGTAAGATTAAATAAAAGAAAATAAATCCAAGGTAAAGGACAGATTTTGATGACCCATAATTCTGTTCTGGATGGCTCCGATGTATTTTCACCATTGCACCACAGGTGGACAGATTTGTTGTTTTTTTTTTTTATTGCTAGTGGGGTGGGACTAAGTCCCTTGCACTGCGGCCACTTCTGGCCAATTGTACCAGCCCCAGATGATAGGTGAGGGTGATTGTGGAGCAATTGGCGGAATGAAGATTGGCAGGGGAAACCGAAGTACTCGGAGAAAACCTGCCCCAGCGCCACTTTGTCCACCACAAACCCCATTTGACCAGACCTGGGATCGAACCCGGGCCGCCACGGTGAATAGCCAGCGACTAACCGCTTGAGCTATGGCGCGGCCTTGGACAAATATTAGTAACTGTCTACTAGACTATAAGGCATCGCAGGTGAGAAGACAGGAGTCTTCATGGTAATATCTGATTTTATGTACGAATCACCCGAATATTGGAGTGTCCATCAAGACAAATTTTCAGGAAATTGTGTGTGAGGTTAAGAGAAGTGACTGAAAATTGAATGAGACATAGAACAAAACACGTTCAGATATCTCTCATTCGCAAGTAAAGGAAACCTGTGGAAGTATGTGGAGACAGTGCAACATGACACGGAGTATCGGAGATGTGTGTTGATTTTGCCCAGAGGTGGAAATAGACCACTCCAGTACTCTTGACAGTATATAGAAAATATAAAAATATAAATACCTGCTTTAGCTCTGGCACTGCCAGAACGGTTCCAGCATTTAAATTGGTAAGGTATGCATGGGCAACTTCCGACAGTTCTTCACTATAACTAGCTTCCAGATTTCGAATTTGGACAAAGAACGATTGTGCTGCCTTGATGAAGGCAGATACCAGGTTAGTCATGTTCTGTTGAAAACTGCCATTTACCTCCTGTTATTAAAAGAAATGTAAAGATCATTGACGTCGCCTTTCTACATTTATTGATGTTAGTAAGAGAATGCTAGTGACAGTACAGCCTTAGCCATGAGAACAGTAACTTGACTGATACTTCTGTCCACTAATTGGCAGCACTAGTGAATCAGTGTGTGTTGAATCCCTTCACTACATAATTAAAAAATTTTGTGTTAAACAGTCACTGGGATTCATTCTGTATTATGTTTGCGGTAAATGTTTTATATGTCAAAAATGGAAAAATAAATTTACTCAGTGCTTTTTAGAGAATTGTTGAAGCTAATATGTCAAAATTTTGTTTTGAATGTGTAAAAAATTGTGACTAGTAAAGGAGACCTTCATTTCTCAGTTTGATCCACAAACAGAAACCCAGATATCTGATGCGGATGTTTAAAGTGTCTTCAAGAGAAGTGAACTATGAATGTTAAAGTCAGATCCTTGCTAATCATCTTCATTGACATGAAAGAATTGTCCATAATGAACTAATACAAACTTAAAAAAAGAAAAGCCTTCATGTATATGTTTATCAAGCTTTGCATCCAGAACTGTCAAGATCATGGCATACACATTCATTAAAATCATGATTTCAGAATGTCCCTTGAGGGCTATACATATATTATGCATGTACCATAACTAGAGGGGGCATGCAGTAGTGTAGTTAGTTGAGACATGCTACAAGTCAGAAGATCGCAGGCTTGAATCCCAATGAAGTCATTGGATTTTTCAATTGACCTGATCCTTCCCAGCTGCACTTTGGCCCTGGGGTCAACTCAGCCTGTAAGGGAAATGAATACCAGGAATCTTCCTGGGAGTAAAGTGTGGTTGGCACATAAGGCTGACAACCTGACCACCATCTATGAACTGAATGTCTAGAAAATGTGACAGCCATGATGTCTTACAAGCCTATAGCCTTCCATGGCGTCTCACAGAGATAGCTTTACCTTTATCAAAGCAGACAATTCAATAGTTACCTCCAGTTGTTCGTAGAGTGTGAGCTCTTGTGCCATGAGCTCATACCAAGCTGTTTGGCATTCCTTATTAAACTGGTCACTCAAGATCTGCACCCTGGCAACATATTCCACCTGAGCAGCACTTTCTTCCATGTCCAGCAAGTCTTGTATAGATTTTAGGATATTGCGAATCTTCAAAAATATCTCAGCTTTTCTCTCCAGAAAATTTTCTGTGTACCTGCTCATTCAAAGGAAAAAGATAAATTTAGATTTTTTGGGTTGTGACACTGTGCAGTGTGGTATGTGGATAACAGTGTTTTAGAGGAATTTATGTCTTCAGCTTCAAGGTAAAAGAGCTACTTCTACACTGCATAACAACCAATAAGACAAATCTAATAGTCTGCAACTGAGAAACTTCAGTCTCAAACTGTTTTTCTGTGTCCCTGGGAATGCTTGTGTTCTTCACTTACTGTTGGCATGAAACTGTGTTCATCTCTTTAGCCGCATCCACACACTGGTAATATTGTCTTATCTCTTCCTGTCGAATCTCATGTTGCTCCAGTCCCACCTTGAAAAGCTGACGGATCACATTCATTGCTTCATCATGAAACCTAAGTTACAACAAGTTAAGGAAATGCATGGGTAAGAGGAGAAGACAGGCACAGTAACTTGAGGAAAACTGATCCAGTTTCCTCAACAATTTGGAGCAGAATAAAAAAGGGAAGGCAAATGAAAGCTCTCCCTGTAACAGGCAGTGAAGGCCCATAGGGTTAAGAGATGTCGAGGTTCCTATATTTTCTAGACAGCCTGCTCACAGATGGCAGTGGGGTTGTCAGCCTTATGCGCTGGACTGAGGAGAAGGATGTTTGGAAGCACAGAAACTAATGCAGAGGCTTAGTTACTACTTGACCCACTTAGTGGAAACATCTAAACAAGAAGGGTTGTCACAAAAGCCCACTATTGGAGCTTTCATGAGTAGTGAAAGGATACTTATTATAAACATCTGTTGCTACATCTCCCATTGTAAAGAGTGCTTTGCTGTCTGTATCATTTGTAAACATGGCACTGAATAACTGGTCTCCATCAAGGTTCTCAACAAACGCTTCCGTATGGCGAGCCAGTTCCATAGTCCGAGCTTCAGCATCCTCTCTTGTTTGTCTTTTCTTTTCTTCTGTTTCTTCTAGCTGCTGTAGAATATCCCTGAGAAACAAATTTACATGTTGCCCAGTCAATGTCAACATTCCGTCCCATTGATGTGTGTGTTTTGAGTCTGATCTATCTTGAAGTATATAACATTGAATGTTAAATACTATTCAAGGTCAATCTGACTTGAATCACTGATTGGGCACAATATCCCTAACAAAATAGAGTTCCTTTCTAGACTTGTATAATTTTATGTATATTCCCACGTGATGGTGGTTATTTAGCAAACTAAACATAATTAGAGTATATTCATATATATGTATATAGAAATATACAGGTAGACTGCTATTTATGTCTTCTAGTTGTATGTGTTATGACTGAAAGGAATCATGCTTATTATGCATTTAAAATCTGCAATTTAATTCTGTTATCTAATTGCCTTAACTCATATTATATGAAAGTTGAAACTTACTTATAGCTGCCTTCCGCTATTGCTCGTTCTTCTGCTGAAATGATACGATACTCATAGTAGGTCAGCTTTGGTAAGAAGGCACAAATGTAAACTCGAAAATCTCTGTTTCCATTGCATACACAAGGGTTCCCTGCCATATTCAGGGAGTACAGATGAGAAAATTGACGTAAATAAATCACCTGCATATAAAAAGACACATAGAACTATATATTTGGCACACCGTGTCTCCCTGAAGTATATTGCCTATCAGTAATTGTAAATAACAGGCAGAAGTGCATGCTATAGAGTGGCTCCAGCTTTAAAGAAGGAATAACGCTCAGAAATGGAATTGGGAATGAAGATTTGAGCAGCACCGGACAGCTGCACATCATTTTAACGGCCATGGCTACCATACATATTGATAAAGAGTACACAGTAAATTTCTTAATATTGTTTAGCATTCTCTGTTAGGTCTGTTAGAGGAAACAGGACAGAAAATTTACATTTTTTGTACACAAAGTGAAGTTTCCTTCAGCACAGTGGATTCATCCCTTGCAAGAAGCACCTTCAGTGAATTCATGTTGGATCAACTAAAAGGGATCACACCTGGATATTTGCACTGTTACATGTTCCAAACTAAACAACAAACGAAGTTAGTAATACGAATGCATACACAAAAGTGAAACCTGTAGCTTCTTGACCAGTAGTGATATTTTCCATATTCTTTTCGTGCATATAATTTAATTTTTTGTGTTTGACAAGTAATTGTGTTCACATGCATAATTGAATTTGTGTTGGAGAAGGGTTCACTGTGCTAGATTTTGAGAAATTAGTTCCTTCTTTACATGTCCTGCTAATACTGTGTGGTCTCGATACTGATAGCCTCATTAAATAATGAACTCCAGAAAATCACTACTTTGATTTTTAAATCTGAGTATTGGAAAAACACCCACACACAAAAATAAACAGCACAGGGAAGCCTTTGCAACTAACCACCCCTTACTTACATCATTACGATCTTCAATTTGATTATTTCCGATGCTGAAGATCATGAGGTTCACGAGAGTTTCCATGTTCTCCAGTTTACTGATTCGATTTTCAAACAATGTTAATACTTCCAGTTTCACGAGTACTTCCAGATTTTCAATAATTTCAATATTGTTGAATGACAGGTCAAGTTCCTTTAAATTTGCCAAAAAGCTTAAACCTTCAATCTTCTCAATCATGTTATTACCAAGGTGAAGCTTCACTAATGATGTCATCATCCACAAATGATCAATCTTCAGGATATCTGAAGAAATCCAGACATACACATACATATCATTTTAATGAAATGTGAGACACAGGGTTGACAATGAGGGCAGGAGGAAAGAGAAAGGAAGAAGAAAGTAGGTGTAGTTATATTTATTTGTAGTTTACTTCATGACTGTATAACTTGAATATCAGTTGCGGTAGCCTGTAACCCAATCTAGGTTTGAAATTGGTTCCTCCAGAACATTCGTGTTTATGCTGCGCCAATGTGTATACAGGAGTTCAAATGTTGGGTGAGACCCCAGCTACCGTGACTCAGGTCTTTTCATGGTCTGTTGGAGTCCTTCAAGATAAATACTGAGAAAGTACCTTAAGTAGGTCATGACCACTTCATTCTATATTCTTTATAATCCATTACTCACTAATCATCCTACAACTTGACACTATATAGTCTGAGCTACTGATCATTGTTAAATAAATAAATGCAACAATATAATTTATAATTTTAAACAAATTCTATATAATACGAGTATTTCCAGCTCCCTTGGAAGTCGTTTCCTAGACAGCTCAACATCGTCACCCAGCCCAGCTCCAGGTTTTGATGCCCTGTGTGTTAGAGTTTCAGCATGGGATGGAAACAATGAGAACACTTTAAAAAATATATTAAAAAATATATTACCATTTTCTGTTATTTTATTTTTCTTTTATCTGTTACTATTAATGCATTTTAACAGAAGAAGTGTGAATGTTCACAGATGAATAATTTAAGACCCACTAGTTTGTTGTATTTTACCGTCCTGTTGCACCGATTCACGTCCATGATGTGTATGTATTGACCATCTTCTAGTGCACACAATCTCACTTGTCACTTCACTACATCTTTCGGCATCACTGTGCCATCCTCAGGTGTGTCATTTACGTTAAACTATTCCATTGCTCGCCATCATGTGTCGTTTATAAAATGATTTAAAATGTATCTTCGTCATGTACTAATAATAAAATTTATATAAATTGTCAATGAAAAATCCGTCGAGTGTAACAGTGTTTTTAGGTCACTTATTTATCTCACTTGCCTTACATGTTTCGGTTCAAGAGAAACCATCATCAGAGGCACGTATTACAAACACATGAAAATACTGGCGTTGTTTAATGTACACAGTATGTAAGCTGCGTGGACGCTGTTACAGATGTCGAAGTGTAAAAGCACAACACTTTCTAGTAACGTTGAATGCACGTACAACTCTTGCATTCCATCTGAAAATTGCCCTCAAATTAAGCCGTCAATGTTAAAATATTTAAAAGTTTAAAAGTTTAAAACATTTAAAGTAAAATGTTAGGCTCTTTCCAAACTAAACCGTCAATGTTAAAATATTTAAAAGTTTAAAACATTTAAAGTAAAATGATAGGCTCTTTTCAAATTAAACCGTCAATGTTAAAATATTTAAAAGTTTAAAACATTTAAAGTAAAATGNTGTTAAGATTATCATCTTATACAACACACGCAGCCACAAGAGAAGGACACATCACAAGACGCAGTGAGTACTAAACATTATAAAACAACACGTAACAGCAGTCAAAACGTAACATTAATAAGTAACATTTTCACGTTGCAGGTATACACAAAATATAGGAAGAATGACTCCCATAGCGGAAGATTGATATAATAAGTGAGTTTGAAATACAATGTATAAGATGATAAATCTTAACAAAATTTTAATATATAAATTTTATTATAGTACATGATGAATATACATTTTAAATCATTTTATAAACGACACATGATGGCAAGCAGTGCAATAGTTTAACGTAAATGACACACCTGAGGATGGCACAGTGATGCCGAAACATGTAGTGAAGTGACAAGTGAGACTGAGTGCACTAGAAGATGGCCACTAGTTTGTTTATAATACAAAATATCTAGTGGAAAGGAATCTGAACAAGGATCTTAGTAAACCTCAGATCCTACAATCTTATTAAAACCAGACACCATTATATAACGGGTTAAAGCTTTCCAAAAAACTTAGGCCAGAAAAAAAAAAATGTTGAAAAACATAATTCCTTTTTATTAACATCTGCAATGTACATTAGGCATTTCATTATGATGTTGTATTTACTATAAAAGACAGTCTCATGAAAGTCCAAAAAAAGGGAAATTTTAATTGTAAATCATATGTAAATTATCTCCTACCTGCAGATGATGTAAACAATATGATAAATGCAAATACAGTTTTGGGGCCTAATATAATACATTTGTAGAAATGTTAACTAACTTAAAAACTCCAGTCGGAGCCTTATAATCTCTTGAAGTACAATTCCTTCCTCGTCTACCAATCTGCCCTCTTCCCCTGCCGGTCTCTCTTCTTCCAGTGCTTTCATTATCATTGTTGTGTCAATGACACCAGGCTCCAAATCCTCATGGATTATACTCATATTTAGAATGTTTTCTAATAAAGACACAAATTAATAACACATTAGTGGGTATAAATCTAGTCGCTTAATTTAATAAAATTTGAGCGCAACGTAATGCTTTGTTATCTAAATAATATATTTCTTATTATTACATTTCGTCCTCTTTAATGTACCACTCTTTCGCGTCCCTTGTTGTCATGGCAACAGAATGAAAATGACTTGTCGGAAGTGAAGTCAATGGGTTTGAGGGGACAGGGGTTTGAGGGTATGTTGCATCACATGATTGTCATTTGTCAGTAAGACATGTCCTTCTTCGGAGGAAATCCGTTTGCTTCGCCCGTCGGGCAAAGAATAGGTAAAATGTAATGTTTTTTTACTGTTTAACTAGTATAATAAGTGTTAAACTATAATTTAACGTGTAACTTTATGTGTCGGAAAAGTTGCTGTGTGAAGACCATGAGCGCAATTCTGATACATTACTACAACAAGCGACTATCGATTTAATTTTTTCTGCGTTGAATATATTTTGTCAAAACTACGTTAAATATAACATTGTTTCAACTGTATGAACGTTTAATCATGTTTACAATAAACTCTACGAGATCGAAACATTTCATTTTTATGTTTTCCATGCACATATTAAGTCGGTACCCCCACCTCCGTGACAGCTGGCAGATGGGCGTTTGAATGTACCAATGTGACAAGTAAAATTGATAAACGAGGAAGTAATTGGGTACGGAGCGATAGCGATATTGACATGAAAGTTACCTAATTATTTGCTGTGAGTCTACAACGGGCGCCTTTAAGTATGTTTTGCAAATGCATTAGTCATGGGTAATGTAGTATGCCAGTTACGCTGATTTATATTTTGTACTTACAGAACAAGCCACAGATGCTGCCCTTGCATCAGAAAATTGGGCATTGAATATGGAAATTTGTGACATCATTAATGACACTGAAGATGGGCCCAAAGATGCAATCAAAGCCATCAGGAAACGTCTAACACAAAATGCCGGAAAAAACTATACGGTGGTTATGTATACCCTTACTGTTTTGGAGACGTGTGTCAAAAACTGTGGGAAACGATTTCATATTTTGGCATGCAACAAGGAGTTTGTTCAGGAATTAGTCAAACTGATAGGTATGTATTAAGTGAGGTGTTCTTAATTTTCTGTCAGTTTAATTGCTTACTACCTTGGAACAGGTCATGCAAACTGTAGATGTCCGCCATCTGTCATCTTTACAAGATGGTTTAGGCTGTTTTAGTGTAGTGTACTATAGTATAACTTAATGCAATTCAGATTACAGTGAATCTTGGGTGATCATGCTGAAGGGGTTGGTGTAGTGGTGAAGTTCATGACTTATGTTCAGGAAGCCCTTGATTTGAAACTTTGCTGGAACAGCTGCTATCCTGACTGAATGATCTTGTGGTTTTCCTCAGTTCCTTGAGCCAAATACTGGGCTAGTAGTACCTTAGTTGTACCATGATTACTTCCTGCCAAATCCTTTACAGTTCACTCTTCATGTCTCATCCTACCATTCAATGTTATATAATCCAGGTATATGGAAGCACCGACCACTTGAGAAGGCTTGTTACATTTGGTTGCTGTGAAGCTTGAAGTTTCATACAGTGAGGGATAAATTAGTGTGGTATAACTTTGTTAAATTTAATATAATTTAATTTTTTGTACTTTTTGTCACTCTGAAGAGAATATTTGAACCTAAGAGGTATGAAATAGTAGGAGACTGGAGAAAATTACGTTACAAAGAGCTTCATAACTAGTACTTCTTGCCAAACAATATTAGAATTAGATGTGAAGTGCATGTAGCATGAATGGGAGAGAAGAGGAATGCATGCAGGGTTTTGATAGGAGGACCTGAAGGAGAGACTCCGAGGAAGACCAAGATGTAGATGGTGGAACAATATTGTGACATATAGACCCATTGCTAGGCAACGACTCAGTAGACACATTCCCACGGGAGCCAGTGCACACAGAATAGGACGTTTATTGCTAGGCAGTGGATCAGTAAACACACCTAAAACAATGCAGGACAATAGAAGACACTGTTTTCTGTGCGTCCACCTCAAGGATATATAACAAGATGTTCCAAGGGAGCAGTTATTTTTTGTCAAGAATTTGGTCTAGTTCTGGAGAAGGCAGTTCAAGGTGATTGAGAAGAAATGGCAAGAAAGGAATTAGGCCGGGCATAGAAGACTTCATGTGTGGTTTGAAGTGATAGGGAGACTGTTATAAATATGTTGCCAGGATACGACTTGTGAGGACTTGAGAATCCTAGTGCATGTGTAACAGCAAACTGCAAAGTGTGTAGATCAATGATAAAGCATTGTAATTATGTTTAGTCTCGAGTTGAATGTGTAAGGTGTCAATAAATCCAATCATCGAAATGAAAACTCATTGTTTTAGTCACACACAACCCCTAACACATGAGAATATTGAGATGAATGTTAGCGAAAGAAGATGGGAATGTGTGGACCGGATTCATCTGGCTCAGGATAGAGACCAGTGGTGGGTTCTTGTGAACACAGTAATGAACCTTCGTGTTCTGTAAAATGCTGGGAATGTTTTGAATGACTGAGCAGCTGCTGGCTTTTCAAGGTGAACTCAGACCTATGGTGTTAGTATGTCATGTTTATATTGGGACCAGTAATCTTAGAAGGAAAATACTAACTTTATGTAAAGGTAGGTATTACAAGACATTACAAGGGAACATGGTACAGACACTAACATACGTGATAATATTATCTTAAAGTCCTAAATCCTTTCTGGTAGCCTGCATCTGTACATGTTTTAGGGAACATGGTTAGGAGTAGGAAAAGTTTCGAAAATATGGCAGTTGGAGAGATGTTTCTGTTACCAGAAGAAAATGGATAAGTATTTTCTGGTATCTCATTGTAGTTCCTCCACTCTGCAGGCAAGACCATTGTTGTCCTGTTGTTGTGCAGTCTGTCCTAGACAGCCACAGGCCAGGTGTAAAACAGTGGGGAAAAATAAATCAAGTTTAAAAAAGAGATTGTGATAACTTGGGAAGCAGATTGACCTTATCTTCTTTGGATGTGGTTTGTCATTTCATATATGCCAGGACTAAGTAAGAGCGCCATAAGTTTGAAAGCCAACTCGTAAATACCGAGTGAGAACTTGGTCACCACCCTTTTCCAGCCCCATACTTCATGCGAAATTACTGAAGTTTTAGTCGCTGTTGGTCGTTTATATCGTGATCTGGGTCATGACACCATGTATTCTGGTAGTCAGAGTACCAGTATTTCAGAGGAACACATACTGAAGATGTATACATCATGAAGAAAGCAGTATTCTGGGATTTGGCACCTTGTATATGTTGTGTTAACCGACGTTTTGGAGGAACGTATCACCTCCATCTTCAGGGAGGCGATACATTCCTCCGAAACGTTGGTTAACACCACATATACACGGTGCCAAATCCCAGAAGACTGCTTTCTTCATAGTCACCGCCGTGGAAACCTCAAGTCTTACATGTATACATCATGTTCCTCCAAAACATCGGTGAACACTTGCCAGAACTCGCTGCTGCATACTCCCGTGGGATATAGTTACGGGACAGCTTCCATGTCAAGGTCACATGAAGGTCAGATGCAGGCCATTTTGTAAGGGTGACCCATGTCATCTTGGTAATATGATGATTGTTTTGTAGAATGACTTGCGATGGTCCATATCCATATTGCTTCATATGTAGAGCAAAGATTAAGTCATCTCTGTGCCATATTAAGCACCGCACCATGAGAACATGGGAGGGGCACAGCTCCATGTATTCTTAACCTTGGTAATAATTGGAGGTGAGTGGTTGTACACCTGCCACTTCACCCCTGTGGAAACATCCCTGGTATCCATTGGATAGGAGGCTAGATGGGCCCCAGAGTTGGTCTTGACGCTGTGGAGAAAAGAAAAATCACTTGACCCCGTCGAGAATCGAAAACCAATTCCTCGCCTGTCCAGCATTGTAGCCTAGTCACAATACAAACTGAGCTATCTTGCCTCCTGTCTTTTTGTATGTTGTTTAAACAATTTGTTTGTGAAAGTCTAAGCTAAGAGATAAATGGTGTCCAGTTTGTCCGGATGTCTGGTTACCAGATGTGAACTCTGCTTTTCAGGTCCCAAGAATGACCCTCCAACAGCTGTTCAAGAAAAAGTGCTTAGTCTGATTCAAAGCTGGGCCGATGCATTCCGCCATCAAACAGAATTGTCAGGCGTGGTGCAGGTGTACCATGATTTGAAACAGAAGGGGATCGAGTTCCCAATGACTGATCTGGACACAATGGCCCCCATTCATACACCGCAGAGGGTAATACATACTGAATTTCTGAGGGTGATGCCACAGGTTCTGTGTAAATCAAAGCAACTGCAAAAATTGATGAAGTGCTTGTGGCGCAGTACTTGTTTAAAGTGTTTATGCAACTTAGGCAGCATAGGAAATGTTGGCACTTCTGTCCTCATTCACAGAGATTGTCTAACTTTTTATTTTGAGCACAGACATCACAAAAATTGTTAAAAATGTTCGTAGAATTTGATATTAGTTTGACACAAAATTTTGTTTGGAAAACCTGAAGGGAAGAGACGATCTGGGATATTTAGGCATGAATGGAAAGATAATGTTAAAATAGATGGTAGAGAAATAGGTTGTGAGGGCACAGACTTGATTCATCAGGTCCGAAGACATATTCTTGTGAACCCATTAATTAACCTTAAGGTTCCACAATAAGTTGAGTAATTTGTAGACCAGATGAGTGACTGTCAGCTTCCTAAGAAGAGAGTTAGTTGTGATCATGCATGTTTCTGCTCTTGTGGCAGAGTATCCCAGATGCAGATGTCACACTGGGTGTGTCATCACTTCAGACTCACATGCCAGCATCACCAACGCCAGTTGTGTCGCCACATGCGATTCCTCCAGGCTCCCCTGCCACACAGCCTGTGACGCCCGCTTCCCAGATTGGACCCACTGTTCTTTCTTTTGACCAGCTCGGCAAGCTGCAGAGCGAACTAGATGTGGTGCAGGGAAATATGGTGGTTTTGAGTGAGATGCTCACAGAGCTGACGCCTGGCGAGGAGCATCCCAGCGACCTGGAGCTCCTGAAGGTAAAGCAAAGGCTGGTACTTCTTAGGCTGTGGTTCCAGGAACCTGGATGTTGAAAACATTTTTATCCCTGAAGCTGTATGATTATTGCCTTCTGGGACATGGTACCTTGAAATCTGTTAGGTTACAACCAAAATGTTTCAGAGGTATATATTACCTCCATCTTCAGGATAGAATACTAACCTGATTGGGAAGAAAGTGGTGTTGATGCCTGTGTCTAATTACCCGATCTGTGGCATCCTTGTGCTTAACTAATTAAGCACTATGCCATGAGGATGTATGGAGGAATGGATGTATAGATCCATGTTTTCTTGACCTTGGCACTAGTTGCAGGTGAGTGGTCAGCTTCATGCCCTGCCGCTTTACTCCAGGGGAAAGAGCCCCTGACCCATTGGATAGGAGGTTGGTTGGGCCTCAGAGCCAGTCTTGATGACATGGAGAAGAGAAAATTTTTGTCCTTATCAGGACTCAAACTCTGACCCCTCACTTGTTGAGTCTGTAGCCAGTCGCTTGTACTGACTGCGCTATCCCGACTCCTACCATAAAAGGTGCATTGCTTATTTATTATTGTTTTTACTTGCAGGAGCTACACAGTACATGTCAAGCCATGCAGCATCGGCTGGTTGAGCTGATAGGCAAATTGGCTAATGATGAGATCACCGCAGAACTCCTTCGAGTTAATGATGAATTGAATAATTTATTTTTAAGGTCAGTTGCACAGTATTTTTCAGTGTTAAACTGTATGCTAATTTAGATGTTAGACTATATTGCCAGTTGCAGTGTGTGTGTCATTTTGTTCCCTGAAATTGTTTCACAGATGCATGGTTTGATTGCATATGTTATTCATTTGTTATCTTAGGTATAATCGGTTTGAAAATAACCGTGAGGCTAGTCTGCAGACTGTGAAGGCACCAGCAGCCCAAGTTGTGACAGCAACTCAGAAACTGGCAGTGGAGGCCGGAGCTGACGCTCTCATAGATCTGAGTGACGAAGCTGCCCCTTCCGTTACCTCGAGGGGAGTGGCGGATGGTCCTAACCTTAACACCAAATTTGCTGGACTAAGTATGTCATGATATCTCTCGTGAAGAGTGTTCAGAGGAAATGTGTCGAAGAGATGTAACCAAGATGTTGAGAATTTTGTTGGTAGCAGAATAGAGTCAAAATATGCCTCAACTCCTTCCATGTTCTTCGGATTCATAATTTCACAATCATGCAACCATATGTCATTCAGCATTACGTAATTTTAGCAGGTGACCTAGTGTTATAGCATGAATGTGTAACCAGCTGTGTTTCTGTCAGGTTTAGGGAGTGGTAATGCAACAGCGCAGCTGAGTATGATCAGCTGTGTGCCAGCCCAACATGGCTCACAACAGAAGGAAAAGGAGGATACAGAGTTTGATATGTTTGCTCAGTCCAGAAACGTCACTTACGAGTCTTCCAAAGCGGGGTAAGCTGTTCACATTTGCCACACATGCTGCAGAATTCTCAAATTGAGTTACTATGTTAGGTATATCTGAGCCGATCCACCTCTTCGAAGACGGCCGGAGCTCACAATCGACTGTTTGTCGCGTGGTGTTCCAATGCCTCCCCAGTGTGGAAGGGGATCTCAAGGGAGGAACCAAGAGGGTTAGCTGGCATAGATTTTAGGCAGTACAAATAATCAAGCAGAGTACACAGAAAGCAGAACAATCCAGCTGGTTTTTCAATAACATAAAGTATATTGTAACATAAGTATAGAAATATAAATCGTACAAGTATCTCAAAGGAAAATACCACAGCTTCGCCTGAAGGGCAGCAGAAATGTCAAATAAACACAAGTCAAGAAAGAATCAGAATGGGCACGCAGTTAAAGTAACGATTGCGACCTCTTAGGTTCACCGACATGAGCTGATCAATGGCCTTGAATTTACAGGGTTTAAACTGTCGCAATAATCTGATTGCAAAAGATGAAAATCAATCATTATGTTCTGACTACACCCGATTTCAGAATAATACTTAAAACAGAGCTGAAAGAAACAAAACAGTCAATCCTAGCAAAGTGCCCCCGCCGCATTGCGGCACTCATTAACCAGTCGTAACTCACGTAACTCCGTGGCACTTTCACTAATACAGGGCAGTCCCAATACACATCGCCCAACTTACTCAGTAAGTACTTACTTGATAAATTATATTACAAACCAGGAAAAATAAATAAATAAATAAACTCCCGAGCCAGCCAGCTCATGCTAGCTCGACAGGACTCTCTCTCTCTTCCAGTAGTACGTAATGTGCCGAAACAGAATTTCTACGCAACATGCGTAATCCAAACCAAACTGGAATTCCGATGCCCAAAACCGACCTTCTCGGTCGAGACCAAAGAGGAAAGAGCGACAGACGAACTTGTCTGTAAACATAGCTTGTGTCGGGACAGGAGGGAAGGGGAAATACGTGACCTCTGGTAGCAAAGAACTTAATGGGAAAAGGATCGGCTCCACGTCGTAGCATAGGTAGTTGCCAGAGAGAGACGGTAAATCCAAGGACCCTACACAGAAAGAACCGTAACACGGTTCATATCTTAATACAGTAAAACCCTCACTAATCTGGTTGCAGTTAATCCAGATGTCAGATGAGTACATACTTTAAAAGGCAGACGAGTCACTTGTCTGTTCAGACAGAACGTATTCAAATCTGCATTGTTATGTTCAAGAACAAGAACAAGTTCCGAGTCTTCTGTCAATAAATAAAGGTCTCATACTTTTATAGTTTTTAAACAAAGTCTGTACAGTGCTACTGTGCTACTTCTGCATTTACTTGCATCAGCACTGCTTAGATAATTAAATTTTTCAATTATTTGTGATCTTTTAGGGCTATCTTTTGTCTCACTAATCCAGATTATCACATAATGCAGGTGATCTCTCTCCCACAATTAATCTGGATTAGTGAGGGTTTACTGTATGTCCCTCTTTCTGTTTTTTGATGTGTTCACAAGAAGCTGAAAAGTTTGTGTACTATCTTCGCCGTGTTGAGCCATGTATCAGCTGCAGCCCCACTGATTGGACTGTCACGAAATTTGATGTAGACGATTTTTATTGAATTTGTAGGCACATTAGAGTTTTTTTTTTTGTTAAAATTGGACATGAACAACAAACACTTTACATGAAGACCTACTTGTATTTCAAGTGTAACTCGCTAAATGTTTATCACAGCTGAAACTGTTTCAAACAGAATTTGCAGAGGACAGTGAAACATGCATTTACTCTTAATGTCCCTGTTTTCAAGACAGTTAAACAGAGGAGCAAATGCATCAGAATTCTTTTCTGATGTCTGCCTTTCCTAACTTGTTTGTTAATGATATGTACAGTTTTACATTGTGTGCAGAATAATGGATCCTTTGTAAAGCTTTTGTTTTATTTTCTTTATCCACTTGTGTCCTCCAGCCACAGGATTTTCTGGATTCATGTTGTAAATTTTATTTGTGATGCATATCTTTTGTGATAGATGTCTGGACATCTGGGAATAAAGCATTATCTTTCCATGCAGAAGGTTTGATAATTTCACAGTGTTATCAGGCAAGAATGCAGACTGGTGATTACAGCTTAGTTAGTTAGTTAGTTATTGGAGAGGGTGGGTTTCCCCATGCACTGAGACCTGTATTGGTCCATTGTGCTTCCCTCTATGATTTCTACCAGTCTCTATATCCTACCGGTACTGGTGCTTACCATCAGTCCCGCCCAGCCAGCGAGACCAGCTCTACTAGCTGAGAGGTATCTGTAATGCTTCCCCCATCTACCAGAGGTATTAGAGACTGCTGTTGGGCGGTAAACGTCCGTTAATTTGGCTCAGTGACCTCCTTTGGAGATATGAGGTTCTTTTATGTGCCGTACAGCTACGACATGGGACCCACGGCTTAAAGTCCCTCCCGGAGGACTTGTTCCCTGAATTTTTCCGCCCTTAAAAATTCGACGACCTCCGCCGGGTATTTGAACCTGTGTACTACGAGTCATGAGGTGGGAACGTTACCTCTAGACTACGGAGGCCGCTGTGATTACAGCTTACTCACTCGCTCATGGAGCTGAGCCCTTCTTGAGGAGAAGCCAAATCTGCGGCTACTCAAGAATTTCCCAGCATTTTATGGAACCTGAAGGTTCATTATGGTGTTCACAAGAGCCCTCCCCTGGTCTCTATCCTGAGACAGATCAATCCAATCCATACCATCCCATCCTATCTCTCTAAGATCCATTTTAATATTGTCCACCAACCTACGCCTTGGTCTTCCCAGTGGTCTCTTTCCTTCTAGTTTTCCCACCAGTATCCTATATGCGTTAATGTTCTCCCCATTTGTGTTACGTGCCCTGCCCACCTCATACTCCTTGACTTGATAACTCTAATTATACTTGGAGAAGAGTACAAGTTATGAAGCTCCTCATTATGCAGCTGCCTGACTAACTGATGGATTCACTAACAAACCAAGCAAGCAACCAGCTAAGCAAAGTAAATTAAACTCCATGGATTGGAGTCCTTGAAAAGCTAATAGTTGCTCTCCTATTGATGATATTCCCAGTTCTTTATGGAATGTTAAGGTTTATTTCATGATTCTGAATCCTGTCATCAGGCCTCCTGCATTTCATTAAGATCCTATTAACATTATTCTCCCGTCCACATGTAAGTCCTTCAAGGATTTGGGGCAGAATTTTGTATGCATTTGTCATCTTTGCCATGGTTGTTGCATGTCCCTCCAATTTAAATTTTCATTACTTGTATACAGATTTTGAAGGTCCTCATTATGTATTTTTCTCTATCCACCTGCCATTTCTCTTCTTTTATGTGTATTCTCCTATCTGCATTCCTAGTGGCCCATTCTGTGGTCCATTTCTGTACCCCTTCCCATAGAGAGTGGTGACTACCCTTCTTGCAGGGTGCCTATGTAACTGAGCCAGTTCCTCACCCTGAATGAAGCATGTTGGCTCCAAAACTGTGATGACCTTGAAACTTATAACGCTTCGCCTACTCTTTACAGTGGCAGCACATATCAGGACAACTTGGAGCCGGATCAGCTGAACGCAGCGCTTGGAGCCATAGCCCAAAATCGGACTCAGGCGGTTGTAAGTCAAACAGCCCCCAAACATTTGTAGGATAGTGGTACAACAGGTGATCTGTGGGTGTACTGCTTTTGTTGGGTTCTGTCCTTTTTGATGCTGCTCCTTTCTTGTCTGCTTGTGTGCAGTTGTCATGAAGACACAAAGTACATGATAAAGGAAACTCTGTCTTTGTAATAAAAATTTAATATGTAGTAGGAATGTGCAAATCTTGAGCTCAGATCGAGAGAAACATCTTGAGCTTTTTTCAGATGTTTCATTTTTAGTCTCAAACATAAAGAAAAATGATAGGTAACCACTTTCAATTTGCATGGTAGCTTTACAAAGTAGCTGTAAAAGTAACCTTTCATTGTTTATCTGAAATTGCTTTGATTTCAGTGTGGTACAACTGATAGGTACTTTGTGAATGTACTACATGAACCAGAGCTGAAGTTTCATAAAAAATTATGAACGCTGTCCAGTGTCATTGATAAATGTTATGTTTTTTTAATCTTTCATCTTTTACATGTTTCGGTTAGAGCGACCATCTTCAGAAGGACATTGTCGATACATATGGAAATTACTATTACAATGTTATAGATATAAAATATTATCCTTTAACAGTTATTAAGATGTGCATGAATTTGCCAAAACATATTGTCACGTGTTGGGTGTGTAATGCGACAAATAACTTCATGCCGTATTGGATATAGCGAATTTTATTTCACACTCGCTCATACAATCACACAGTTTACAATCTCACAATTACTGCCATCTGCAGTATTACAATTACTTGGCCTGTGAATGCTAGACTACAACTAACTGGTTGACTGCCTGGCTAACTCGTAACTCGTAACTGCTGCCTTGAAAACTGTCTTTGGTGGCTGCTACACTTCAACTCGTTCGCTGCTGACTAACTCGCTTTGCCTAGCAACCGCTGTTTACTCGCGTTGCATAGTGACCAGTGTGCTGGGACTCGGCTCACTTCGGCTCCGCTCGGCACGTCACGGCTGGCGGGGAGGGAGGGGCGCCATCCATAGCGCAACATGTCACAATACATAAATTATTATTAGTCTATTTACAAAGTATTGTTTAAAAAACTTTTTGTTGAAATCTAGAACCAATTTGGTTCGTGTCCTTTGTACTTCTCTTTCAAAGCAGGGAGAAAGAAACATAACACTTATCAATCGCACTGGATGGCACTAACAACCTTTCATCCTATTACTAGTGTGACAGACACGGATGAACCAAGTCAAATTTACTGAAGTTCCATGTTTAATAACAAATATGCGAATATATACTAACTGCTTTCCTTGAAAGTCACATGTGAGAATACTGTGATTGAATGATTACCACTCCTGACTCATATTTGAGAGGTCCTGGGTTTGGATCTCAGCCTTTAGACTTGTTGTTATGCCTGAGGTTTTTGGATGTTACTAGACATTTCCTCTCTGTTGGTTACCCAGCAACCAGGCCTTTCCTTAATACTGTATTTCAGCATCCTGTTGCATTAATATATTGTTTATTTCATACAATATATTTCCTTCTGCAATGCAACTTATTGCCTGTCCAACAGACATATCGTACAATGCTAGCAAATCAGAGACACCTCATGATGGCCATATGTGGCCAGAAAGTGCTGTGAGAAAGAAAAGGGACAATATTAAGTTGCACTGTATGTTGAAATTTGTTGTATGGAATAAAAACCTTTTCATGTTTCGCTTTCCTCCCTAAGCTCTTCCTTCCTGATTGCACAACTTTCCTAACCTCTTGTACCAGTCTTGGTCTTAATGTTTTGCTTTAGCTTTTCCCTTTTAGTTTCATATTCCAAACTGGGACTGATCCTTGTTCATTCTTAACACATGTCCATATCTTCTTATTGTAACAAATACCGATTTCTTTCCAAGGTATGTAACTTCATCTGTCTGATTTTTTAAAATTTGTTTTTCTCTGTGTACAGTGAAACACGCATGTAAATTTCCTTTGGGAGTAAGTGGATTTGAACCCTGAACTCCATGAAATCTTGAACAGAGGGATTTTAATAACACTTGAGATTGACTTGGGATCACTGAAACTGAACATTAAATGAGGGAAAGCCTTAAATCTAGGAACACTAATTTGGGTGTTCCAGTGTAGGTAATTATTATAATGCATGGTGTTGGTTATGTATATTTGTAGCTGGTCATATTGTGTAAGATTTGAGGCTTTCACGGCGGTGACTATGAAGAAAGAAGTCTTCTGGGATTTGGCACCGTGTATATGTGGTGTTAACCGACGTTTCGGAGGAACGTATCGCCTCCATCTTCAGGGTAGAAGAAAAAATATATAAGAAATCTGCAAGCGGAGAGACCGTGAGAACCGACCGGTCCCAGAAGACTTCTTTCTTCATGTTCATATTGTGTCTACTGACACTGTCAGATGCGTTTGTGCTACATTCAAGAAGTACAGCGCACCCTGTCTCATACACATGGAGCTGAATGTGCCCAGTGTGAAGTTAAGTTCATTCATCTCTCAGTTTCCTCCGAGACAAAGCACCACTAACCAGGAATGTGGATGAAAGTAAGGTTATGGTCATCTGGGATGTGATGTTCTGAAGTTCTCTTCGTCTGTACCAACATTTCAAAGGCACCTCAGTACCTGTCTGCTAGAGTACAAGGTGTCATATCCCAAGAGATTATATAATCTTAGTGCTCAGTGCTGTGAGAATCTGACATCTTTTCATGGCTGTGCTTTTCAGTAACAGAATGTTATAATTGCAGTTGTTATGAATTCAGTACTTGCTCTCACATACTGTCAAGTTGATTGTGTATGTTATTTACCATTAAAAATTCACTAAATAAGTAAAGTAAAGTAAAGGTATCCCTGTAATAAGCCATGAAGGCCCATAGGGTTGTGAGACGTTGAGGTTCCCACATTTTCTAGACAATCAGCACACAGATGGCGGTAAGGTTGTCAGCCTTATGCGCCGGCTGCCGTTAACCCCAAAGAACATTCCTGGTATTCATTTCTGTTAGAGGCTGAGTTGACCCCCAGGCCCATAGTGCGGCTGGAAAGATTAGTCAAATTGAAAAAATCCACCTCGTTTGGATTCGATTCCGCAGCATAGCGCCTCAACAAACTATGCTACCACGTGCCCCNTTTCAGTAACAGAATGTTATAATTGCAGTTGTTATGAATTCAGTACTTGCTCTCACATACTGTCAAGTTGATTGTGTATGTTATTTACCATTAAAAATTCACTAAATAAGTAAAGTAAAGTAAAAGTATCCCTGTAATAAGCCATGAAGGCCCATAGGGTTGTGAGACGTTGAGGTTCCCACATTTTCTAGACAGTCAGCACACAGATGGCAGTAAGGTTGTCAGCCTTATGCGCCGGCTGCTGTTAACCCCAAAGAAGATTCCTGGTATTCATTTCTGTTAGAGGCTGAGTTGACCCCCAGGCCCATAGTGCGGCTGGAAAGATTAGTCAAATTGAAAAAATCCACCTCGTTGGGATTCGATTCCGCAGCATAGCGCCTCAACAAACTATGCTACCACGTGCCCCCAAAATTCACTAAATGTGAGTAAATCATATGTTGTTTGTATTGTGCTTTGACTTGGTTTGAAAAAGTGAACAATGAATGTGGGATTTCTCTAAATGCAGAACACAAAATTTCGATCTGACTGTAATGTGACACTACAGCAACAGGAATGCAGCAACGAAAGAGCAGGAGAAGTCCTTTAGTGTTCTAAAAGGATTTTGAATTGGAAACTGAAGAAACCATGTAAAGCGCAATGGCAAAGGTTTCTGTGAGTGTTTGATATATGCTGCCTCAGTCGTCCGGGTAAAAATTACCATGAAGATGGAGGCGGCATGTTCCTGTGAAACTCCGCTACCCTCCTCCTTTACTGTATAGTATTGCAACTCAGACTACTGCAGTCTGAACATTCAGCGCTGTGAACACCTGGAAACTTAACAGACAGACTAACCAGTGATACAATTCACGTAGTGTGCTGTAGATGTAGATCATGTAGTTCTGTAGCTTCTGGTTTGAGCGTGTATTTTGTATCTGACCACATGTTTCTCTCTGCTTGTGTCCTGTTCCTCCCCCCTGTTGTTGGTGTGATGGCTGTACCCCCTTCCCTGCACTTTGTGTTGCTACTTCTGACATCTTGGCTCCTGGTTTGGTTGGTGTGCATGCCCCGTTTGGGACGTGATGTGTGCTCTTGCTCCTGGTGGTATCCTCTGCCTGCCTCCTCCTGAACTGAGAGTAGACCGCTGATGCATCATCTCAGCAGGAGGAACTGATTAGGGTAAGGTTACAGTTTCATTGTGTATCTTCATATGCTTATATTGTGCAGCATGGTGGGAGATTTGTAATGGGAAGCCTAGTGTATATTTGATCATTATATTGTTATTACAGTACTTCAGTTTTGTCACCTGCTTACATGCATTTGAATTTATGTTAGTCATCCGGAAATTTGGGATTCCAAATCTCGGAGTTCTTCAGTGATGATGGCCAAATAAAAAAAAAAATGTATATGTGTGTTTGTATATATATATATTATGGTATGGGGAAATGTGAGAAGCCGGGATAGCACAGTCAGTATAGTGACTGGCTACTGGCTGGACAACTGAGGTGTTGAAGTTTGAATCGTGGTAGGGTCGAGAATGTTTCCAGACTGGCTCTGGGGCCCACTCAGCCCCCTATCCAGTGGGTACTGGGGCTCTTTCCCCGGGGGTAAAGCGGCCGGGGCGTGAAGCTGACCACTCACCTCCAAATAGTGCCAAGATCAAGGAGATGTGGATCTATACATCCACTCCCCCACACGCCTTAGTGCTTAATTAGTTAAGCACAGGGACAACTTTACCTTTACCTTTATGGGGCAGTGTAAAGCTAATGTCAGTTTTGTTCTCGTGTCTGGAGTACAAAGTCCGACAACGTAAAGAGATAAGCAGTGACACAGAGCATGATCCTAGTGTGGTCATATTCACCTATGCAGAGGAAAGTAGCAAAGTCACACTAACTTGAAGTAATTAAGAGACATGAAAATTGCATACACAGAAGGGTCACAGTTAAACATTATTCAAAAGGGCATACAAAATAATGGAAGCCGTTGACATCCGTCTGCCAGTAAGCTGGGGGGGAGAGGGGGGGAACAGCAACTAACCAGAGCACTCTCCATGCCCTTCCTCGCCATTTGGCTGGTCACGTCATTAAGCACAACAAAAAGGCGATGTGCTCTTGGGGTAAGAGCTTGGACTCCTTCAGAGGGTTTTGGTTTTGATTGCTCCTCGGAAATTTGTGTAGATGTTTCTGCTCACATTGACAGCTTCAGCTCTACCGCGGTCAAAACTTTGGGTATGTGAAGAATACCTGCCCTCCCATTGATTAAGGGCCCATGTTAGATCACCTCTGTTGACCATAATCTCGTGATCATTCTGTTATTTAGAGTATAGAGTCTGCCCAGGATAGCTCAGTCGGTATAGTGGTGGTCTGTGGGGTTTGATTCCCGGCAAGGGGAAGAAGCAACTCTTCTCCAAAGCATTCAGTCCTGTTCTGGGGCTCACCCAGTCTCCTATCCAATGGGTAGTGAGGGCTCTTTTCCTGGGGGTAAAGCAGCCAGGATGTGGAGCCGACCACTCACTTCCATCTACTGCCACGTTCAACAGTGGCACAGCTTTACATACGCACTCAAACACATGTCTTCATGGCATAGTGCTTAATTAATTAAGCACCTGGATGAAACGTCACTTTGTTTTGTCCCATTGGATTCCACATCTTTGCGTAGCTTGACATAGACCTAACCACACCTTAAGCCATTAAGTAGACAACATGACACCTGAGTCAGGGAAAGAATGCCTCTTTCCCCACTCTACATGCAGTACAAACCTTCTGTCTGTCAGTAGCAAAACCAGGAACACAGAGAGATGGATTGATAAGTAGGATATAAGTGACGGCTGTGGGGAGTGGGGGGCAGAACAGACATAGTTACAAGGGAGATAAATGGCAGACAATCTTGCTCATTTTGTCCATGACCCGACTTCAGTAGAAAGTGTCAAATTGCTGCTTTGCATATGTTGAGAGTAGCTTACGTGTGTAGACAGTTGTGGATGTGAACTTGTGTGTGAAGTTTTGCTTTTCTTGGTTCTGTTTTTGCCATGTGTTGTGTTGTTTCTTTTTGTTTCAAGATGCACAAGGAGAGTGACTTTGATGAAATGGCTGCTTGGCTAGATGATAAGGTAAGTGCTATGTTTAGAGAGCAGTGTAGAGTTTTTCAGGTTTTGATAGTGCATTCTAGAAGTAGCATGGTAGATACTTAATGTTAAAACAGGTTTTGTTAAGATTGTGGGCTCCTGGGATGTGACAACATGTCAACTGGTAGTAAGTACCAGTGCTTCTTGGGAACCCACACCCTGAAGGTAGCGCAGAGGGTTCCTCTAAAGGCGTGTTCACATTACTCGTGCTCGCCAGGCTTGTGCTCATCAGGAGACTCGTCTGGCTTTTTCTTGTGCTCGTAAATCTGCATCCACACTACTCCAGTTGCTTGCCAAACTTTGGCTCGTGAGGATCCGTATATTTAATTGTAGTGTTCATAGGCTGTAGTCGTATTTTAATTTATTGGCTATAGTTTTTAAAATAAAAATTTGCTTGTCTCGTGGCTTGTCATATCTTCCACATTACTCGCGAGCATAGCGAGTCACATGAGCACGAGCATGTGTAATGTGGACGTGCCTTAAAACAGTACTACCAATCTACCAAACTACCTGACATCACGTATGAGAAGACTGTGATCTTTGCCTTTTGTCGCGTGAGTACTGGAGTGTTCTGTTTCCACTTTCAGGTCAAAATGAGATAATGTACTTTTCTGATTCTCTGTATTACACTGCTCTGCCCCCTCACACCTCCATAGGTGTACCTCACTTGTGAGCGTGGGATTTCCGAGTGTGTTCTGGTCTGTGTCACATTTAAGCTGCAGTTGAACTTAAGCCCAGTTTCTCAAAATTTGGTGTTGATGGACATAACCCACTCCAGCACTCAGGTTGATTCCCTGTCGTGAGAACCGCAGCGCTCATACTTCATTGGTAACTCTAAATTCATATTTGCTTCCATTATAAAATATATTAATGACATGAGACTGCGTATGGTGACTGTGTTATGAGCTGAACAACCAAGGAATCATGGTTTGATTCCTGGCAGTGGCCTTCACAGCAGCCTGACTGGCTCTGGGGCCTACATACCTTTCTCTGGGGTAAAGTGGCCAGGGCTAAAGTGACCCACTCACTTCCCTCTTTTCTTGAGGTTTTTTTTTTTCTTTTTTTTTGGGGGGGGGGGGGTCCAACTGGGTCCACTTGGAACGGTGGCCACTGATGGGCCTACGGTAGCCTGCCCTGGGTGATCATGATGATGGAGAATTTGGTGGAATGAAGATTGGCAGGGGAAACAGGAGTACTCAGAGAAAACCTGCCCCCAGTGCCACTTTGCCCACCACAAATCCCACTTGACCAGACCCTGGATTGAACCCGGGCCGCCATGGTGGGAAGCCAGCAACTAACCGCTTGAGCTATGGCGCGGCATTTTCCTGAGGCTAGGGATATGCGGTGCAATATTTCTACTCCTTCATATGTTTAAATGGCTTGGTGCTTAATTAAGCACACGGACAGCTTTACCTTATGTTACAATGATGTGGTGTCAGTAGAGCCCATGCAGTTGATAAACAGTGTTCATGGAACCTAACCTAATCTAACTCAAGTTGCTAGGGTGAAAGGAAAGTAAAGTTTCCACTGTACTTAATTAAATACTACCCAGTGAAGATGTATGGGGTTTGTGGTGGTATAGCTCCCTGTATTTTTAACCTCGCCATAAGACTGATATGAGTGGTTGCAGAAGATGATAGGAAAAGAGGAAATCTCTTGACCCTGCTGGGAATCAGATGTTGGTTCTCTGGTCAGTCAGCTCACATTTAAAAGTGTGATTTTAAATATATTAATTTTTCAAAGGAAGGTATTTGTGTGATATTAAAGCTTGGAAATCATTGGTTTGAAGGAATATATGTGTTATATTTGATTTGGTTTGGTTTAATAAAAGTAATTGTTTCTTCTTGGGTATTGGTTCTCTGGTAACATATTTTGGTTGGGTTACTGTTTCTTTTTTTTGGTGACAGTTATTGCAGGTGATTTGTTTTGTCATTCTGGTGATAGATATGCAGGTGATTTGTTTTGTCATTCTGGTGATAGATATGCAAGTGATTTGTTTTGTCTATATGCTTTTATTTTGTTTGTACTCATAATTATTATGTTCCTTACACTAGGCTTTAGTCTTGCTGTCACATCAGAATGTAACATATGCTCTGAATTTAACATGTGATTTTATTTGGAGCAAGCAGAAGTACCCACTCATTGCAGCTGAAATTTCAAAGAAGGAATAACACTCAAATTAAAAACAAACGAAGGTTTGCTCATGCAATTAAAAGAAAGTATTACGTATGAGGAATAAGATAGCACCCATGGACTCTCTCCGAAACTTGCATGTTGCTTTTACAGCTGTGGCCATGGTATGTACTAGTGAGATTACAAAATACGTTTTGTAATATCTTTGGTTGTAAATACTTTTTGTAATATCTTTGGTTGTCTGGTAGGTCTTTGTTGAGAAAAAGCCAAGAAAGTTATTTGAAGATCATTGTCTTCTGATGCGTGACACTGTAGTGTGTTAGAAAATAACCAATATTTATGACGAATCTGCTGTCTCCATCTTCAAGGTAGAAGAGTAAACAAGAGGAAAATGAGGGTACGGATATATGGAGCTGATGAAAAACAGTGGATCTGAAAGTAGGCCAACAGGGGACAGTGGCCCTGAAAGGAGCTGGGCTAAACATTTGAGTGGAATACAGATGATAAAGAATGCTTTGAGGAGGCACAAAGGAGAAGAAAAACACGGTTATATACCCCCTGCTGTAACAACTGAAAAACTGCAATCTGCCCACAGAGTGTATCTGTTCCATATGGTTCTCACAATAAACAGTGACTGTTTCCCTAAATGGCATTAACCGGTTGGACTTTGTAGTGGAAACATAATGTGTTTCCTGTGAGGTAGGAACTGAATTGCTATATATTCTGCCCACAGAGTGTATCTGTGTGTTCCGTATGGTTCTCACAACAAACAGTGACTGTTTCCCTAAACAGCATTAACCCGTTGGGCTTCGTTATGGTGACGGAGTGCGTTTCCTGTGAGGTACGGTCTAGATTTTCTTTTTAGACATTATATGAACTTCAGCTTGAACAAATTGGCTCATGTGGTAATGCTGTAGACCTTTCTTTGGGAGGTGCCTGGTTTGAATCTAGACTAGGACACTGACTCTCCAGGTGGAGGTTTCTCATGGTTCTCCTGAGTCCCTCCAGGCAAATTATGCTGTAATACCTTTAATTAGGCCACAAATGCGTCCTTTCACATCCTTTCCAGTTCATTGTTCACTGATCTTTGATCATTTGATGCCTCTAGCCTGAGTTACTGACAGAATTTTTAAATAAACTAAAAATAAATTGATATTCAGGCTTCACAGGAGGAAATAATATATAGACAGGATGTTTGTGCAGATGAGGAATGTTGTGATGTTTTTAGCCAGAATCTGGTGGTGCCGTGACTGTTCCTGAAGAATCGCTGACGAGCAGTGAATTTGAGCGGTTTCTGGCAGAGAGAGCTGCTGCTGCGGAGGCGCTGCCATCTGTGACAGCAGGGTCGGCTGTAAGCACAACCACCACCACCACCACCTCTTCCTCCTCGAGTGCATCCAGGTCACATCATCGCCAACTGAATAAGGAAGCTGATTCTGAGAGCTCGCTGTTTGCCTTGTGAGGCATTCTTTTTCCCCTTGTGGTTGGTATCTTCCCTGTTTCTGTTCAGAATGTAATTATTCGGTCAATCAAGAAATTGCCAGTTACTGTGAAAAAAAAACATTTTCTCTCTTTAAATAAAAGTAGATGGTTATAATAAATGGAGTTCAGTCCCAGCATGAAAATGTTGTATCATGCACCGTTTTCAAGGGGGGGGATCAAAACTTAATGGACATCAAACCATAAGATAGCTGGCCAGTCCAATATGTTGTCGTGGGTTTTGAACCAGTCAGTGCATGGCATTACAGTCTGTTAGCTAATGGTTGAATGGTATTTGGTATTACATCAAGCAACAGCCACATGCTTGCAATTTTCTAGACTGAATTTACACATTTTCTTGTTTTTCAAAGAAGTGACAAATGTAGTTCACCAAGGAAAATGTTGGGCAGCAGCAAAATATTTTGTCAACATTTTCATAATCTGTACATAAAAGTACGCCCCAAAACACTCAAGTTTACATAAAGGAAAATAGTGTCATTATACATTGTTTTGGGATAACGGTATTCATTGCGGTGTTGACAGAGTCCTGCAGTTTGTTAGTTTCCTCATGAGTTGATTCCTGTAGTTCACACCCTGAAGGCCTGTTTCTTTTAGGACAAGGTCTGAGGTGCTCACTGCAGTGGCTATGGTCATTTGGGTTGTGACTGTGTGAACTTGGCTGGAATGTGCTGCTCCCATCTTAAAGAGTAATTACTCTTGTACCCTGAAGATGTATGTAGTGATCCACCAATTTACTCTGTGTCACATCTCAGAAAACAGCAAGCAGTATCACTGTTCATCCATCTTCATGTCTGTATGTGTAGTTTTGGTGCACTTCTGACATAACAAACAGAATTTTTTGTCATGTTAAAACATATCCTCCACGCTGTGATACATATTAGATGGAGCCTTAATGCTACAGTCTGTGAGACCCCATGCACAGGTAGAAAATATGAAAGCAGAAGGGTGAGACAGCATAATGCCAGAACCCTCGCAGGCAACTGCTTGTGTGGGAATAGGTATCATGTACAGTTTGAATGTTTCACAGCAAAGAAGGGCACCGAAATCTTGCATGATTAACTACGTCACTGCAGAGGTAAAAACTGACATTTTGAGGCTTGTTCTGTCTGTGTCATGGTCCGCACAGTGGCGACAGGAGAGAGCAGGTCCCACTATGTGTGTGCTTCTGTCCAAGAAGACTTCAGTGCAGCGATGCTTTCTGTTAAAATATCTTGTAATTTTCCCATAGAATAATCTTCATAGCAGCGACCCTTAAGAACGTTGCACTGTGACAAAATTTGAAATGATGTATTTCATAATTTACTCCATTAAAAAATGTCTTCTTAACTGCATTGTTTCAGAATGACCGTCACTTGTATTTCCGATATGCAGCTTCGGTTTTTGGCTGTTTCCAGTGTTGCAGTCAACGTACTTATGAATTGACACATCTGATGATTAACAAAATTGTACTGAAGGTATTTTAAGTAGACCTACAAATATTTACTGTAAAGTTAGATGTTTAAACAATCCATAACATAAGAGACAGAATATTCCTACCTTGGTAGCTGAGGTCTGTTTGATATGTATTAGAATTATCTTAATTTGTTTTTGGTTGTCTTTAATGGAACTGTGCTGTTAATGCTGGTTGGGTATTATGCATAATACAGTGCAGTCGTCTTGAGGGCATTTTGCAAAATGTTCAGGCATCCAGATGGAGACATCAATCAGAGACAGCTCAACAATATACAGGAAGCTCTGAAATGATAACTCTGTGAATGCAGCCTCAGGTACCAGATAATTTTGAAAACAAATTACATCACACACATATTGAACCGAAGAACTGTGTAGGTCTATCTTATATGGCTGACTGCTTAACTTTTCCACTGCTGTATCAGGAAATGGCGTGGGGCCTTATCCCATGCTGAATTGTCTGTAGCAAGGTCTTCATATTTGGCCTCCCTATAACTACTTGAGAAATTGCTTATATATTCAGCTTCATTATGATTGTCATGTGAAGTAAAACACAAATCAAGGGTTTAAAAGATGTCTTCACTTACATTTCATGGACATTGCCATCCAAGCAGCTGGTTGGTTAAAACAGCATGACTGCAGATATACATGGCATCCAAAGTACAGTACAATCTAAAAGTAACTCCAACTTTCACAAATTATGCACTAATGGGATCTCATGTAATTTTTTTAATTTCATTTTGGAGGCAAAAATAACGTTCTTTTCTTTATTACCTTTGTACAAGACTATATGGCGTCACATCCCAGAAGACTTCACTTCTCGTATAAATTGCTATGAGAACCCTCCATGTCTTTTGTTTTAGAATTTACTTCACAAAATTTATTCCCTGCCTTCCCCCTCTGCTATTTCATACTGTTGTGGCTTGTTATGCATACAGCCATATACTGGAATGTACCATATTTGTTTTGTATGTTGAGAATTTATTCTTTGTGTTTTGTTTTATTCTGAGAATCAAGGGTGTTATATTTTGTTATTTCAGTAGAGTTTTAGAGGAAAGGATTTGTAATATGCATAATATCTACCATCCAGTTTTTAATAACTGATTAAAACTGTTCTCTTTGACTTTGTCAGTTATCAGAGTTTCTTTCAAAATCAGAAATTGGATCTGTTTCCGGTGTCCGTTTTTTGAGAACAGCTGTACCAAGGGAGCCAGCAGAATAGATTTGTATTCACATAATAATGGAGACAGCCAGTTTCTGAAATGTAGTTGTTTTGAAAGAATGGGATAATGGATAAAGTGCAAAAATACAGTCTTAATATGTTACATCACCATAAAAAATGTTAAACTTGGTTTATAATTTTGAATATTTGTTTAGTTCAGGTGAAATCTTAGTTAGGACTGTGATGGACTGAGGGCCTCTGTTTAAGTTGTGTCACTCCTGTTAGGATGTTGGATCACATTAATTATCAAGCTTGCATAGATATGTCTTTTTAATAATTACAGTTGCTTCAGCTATCAAATGAGGTATTTGAGTGAACTGAACATTAATAAGATTTGTTGGAACTGACATGAGGGACAGAAGTACCGCTAGTTAGTGAATAGTTCTCACAGTGCAAATAGATAAAATGCACTCCTTATCATACACTATAGTAATCCATACCATAGCCTTACATATGTTTGAAGTACCAAAGATGATGATTAAGTCAGAGATGAAATGTAATGTAAAGTTAGATGAGAAACTCAAGTATGAGAACACGAAAAATAAAGTTACATGAGGATAAATAATAAATATATTTTGTTCATATGTCTCTGTCATGTTCTTTTGTATGGTTTTCACTTTAGTCTTCTTCTTCTTCTTCTTCTTCATCATATTTTGATTCTTCAGTGTTTTGTGGACAGGTATGTTAGCATATATAACATGTGAGCGTGTGTTTACAGAATTAGTCAAAATATTTAGTGTGCCCCACCACATAATGCTCAGACTTCATGAGCATATTCCACATGTCATTTGAAGCAAAAAGTGTCCTCTGAATAATAATTGTTTTCATCGCCCTTATCGAGTTACAGACTGCCATAATGTAGCACTGAATACAAACCCAGCTTCCCTTTAAATCGCTCTGTTACTAACTTAGACGTTTACAGCTGAAGTAAGTTCTTACAGTGATCTCTGAATCAAATATGCACTTGGTCTAGCGACTGTTGCCTTTAACGGGTGCTTTTGTGGAACGAGAAATGACTGCACCAGGTAAACACAACAGCAAGACCGAAAATAAATGGGTTACAGTGATCCTAGCCTGCTGTATTACTTAACTTGGTAACAGTGATGTTTATAGGAAATACCTTGTGTCAGATGACATAGAATATTCTTCTGAAGTCTGACCATTATGCGGTGGACTATTCTGTATAATATTTCATCATGTATGATATTATGAACAAATTTTATATTTTAGGTGGATTGTCAAAAGGGAACCAAAATCTTAGGCAGGCCAAGGTTCATGCAAAACATGTGAATTTGTGTGCAGTATCAGGTTTTTTTTCCCATACAAAATTAAGCATTTCATCAGCATCTCAGAATTGTGTTCAGTGGCAACTCCAGCCCGTGGCCTGTAGTTATCCTGCCTCTGGTCTACAGCTACAAGAAGTTCTCTGCAGGGTGAGTTATGAGGGTGGATAGGACAACCAGAAGAGGGACTGTATCTTATTACTGAATTGCCAGTTGAAGTACTTGCATCATGAACAAAAATGGGTTCATATTATATATATCCTGTTAGGTACAAGTTACAGGTTTATGGGGTAATGTGTAGTTTCAGCTTCCAGGGTTCAGTTTTGTTGTGTACTGAAGTGGTCCAATGTTTTGGCATACATTCACCATCTTCAGAGTGAATAAGGATGGCATCCAGTGTATAGTTTTTGCAGTGGAAATAAGAACGAGAATGTAGTGCTGTCCAGCAGGAAAGTTTTCGTGCTCCCACCGTGAGATTTGTGTCCGCTTCCCAACTGGATATCACTGTGCTCCATAATACAGGGTTAGCCTAAAAGAAATAGAAGTTTAAATAACTCATGTTCGTGAAACTTACAGGCGCAACCCAAAAAGGCGACAACACATGCAAGTTTAGAACTTCAAGTTCCACAAAAGACTATGTGGAATATCTTGCGGAAACGTTTACGAATGTTCCCTTACTGGTTGCAATTATTGCAGAACCTCACTGAAAACGACAAAATCCACCGTCACTCATTCTGTATGGACATGCAGCAACGGAATGAAGGAAGTAATGATTTCTTTAGCAGGCTAGTTTAGTGGTACGGTGAACAAACACAACGTTCGTATATGGGGAAATGAAAACCCGAGAGCTGTAGTAGAGCGTGTGAGGGATTCACCTAAAGTGCACATTTTTTGTGCTGTATCCCGTAAAAAGGTGTACCCATGTAAACTTCGGGCCATACTTTTCAAACCATATAAGTATCTCGACCATGCTCTTAAAACTCTTCTTTCTGTAAAACTTTGAAAGTCTCTATTTCTTTTAGGCTAACCCTGTTCCTATGTATTAAGCCAGACCCTCTTGGCTCATTCCCCTTAAGACAGGCAATTCCACTGTATGCCGAAACATTTTCTCTTCTGTATTGACTTGGAAGGGGACAAATTCCAGTCACATCAAACGCTTGAGTCACTGTTTGGTCTGTTGTGTGCCCCCAAGTCTTATACTCTGCCCTCACTGCTAGAGCCAAAATGCTTTTGGCTGAGGTTTTATCAGATCTCTCTTACTTCTGACCATGTGAAACTGAAGAATGCTGAAATACCGGAACGACTTCAGCACACACCGTAACTCTACTCCGAAAGTTTAAAATTACACATTAGCTAAAGAACGAGAAAGTCTATACAAATACTATGTTTCTGGACATTATCCATTGTTCTGTTTTTATTTAAACACATTGGATAATGTCCAGAAACATAATGTTTGTATTAATGTACCCTCATCACCAGTTTTTAGAGAGTTTATGGTCGTAGCATTCGGCAGTTTGACACGTTACATGTCTCAGTGATAATTAGAACTGTAGTTCAAATTTAGAAACATGTATAACACTTCATTTTAGTTTAGGAGGAGAAGTCAGGGAAGTTATTAATTTTTAATTAAGATTGAATCCAACAAGAGGACACACCATGGAAACATTTATTGACTGTTAAAATATATTGTTTTATGCTATGAGATGCGTAAAAGTGAATGATACTCGAGACTTGAAATGAGTGGTAATGATTCTAAATGCAATTGACTGACTGATATGTAAATCAGATTGTGTAAGTTATAATCCTGATATATACAGCTGTATTATACTAATTGTAACTGTATATTTGTTCTCTTGCTTATTTATATGCGGAAGTAAACACTCGTGCTTTACATGTGAAGTGATTGGACATGAACTGTTATTTTTTAAGAGAGACTGGAAATTTTAAGAGAAATATTTTAAATTATGGTTGTAACATAACAATTTTTAAGCTAAGGTATTCAAAATGTCATCAGAGATCATTTTGCTATGTGTTAGGTTCCTTTAGAAACAAGCAGTCTCCTTGTTACTGGCTTATGTGCAGGATAGTGAGAAGTGGATGTGATGGTTTGCACTGAAAATAATGAATTTGGTGTCACAGAAAATGTAGCAGGTGAAGGTTTATTATGGATTGGTGATATCCTATAGCAAGTTGAAAAAATGAAGGCAGGAAGTTTTCAGTGCCAGCTTGCAAAGCATTGTTTCTTTAACTAAAAACGATTTGATCAAAAATGTTCAATATATGTATCAGATGAATAATATGCTTTTTTCATAAATCTCTATACTTCACAGCCTATATTCCTATACATTTGGCAGCAGTGTGCTACTGCCAGTTCATGTTTTGTTACGTGTTTAGAATTCAGACTGGTTATCTTCACAGCAAAGCTTAAATGTGAATATCAGCCCTGATGGCAGTAGTTAAAGCCAGTCAGGATGGTGAATTGTATTTTTGCTTGGCTTCCTAAGTGCTTGGTATTTATCGTTTGGAAACTTTATTCCTAAAGATAATCTCTCTGAATGATGGGCAGGTATGTTATATATACATATTTAAGGGATGGAAACTGTAAAAATATTGGTTAATGCATTACATTATGCCTCCAATTAACACATAACTTTGATGTATAAGATTCATTGTATGCATATGTGAAAGATGTTCAAGTTTTCCTGCAAGTCATACAAAAAAGAAGTATGTACTTGTATACTGTTATTATATTTGATCAGATCTATTACTTATTTTGGATATGTCCTGTCACTGTCATGAATGTGGTAAATTTTGTAGCATTGTGTGTCTGGAACAACTTCAAGACTTGCATCATCATCGGGAATTTACTAGGTTCTATTTCCAACACACAGTGGGAATCAAAATCGCTGTACTGTAAGGTTGCCTGCCATGGGATGATATAATCTTGAAGATGTTTTAGACAAAGTTTATCTTACCTGTTTCTTAAATGGGAGGCAAAATTAGAACTGAAAATGTAATTTGGAAGTTTGTAAGCCAGGCTACATGATCCTACATTATTCAGCATACTGTAAAGGATGTTATACCTTTTATTCTATATTAGGATTAATAACTGCGTTTTATCAATGAATAAATGTCTTGACACTATTTGTAAAACTCTGTAAGTAAGTTGCCATTGGTAATTGGTTCTGACTACATTTTAAATATAAATTTGTTTACTTTGTTGGCTGAATGGCTAGTAGACCTGTATAATTTTCTGTAAGGAAGCTAATAATTGTTGATGGAATGTGTTAACATGCATGTTAAATCCTGTATGAGATTTGAGGTTTTTACATCAATGAAGATTATGACTGTAATCTGAGTTGTGGCACCAAGTATTCTGAAATATGGTTACCAACATTTTAGAGGAAAATTTCTGCCTTCGTCTCTCAACATTTGCCCTGAGAATGGAGGCATGATTTTCTCCAGAACGTTGGTAACCTTTTATACTGAAGTCAGGGAAGAAAGCCACGTTGAGCACACCCCTCCAGCACACTTCCTTATATTCCCTTCAGGTTCTCTGCTGATTGTTCACAGGAATTTTGGTAGTGATAATCATGTGATGGGCTTCAACAGTGATTAATGCTTCAGATATGTTGACATAGGCCAGATAGGGCTGGAGGGGAATTAGCAGTAGGCAGAAAGGGGAAAGCCTCGAGTTTCGTCATCCCCACTGTCTATGGGAATTCCTTCTGTGGTCCTGGTACAGCAGAGTACATGGAAGACTACAATGTATGATGTACCCAGCATCCAAGATAGCCGAAGTATGTCTGTGTAAGTAATGCTTTGAAGAATGTCCCAGTTGTATATATGTTTTGTTTTAAAGCTGGTATAGAAGTACTGCTACTTGTTGAACATTTATTTAAATTATATTCAGTGTTATGCATGTTGCCATGTTATAATGGAACATTTAAGGCCTATTTATTAGTTAATTTGTTAATTAATTAAAAGTGAATAAGAACAAGTAATGTCTGAAGAAAATACTTGATAAGGCTTATATTCTCTGTGGTGTGGGAAATGCCCAGGCATTGCTTTTGTATGTTATATTTGATTTACATTAAAATTTTATTGTGATAGCATTATGAGATGTTCTCTTTGCATCCAAGTCATCAGTCTGTCAGCTGTGGATCTGTATACACAGACTCTATTCTATCAGATTTTATTGTAGTAAACTGTCTTTTAAGATAGCGTTCATTTCAGTGTTCTGCAAGGGCTAAAACGTGTATAAGAGAGTATCACAGTGAAATAAATACAGTATGGGCAAGTGTGTTATACGCTGTAACAATTTGTTACTGGTCTTGAACAGAAGTACATTGGATTCAGTAATCATCTGTAATTGAACACTATGCTCCACTCACAGTAGAGTTATGCCCTTTGAAGTTTCAGCTGCATTTTTGCTTATTGATGTCAGATTTGTGTTAGATAGTCATTTAGTGCTGGCCTTTGAGGGAATGGAGAAAGAATTTTTACCCATGTGGAGTGTGTCTCTCCTCTTCTAAACATTTTTAAACCAATGTTATATTTTAGCGTCCTGTTGCACTGATTTAAGTCCATGATTTATTTAAACACACACATACCCAGGAGGCCCAACAGTATAACACACGCAGTCACAGGAGCAAGACATAACAAAAGCACAACACACAAAAGACAGTGAAGGAGTGCTCCAGCAGAGGAGAATGCGCGTGACTGGCGTAGTGAGGGGTGACATAGTGATGTGGTGTCCTGAACAATTTTAATATTTTTAACGTTTGACAATGTATATGATAGATACATATTTTGATTATTTTAATATGAGAACAAGGCATGCAATGAACTGGTTTGGCGTGGATAAGTAAGCACCTGAAGATGGCATTGTTATGCCGAAATGTGTAGTGCGAGGGAGATAAGGAGATAAATGAGTGTATGCACTGCAAGACGGTTTAAATAAATCATGGATTTTTAAACCAACTGACAGATTTTCTGTAAACTTGTCATGAGCATTATGTCATTATAAGCTACACTGAATTACATGGACACTGTGTGCCATGAATTTGAATGAAAAGAGGCAAGACCTCACAAAATGCAATGAAAGTGAATAAAGGAGGAAGAATTATTTAAATGGAATAATTAAATGAAGTTTTTGCCAAAACCAGTGAAGACACTGGGAAAACAGTAAATAAAAGAAGCTGAAGCATGCGCCATTGCCTATATGTCCTATATTGTGGAGCGGAAAAGAAGGTAATGAGTGTGCTGGTTTGCAGAGGGAAATTCTATTCAAGGAAGTGGCGCAAAGGGAAATGTGAAGATTGTAATGTGGCCGAATGTGGCGATGTATAACGTGCGGAAGTGGACGTGTGCAATGGTGGTATGTGTTAATAGCTTTGGATGTTGCGGGCAGGTTGTATTTCTGGAACGACGAGTTTTCTGGATATGTAATATACAGAATTTGTCGTGTAGGTGGTGTGAACATAATATTAAATTTCGAATATGTGATGATTTAGGTCGCTGATGTACGTGATATGCATACTGTACAGGAGGAACGTGGAATCATGTATACTTCCAAGCAAAAGTAAGCAATTAAGACAATTTTATAGTGTTTACTTTCAAGTGGTTGAGTTACCATCGTAACCGGTATGTGCTCATATATATTGAATCTTTGTAAGTAATTTCCAGATCTTGAAAAATTGTAAGAAAGTAGAATTAAAACATGTATATACTCTCAAATATTTATGAAGTGCGGTCTGGCCTTTATATTTAATAATTGTTGATACACATATTGCAGTGAAATAATTTATTTATGCATATAAAGATACATATGTTAGAGAGTTCTAAATCAATTGATTGGCATATCTGAAATGGATTAAATACCGCTATTTCGAAAATAATTTTTGTTTACCTTTTTAGTTCCAATATCTAGCCATCATTTATATAGCAGTAGTGAAATCTTGAATAAATATTGTTTGAGTAACATGAACTTCAATTAATTTTGCGGCAATACGTGTTAAAGCAATAGAATCAGTTATTGGAAAGTATTAATGACACCTGTATTGTATGAAGGGGCTTGTGGTAGCATAGTTGGTTGAGGCACCATGCTTCAAGCAGGAAGTTCGCGGGTTCGAATCCTGGTGAGGTCATTGGATTTTCACCCCACCCCCAATTTATGTAGCTGTTCCAGCCACACTATGGCTGTGGTGTCGACTCAGCCTCTAATAGAAATGAGTACCAGGAATTTTTTCTGGGGGTAAATGGTGGCTGACAACCTCACCATCTATGAGCTGACTGCCTAGAAAATGCAGGAGCCTAGATGTCTCACAACCATCTGGGCTTCAATGCCCTGTTACAGGGATAGCTTTACATTTTACCTTTTTTGTGTTGTGTATGAACGTTTTGTATAGTTAATAATATGACAGATTTCAAGAAGCGTGAGTAGAGGATCATGTTGGATAACTTTGTATTTGGCTGGTAAGAACCAAAATTAAACTTTTAATGCAGATTTCCCAGTGCTGGATTTTAGGAAATTCCAGTAACGAGGTTTGGAGATAAAGCATGTGATTTGGGAGACAGCACATACCCTTTATGAGTTAATTTTATGTGTTTGTGCAAAGATTGGCTAAGGCATGTGACAAGTGATATTTCCTCCAGTGCTTTACTTTGAACATGGCAGTTATTGGAGGAGATAAGAAACTAGTTATATTTTGAATTGTTTCATTTTGGTCCGTTACACTATCAATCACAAAGTTAATAGAGAGTCCGTCGAGTGTAACAATTTGTAGGTCACTTTTTATTATTATTTCTGCCTTACATGTTTCGGTTTGACACAACCATCATCAGAGGCACTTGCTATAATTATGGAAACACTGTCGTAGCAACGTCCACACGACAAACATAATTGTGAGCATCAAAAACAGCGACAGTGTTTCCATAATTATAGCAAGTGCCTCTGATGATGGTTGTGTCAAACCGAAACATGTAAGGCAGAAATAATAATAAAAAGTGACCTACAAATTGTTACACTCGACAGACTCTCTGTTAACTTTGAAACTAGTTATAAGTATTCTTAGTGAACTTTGTTATAGAATGGGTAGCATTCCTTTTGCTTGTTTGGACAGTAGCTGCTCTATATCACAGCTTGGAGACTGCTTGTTAAATCTGATTTTTTTTCAGCATTCAGCAAGAATAGTATCTGAGATTAGGCCACCACCACTTCCTTCCACATCCCTACCTGTTCACTAATATCCTGTTGTCATTTGCCATTGTAGTTTCGGAACTTACAAATAGTGTCATTAAATTAAGTATTTTTGGTACTCAAGTTTTGCTCCTTATACAGTTTACTGGCAAGAGAAAACACTTCTTAAACAATGATGAATATGAAAATTATATATCCTTCCCAGTATAATTACCAAGAATGACAGTTATTAGTAAGAGTTCAGTTTATGTTAACCTCATGCCCAATTCTCTTGATTTTTTAGTCATGAATGGTGTTGGTGAATAGAAGTGTAAAAACTGTGATCTCATGAACACACACATACCCAGCAGGCCCAGTAGTATAACACATGCAGTCACAGGAGCAAGACACAACACAAAGCACAGTACACATGAAAGTAGGAAGAATACTCTGACAGAAGAAGATAGGTGTGACTCGCGTACTGAAATACGACATAAGGATGACAAATCCTGAACAGTTTTAACATTTTTAATATTTAAAATTTAGCAATGTATATGACAAATATATATTTTAGTTATTTTAATATAAAGACAACAGGGCATGCAATGCAGTAGTTCGACGTACATCGAAAAGCACCTGAAGATGGCACTTAAATGCCAAAACATGTAGTGCAAGAGAGAAGAGTAAGGTGAATAAATGTATGCACTGTAAGACGGTCAGAATAAATCATGGACTCATGAACTATGTCAGATGAGGAAAGCGTTTGATACCATTAGTATTGTAGGTACTTCTGTTAAACATTTCCTGTTAATTTATTCAGTACGTTCTGGTCACATTTCCATAAAGAGGAGCTTCATATGAGTAATTTGCATTGTGCCAAACATTATTACGGTGGTCAAGTGAGGGAGAATTTATTTAGTGGGTCATGAAGATTATACAAGGGGAAATGAGGAATTCGTACAAAGTTTTAGTCTGAAAACCTGAAGATAACCACTTAGTTTAAATAAGAGGGTAGCATTGAACTGAATCTTAAAGAAATTCAGTTTGGGTATATACTGAGTTCACCTGGTTCAGGATATGGTTCAGTGTGACTGTTGTTAACTCAGTAATGAATGAACCTTGGGTTCCATAAAATGCTGGAAGCCCCTAGACTATCTGAGGAGTTACATCACTTTTTCAGCAAGTATTCTACTCTTTAGATAAGTATTGGCTGGATGACAGAGGAATTGGGTTTAATTCAGGTCCATTTTCTCATTGCATTGGACTTTTTTCAATTGACCTAATCCTTCCAGCCGCACTATGGCCCTGGGGTTGACTCAGCCTCTAACAGAAATGAGTACCAGGAATCTTCCTGGGGGTAAAGGGCAGCCGGCGCATAGGGCTGACAACCTTGCCACCATCTATGAGCCCATTGTCTAGAAAATGTGGGAACCGCAACCTCTCACAACCCTATGGGCCTCCACGGCCTGTTACAGGGATAATTTTACCTTATTTACTTCCTAGACTTACATTATTGTTCTGTAATTTCAGGTTGCGTGGTGGTAACTGATATGCGAAAGTCTGTGTGCAAAGGGATCAGTAGGGATGAATAAAGCATACACAGAAAGAAGGGCAAAGACTGTTCATTGCAGTGTTGTAATGTTTTGAAGAGGAGACGAGTTTGAATACAGCTTGAGAAGGAAACAGTAAATTGTAATGAGGTCAGATATATCCGTATCAAATCTAGATGCTTCAATGGCACGGCCACAGAGCAAGCATAAAGTAAAGAGAAACAGATGGACACGTATTGAGGCATTGAACAGACGGAAGGAAAAATCAGTAGATAGCATTTGCTCAGGGATAAATAGCAAACATGAACCGCCGGTAGTGCGGCAGGTGGTAACAAATCTTCAGGAACTGTGTAAAGCTGCCCTAGCTATAGACAGAGCAAATGCTGTTATGAGTGAAGCAGATGATTTGGAAGTAAAACAGGATTTGAAAGAATGCACACAGCCCTCAGTTGGCAAGGGAAACACAGAAATGACACATTCAGAGGTACCTGATATTTTGAACCAAAGACATGAGCTCAGCAGTGACACCCAGTCATCAAGAATTTGTGGGATACAGGAAGTGTCTTCAGAAGTTTTGGAGAGTAATAATACAGACAAAACTGATGGCTTCATCAAGCTTGAAATTTGTGAACCTGGATGTTTGAAAGAAGAGGTGAACAATATGAATGATATGAATAATCCTAAAAATGTTGATTTAGATAAAATTATTAAAAAGGAACATGAGTTAGATGTTACAGGGGAACACCCATGCATTCATAACATAGTTAATGAAACTATCAGTTGCAAAGCTGAGGCGTTGGATCAGATGGCAGATATTTGTCCCTTGGTGGGGCAGACATCTGCAAATGGAATGGATACTGGTTTTGTAGCATATCATGAAGGCACTACCCCGTGTGCCACAACAGGTAATCTTACCATTGTAGAGAAACAAGAAGTCTTACCTAATCAGGTCTGTGGTAATGAAATCTTCTCAAACACTTTAAATGATGTTGTTTTGCATGATTTATCAAGGTCTGATTATCGGTGTTGTAATGTACATGACAGTGTTTATTCAGGGCCCATGAAGCTAGAAAATCAGCCTGAAAATTATCTTGTTGCAGCTACAAATGAGGGTTTGCTTGACAGAATTGGTTTCAGTGGCATCGGTTACTCAACAGACGAAGACGGAGGTAACTTTCCTGGGGAGATTCAGAAACTTTCTGGTCCTCAGTTTTGGATGGGTAAAAGAAAACGTGTTGCAGACAGTTTAATGTCCTTATCAACAGAAGAGTCATTAGATAGTTTGGTGTCTAATGGTACAAGTGTAGGAGAATCACTACCAGGTTTGAAAAATTATAATTTAAAAGATGAGATTTCATATAGCACTAGAAATTGTGGTATGATGTTAGTGGGTGATACAGACAAACTGTGTTATCAGGAAGTATTTGACGACTCAATGTCGACCAGAAGTTCACCGGATTCAAGATATGCTCCGTCATTAGTGTCTGGCACAAACCCTTACAGGTGCGTTAACCGCGCGCAGTCATGGTCTCCTACATTGCTCTCAGTCAGTGGTAGTGGAGCAGTTAATAGTTACATGAAGCCAGGTGCACATACTCCACTCCAGTATGAGATCAAGGCAAGTGATACTTTGTCTGGGCTTCTCTGTCAAGATGTTCATGTACTTCAGTCTGCTGTACCAACTTCGTACACATCCATCTCAGTCAGTCCTGCACCAGTGGTGGCTCGGGAGGAAACAGAACCAGGAACTGAAAGTCTGAAGTCCGATGAAGAAGAACTGTTTAGGAGAATTGAAGAATCTTTAGCAGAAAGAGAAACTTTGAAGTATCAAGAAGAAGAACTTTTGAAGAGAATTGAAAGATCTTTAACAGAAACACAGTCATTAAAGTGCCGTGAAGAACATTTGCTGAATAAGATTGAAAGATCTTTAACAAAAGCTAAATCACTGAAATCTCAAGAGGAAGAACTTATAAGAAGAATTGAGGTCTCTTTAGGACAAAGAGAAACAGCGAAGTCACAAGATGAAGACCTGTTAATTGGAATGGAAAAATCATTGCAAGACAAGCAGTACAATATGGTACTTGAAGATTCCATAAAGAGTATGGAATTTGAGTCAGAAAGCAACCCAGACTTGGATAACTCGTTACCGCTTAAGAAACGAAAGAAATGGCTAAAGGCTGTGACCAGTGATGAGAACAGGGGGTTGCAAGCAAGGAGCGTTCCGCTAGAAAGCTTTCCATCCTTTCCATTATGGCCGATGATTAGTATTGCAGAACTAGAAGCAGTTGGCAAGTTACAACATCGTGTAACTTTCCCATCATTTCCGTCTCGGCCAATGATCAGCATTGCTGAATTAGAGTCTCGTACAGCATTCGGCAAATTACAGCATCATGAGTTTGAGTCGTCTACAGTGTCACCTTGGATACCAAGTTATTCTCGTTACTGCGAGGAAAATAATTTTTGTGATGAGTCATTCTGTTCTAGAGATGTTAGGGTAGGAAGAATGTGTGACGAATTTTTTGAACAAAACGTTCCAGCAGTGGAGAATGTGACAGCATTTCCTGTGTGTAAGGTTGAGGACTCTTTGGAGGGACATAGCTGTAGTGAAATGAGGAGTCCTTGTGCTCTGTCGCAACTGAGGGACTCTGATGTATCTTACGACAAAGTCTTCAGAAGAGGGGAGCCATCGTCAGCAGAAACTTCATCGTCTGTGTGCGGTGATGCAGCTGAAGATTCCAAAGCTGATATAAAGTTGTTTTTTACACCTGCCACTGATTATTTAAGCAGCGAGGTAGACGATTTTAAACACGTTATACAATCATGTGAGGGAACTAAGCTTCCTTCAGCAGATCCACGCGTGGTAAATACTGATTCCACGGATAGTAGAAGGTGTGAAGTGACTGCAACAGGTTCAGGATGTATGAAAACTATTGAAGTGCTTCAGAGAATTGTACCGGCAGGTAGTGTAACAGGTATGGATTCCAAGAATTGTACAGAACTTGATGAAAAGTTTGAAACGTGTCTGGAATCAAAATATATTAAAATAGAAAAAGATTCCAAAGATAGGATAGAAAATTGTGCATTAAATTATCCACCTTTGCCTGATGTGAAGTACAAAGCCGAAATGAATGCTGAAGCATCCCTGTCAGGATTTAGAAATGTAAATGTGAGCTGTAATGGCAGTGTAGAAATGTTACGTAGCAGAGTTAATTTTGTAGATGATTCAGGTCAGGATCTCAAGAGTAGTGTAGAACTGCAGGGGAGAAATGAGGGAAATTTGACATTCAAAGCAATAGGAGCAGAGACCAAAGATAATGTGGATTGGTGTAAGAAAACTGATGTACCATTGAAAGAATCAAAGTGTATGGTTGATGTGGAATCCAGAGATAAAGATAGATTATGATGAGTGAAGAATCATATAAAGAATAATTATGAATGTAGTAAGTGTATGATGCTGGAAAATTCTTAACATTGGAAAATACTCCATATAGCTTGAGAATACAATCATTTTAATAATTGTTAACCATTTAAGGACCAAGCCTGAACACACTTGTTTGCAGTGTGTTCTCTTCTTTTCTTCCCACCAGCATTGAGTATGATCATGTTATATGTTCTTTGAATGTTTGAATTTTCACACATGTTCACAGAAAGTAAGTTTAAGAGGTAGGAAACTTTCTTATTTTCCAGTCAAAATTAACAGAGTAACATGAAAATAGAAAAACCTTAAATACTGACAAAAGGAATGTTGTCTAGGGGGTGTGGTATTGCTAGGAAAATGTGGGGATGAATGGGTTAATGGCTATGAAGCTGTCTGGGATGTGGTGCTGTATGGTCTGGCAAATCTTTTCCTGCTACCTTCATCTTTAGTGTAAAATATTCTGCCACCCTGAAGATGGAGGCACAGAGTTTGTTAGGAGCATGATAATCTACCATAGTATGTGACATCATGTCCCCAAAAAAGATAATTGTCATAGTCACCGTTTGGGGCAACATGAAATATCACAGGTTAATTAATGTATTGCACTTTCAGGTGCATAACAGCATCTGCTCCCTTTTCACAGATCAAAATATTATTACACTTGGTTATCATTAGAAATTGGTTTGTTTCTTTCTTCATTTTATTATTTTGACATTATATTTACCTTTTAAACTGTATATATTTTGAGTAAAAACTTTTTATTTCTGTTTACGTATCTTCTGTTGTGACATAAAAGTATGTGTGTTGTTAGTCAGGTGTTAACCACTGGAAGTTGCATAATATTTATTCCTGGAAATTTCCTTTACTACTTGTACATCACTGAATACAGTGTTGCACAAAATAACTGTATACACATAAATTCCATAAGTTCATGTGGCAATATTGTGACTTAATATTCACATAGCCATTTTAGGTAGATTTTCTTATGGGTAGTAACACCAGGTACATTCTTATGATTGATTACCAGCTTTCTTTGAGGACTGCTAAAGATACTTTTACCCAGAAGATGGAGATATCTGTCTCCAAAATGCTGGTAACAATCTCTGAAACTGCAGGGTCTTATAATCCAAAAGACCACAATTTCAACTTTCACCACTGTGGAAACCTGAAACCTTATGAGATAATGTGTTACGTAAATGTTGCATTTTAAAGAAAGCATAACATATTCTTCTGCTGTCTGTATTCTGTACTTAGTCGTGTGACGTTCTCTGAACAAATCTTTAACTACGTGCTAGACCAGACCTTATTTTTTTAACACTTCATAAAACCATAAAAAAATAAGGCTGTCCCTGTAACAGGCAGTGAAGGCCCCATGTGTGAGACATCAAGGCTCCCACATCCAGACAGTCGACTCACAACTGACTGTAAGATTGTCAGCTTTACGCGCCGGCCGCCCTTTACCCCCCAGGAAAATTCCTGGTACTCATTTCTGTTGAGGCTGAGTTGACCTCAGGGCCTAGTGCCAGTGACCTCATCAAAATTCAAACTTGCAACCTTCCAGCTTGTAGCGTAGTGCTTCAACTAACTATGCTACCGCAGGCCCTCCACAAAACCATATAGAACTAAAAGTTTCATGGCTACATATTGCCGAGGCTTATGCAGCTCCTTAGGTGGCCCTGCAAGGTGCTTAATATGTTAATATTGAGCTGATTCGAAAATGGGTTAATAAGGAAGCGCCCACTTTGTTGCTGCTCCCTGGCAATGCATGTGCAAACACTGCAATGCTACTATAGTAACGCATAGCCATAAAAGTGTTAATAGTTTGTTCAGAGTATAGAACATGTGGACAACATATGCATGGTCTCTATGTTAAATTGTGTGAGTTGCCTATCCTCATTCAGATTGTGGCTTTATCTGTCTGTGTAGGAAGATGCCAGGATAGTGCCTTAACGTGACCTGTGTCGCGTGGGATTCATAGAACATAATTGCAAAAATATCTGTTATCTTTAAGACAAGTGTATGATGAGCAAACAAATACCTTACTTTCCATATAATTGTGATTATACAGGGTTATCCATTTAAAATGTTATCCTAATAGAGAATCCTTGGATGTGTTTCAAACATAATCTGAAGGACTGATGCGTGTATTCAGATCAATGGAGGACGCTACCATTATGTTCATGGACATTTATATATGTTTTATGGAGTATAACAGTGCAGTGTTTTCTATTTGGATGTGGTTTTAAATGGATTGCTGTGTAGTTATGCAGTGGCCTTTGCACCGTGACCTGATTTTTGTAACATAGTGAGAAAAAGTTGTTCAATGTATTTCAATATGTACAATGTGTCGTTCCTGTGATGAAAAATAAATGTATCTTTGAATGTATGAAACTTTCATGGATATTTTTTGAAGTACAAATCACTTCAAAAGCACTTATGACAGTTTGCTTCTGTCCTGATTTTATTTCATTCTCAGCATAAGCTGACTCCATGGAGCTGAGAACTTCTTGAGAAGTTGTCAGTTACTCATAAGAATTTCCCTGCATATTATGGAACCTGAAGGTTCACTACCGTGTTCACAAGAGCCGCCACTGACCCATATCCTGAGCCAGATGAATCCAGTCCATATTACTCCATCCTGTTTCTGTAAGATCCGTTTTAATATTATCTGCCTAGCATGGAAAGATGTAACTGATGCTTATGCCAAAACAGCACATGATTTTGTAGTAGTATGGGATGTGCATATTTAATTCCCTTTGTGTAATTTTAAATAGAACACTGAAAACAAGTTAGGAAATTGTATGCTTACCATAGTAGTTATGATAGTAGTTTTGTCTTTATATCACATAATTCACACAAAGACAATATCGTAGCTGTCTTGTTCATGCCACCTTAGTTGGAGTCCAAATGGAAGGAAACACACATGTTGCATGGTGTTCCTGCTCTGAAATGCTGCAACAATTACAATAATTAATTGAATAATTTTGTTGTACAGTAGTAAGGTAAGGTAAAGTATGTGTGTTTAACTAATTAAGCACTACGTCATAAAGGCGTATGGGGGGTGGATGTATAGATTCACATTTTCTTGACCATAACACTAGTTGGAGGTGAGTGGTCAGCTTCACGCCCTGCTACTTTACCCCTGAGGATAGGAGGTTGGGTGGACTCCAGAGCCAGTCTGGATGACATGGAGAAGTGGAAATTGTTGCCCCACCGAGATTGCCACTCAATCTGCTGAAGCTGAAGAGTGCATGGAGCTGAACCTCTATGCACCCACATCGCTTTGTGCTTAACAAACTAAAGGGACAACTTTACAATTTTATTTAACACAACTTTCTAGCGTACACTGATTAGTATATGAATCACATGTTGTGTCTTAAAAATACTCTGCATTTGGCCCACACAGTGTGTTTGTGTGTTACATGTGATTCTCACAATAAACAGCGATTATTTCCATAAACAGCATTAACCGGCTTGTCTTTGTAGCGGAGACATAATGTGTTTCCTATAAGGTAAAAAGGCAAACTTGTCTCTGTGCTTAACTAAACACCATGCCATGAAGACATATGGGGCAGTGGAAGTATAGCTTCAGTACCCTGTGATGTGGGAACTGATTTTTTATATTTTATTTATTTAAATGAATGCCAGGCTGAAAAAGCCCCCCCAAAAAACACTTTTCTGTGCTTGCTTACTTGCTCATGGAGCTGAGCCCTTCTGGAGGAGCCGCCAATTCTGCAGCTACTCAATTTCCCAGCATTTTATGGAACCTGAAGGTTCATTACCATGTTCACAAGAGCCCTCCACTGGTCCCTACCCTGAGCCTGTCCAATCCATACCATCCCATCCTATCTCTCTAAGATCCATTCTAATATTGTTAGCCCACCTACGCCTTGGTCTTCCCTGTGGTCTCTTTCCTCCTGGCTTTCCCACTAATATCCTATATGCATTCCTCGTCTCTCCCATTCGTGCTACATGACCTGCCCACCCCATCCTCCTTGACTTGATCATTCTAATTATACTTGGAGAAGATTACTTTTCTGTGTGTTCTGTCTCTCTCTCTCCAATTCAGGTTAGAAGGGGATAATGCCAAATTGAAGTAAGGTGAAACGGGGTATTAGAAAGTCAGTATGATAGGATGGAGGCAGGGCGGGACAGAAATGTAACCGCTGACCCATACGAAGCGAAATTCTATGCAGATTACTGATGGAAGGGAAAGTTGAGATGTAAGCAGTCACAGCCACACAGATCACTGCCAACTTTCGTCGCCAGTGTCCGAAAGTTTGCGTGGATTCGGCCAATTATCGAGCAGGAACTGTTCCCTACATATATCTGCCCTTGTTACGCACGAAATCAGGTTGCTGTGTTACCAGTGACGAGGCATTGCGCAGCTGGGTGAACGTAGCACACAAATATGTCGGGTGTGTTGCGTGTTGCTGTGATTACGGCAGTTTTCGCATCTGCTGTCCTCGCAGCGGGAGGCCATAAAAATGGTAAGTAGCCCTGAGATGTCAGAAAGCATAGTTCAACAAGTGACAGTAAACTTTCATGTATGTGCCATATATTTCTGCTGCCTGCATTGATTTTGTGACTTCACGACCCTGTCAGTAGCTAAACTACATACGTTGAATAGTAGGATGATAGATGACGGATGAATTGAATGGATTTTGGAGGAAGAAGCCGCTGCCTAATCGAGGTATCAGGAGCGTTCTCTGAGGGACCGATGAAAACCACGAAGAACCTGTTTTGAAGGGAAGAACACAGAGTGTTTCGGAATAGGATGGTGAGGGGAATAGTTGGGCCCACGAGCGAGAATGTATGACGAGAGGCTCTAGAAAACTGCGTTATGAGGAGCTTCATAGTACTATTCACCAGATATTATTAGGTTGGTGCACGCGGCAGGACATGTAGAGAGGGAGAGGTGAGAAATGGATGCAAAATTATAATCTGAAAACTTGAAGGGAAGAGGCCTGTTACGAAATGCAGACGTAAGGGCAAGACAGCTGGCTCACCTGACTCTGGTTAGGGGCCGGAGGCAGGTTCTTCGGGTTCCGGGTTGGCTTCTCAAGGACGCAGCTGCATGGTGTTGGAATGAACGGTTATGCCATGTAAGACTAATTCTTGTGAATTTCCGCAGAGCATTCGTGATGGAATAACTTGCTCAAAGAATACTTGTAATTCCACTATATTTCCTCCTTTCTAATTTTTTTCCCCCAAATCCAGAGGAATATCAGTTGGCTGCCCACCCCCGCTGGTGCCTGTGCTCTCATTCGTTCCGGTAGTTGCAAGAATATTTTGTTTCCAGCTTCTGTTTTCCTGCTGCTCGTCTAACGTAGTCGAGAACACCCAGAGATACGAAATTTTAGTAGAGAACACACAGAGAAAACAAAATTTTAGTAGAGAACACCCAGAGATACGAAATTTTAGTAGAGAACACCCAGAGGTACGAAATTTTAGTAGAGAACACAGAGGTACGAAATTTTAGTAGGGAACAGAAATATAAAATTTTAGTAGAGAACACCCAGAGATACGAAATTTTAGTAGGGAACAGAGATACGAAATTTTAGTAGAGAACACCCAGAGATACGAAATTTTAGTAGGGAACAGAGATACGAAATTTTAGTAGAGAACACCCAGAGATACGAAATTTTAGTAGGGAACAGAGATACGAAATTTTAGTAGAGAACACCCAGAGATACGAAATTTTAGTAGGGAACAGAGATACGAAATTTTAGTAGAGAACACCCAGAGATACGAAATTTTAGTAGGGAACAGAGATACGAAATTTTAGTAGAGAACACCCAGAGATACGAAATTTTAGTAGGGAACAGAGATACGAAATTTTAGTAGAGAACACCCAGAGATACGAAATTTTAGTAGGGAACAGAGATACGAAATTTTAGTAGAGAACACCCAGAGATACGAAATTTTAGTAGGGAACAGAGATACGAAATTTTAGTAGAGAACACCCAGAGATACGAAATTTTAGTAGGGAACAGAGATACGAAATTTTAGTAGAGAACACCCAGAGATACGAAATTTTAGTAGGGAACAGAGATACGAAATTTTAGTAGAGAATACCCAGAGATACGAAATTTTAGTAGGGAACAGAGATACGAAATTTTAGTAGAGAATACCCAGTGGTACGAAATTTACTCTGTACTCTTACCAGATGTCGTAGTTAGGTGGGTACTACTTCTTAGTCGGTAGGCCCCGGGTTCTGATGTCGTCTAAGAGACCTGCTATCCTCGCTTGAGTTCCTTTTCGTGGTTTTCCTCACTTCCGCTAGACATGCCAAAATACTAGGCCAACGACCTGCATCTTTCTCATCATTACGAATTCAATAATCATTGTCACCCAGCCATTCGGCGTTATGTAATCCTGAGTTCCTATTGAGAGCGTCGCTGAACAAACTGCTCTATATCTTTACCACTATGGACGGCAGTCACGGCCGTTGAAGTCATGTGCAAGTATTGTGGTAGGATTTCTGCATGTTTTAATAAAAGTGTTAGCTAATATATATTGCGATACTGACAGCGAAAGCAACCATGTCCCGGGCGAAGAACATGTATTTCTGCTTGTAATAGAATGGTAATTAAACTGTTACAGTTTTAATCAGGAATCGATTATAGCAGGACGAAACAAATGGATCACTGTATTTCGCATGAAATCAGTTGAACGCACCTGTCTACTGGTGACGTGTGAGACACGTCAAAATACGTGACTGGGGGCAGATCGAGTGACAACTGTATGCAGTACTTGTCCAGGTGTGCATGGAGCGGCATGGAGTATGTCATAATCGGAAAGGAATGACGCAGCAGTAACGCTTTTGACCTACTTAGGGAGGCCGTCGGTTGCAGTTTGCAGACAACCACTAACCTGAGTGTCTCGCAGAGTGCGAACCGTGACAGTGTCGAGTGGTAGGGTGATACACGAATGATGAATTCAACGGATTTTGAGGGAAGTTGTTGTGGTCTATTCGCGGTGCTATCTCGGTATTTACCTGGGGGAGGTGGCTGAGGAAAATCACTGAAGACCCCCATGATAGCCGGTGTCCTAGCGGAGAGTGAACTGTATGAACCGATAAGTTAACAGGACTTTAGTTCTCTCGAGTTAAAACCACGCCGATCTCAATGTTTGCGCCGCTTGAGGCCCTTACTGTCGACCGTTGGGGCACTATGCTACAAGCCGGAAGGTCGCGGATTCGATTCCTGACTAGGTCATTGGATTTTTCGATTGACCTAATCCTTCAAGCCGAACTATGGCCCTGGGGTCGACAGAAATGACTACCAGGAATCTTCCTGGGGTTAAAAGGCAGCCGGCGCGTAAGGCTGACAACCTCACCGTCATCTGTGAGCCGACTGTCTACAAAATGTGGCAGCCTCGACGTCTCACAACCTGGCCTATAGCTTTATTTATTTTTTTACTGTTGACCCCTCGAACTGTGAGATTGTGGGTTCGAATCCCACTACAGGAATTTATATATTTCCTTTCCGTGTTTGTCTTGTCCTTTGTAGGTAGATGCCTAGCAATGGCAACTCTGTCACTAAGGATTCCTGCTGGGTGTTTATAGGGTTCTCACTTTCTGAGGTGAGTCCTGAGGTGACAAGAGGCCGCAGGACATAATCTCTAACAGCTGAAGAATACATCGTAACATTTAGAAATTAAACCCATGTTTTATAGGCCCGTTGTGGGCTGTGCCACGTTTAAGGCGGTTAGATGCTGGCTTCTAACCCAAAGGTCTAGTTCAGTCCTTTGTGACAGCATGAAATTCGTCATGGGACGAAGTGGCACCGGAGCAAAATTTTCCTTCTCAGTTTTCTCGGGTTGATCCACAGGGATGACGTAGCTGTAACGCTCTAAACTGGAATCTTGGCCGGGACTATCAGCTATCCTGATGTTTGTCCTCAGTCCCTCCAGACAAATGCTGTAATAATAGCTCGATAGGTCACGACCACTTACTTTCAGAATGTTGTAAGATTGACACTCCTCCATGCCCACCCGTCACCGCCCCCCCGGTTGCGTGCGAGAGCCCTAACCAGGCAGCACGTTATCATATTCTGGGACTTTTTTTTAAGTTGGTGCTTCGTCTCTGACTCGGGGCTTAGCTCGTTTTCACACGATCGTCACGATACTTGTGTTGTGACATATGTCACTGAATCAGACGAAGATGGCGACGTGTGTTAATGAGTTACGCGTGTAAGACATTTCACTCTGTCACTGCCACAAATGTCGCGACTAAAAGAACAAACCGAGCTATTTCCCGCGACTTGTCTGACTGTAAATAGGGTCACGTGATTGCGTTCCCCAGCCGATGACGATTGTAAAATGCGTAGTTTCAGAGGCGGAAGCGGCTGAAGTTTACCGCTCCGGTGGACGTCTCGATTTGTCATCATGATGGTTACATAACTGAAATCTAACGCCGAGTCATGCCACATGATACTGATTGACCCAACGTAATCTGTCCGCCCATCACTTTTCTGCTTTCAGTTCAGTCTGCAATGGAAAAACACGGCGTTATTCCAGATGTCATAGACACTGCACCAGCTGACGAAGCTGAGGCATCTGTTCGCCCCAAATTCCTTTTTTGGTATTAAGGTAAAAAAGGTAAATCTATCCATGTAACAGTATGCGAAGGCCCATTGGGTGGTGGGATGTCGGGGCTCACACATTTCCTGTATACAATTGGCTTACAGATGGCGGGGAGACTGTCAGCCTTATACACTGGCCGGCCCACCCTTTACCCCCCAGGAAGATTTCTTATACTCACTTCTGTTAGAGGCTAAGTCGACCACAGGGCCATAGTGGCCCTGGAAGGATTAGGTCAATTGAAAAAAATCCACCTCATCAGGACTAGAACCGATGACCTTCATGCTTGTAGCATAGTGCCTCAACCAACTACACTACCGCATAGTGAAATTATATTATGACACCGTGTAGGTTTGTAATTGGTTTTCTCAAAGGTACACACAGTCTGTTACACCAAAACGTTAGTACCCACCTACAAAACTACACTGTGTAGCATCTGCCTATATAACCTCATCACATCCTCGCCACATTCTTTTGACCCCGAAGATGGAGGCAGCAGATTAATATGATATGCCGGAACCTCTTGTCGTGTGTTACTGAAACGTAGTTTGTTTCCAAAATGACTTGTTGAAGCTCGTGTGGTTGTGTTACAGGTGACCTATGGACATCTGAGTGTCAGTCTCGGCAATGAACTCACTCCAACACAAGTGAAGGATATTCCAACTGTGCGATGGAATGCAGATGACGAGTCATACTACTTGCTTGTCATGACAGGTGTGTTCAGCTGAACATGCTGTTTGAAGACAGTCCACTTTACCGTCTTCTTGATGCATTCTCTTATTTCAAATAGAACACAGAGTAACACATTCCTGCACTTCTGTGCACAAACACACTTATTAAACGTAATCTAACATACAGAAGTATAACTTCCCAGTTTCCTGTTTCCTACCATGGACTGAACACGGAACACCCAAAGTTATTATGAATTTTTGCTCTGTCCTCTTGCCAATAAGTATGGTGGCAACAGCTCTACGGGCCAGACACCCGGGAGTTGATTCCAGGCAAGGGTAAGAGAGGTTATGCATCTCCACAGCATCCAGACAGAATTTGGTGTGGGGGGGGTTCTTTCTGGGATAAACCTTCATCCAATATCAGGAATGGTGGCAGTATATCTCCACCCCTCCACACATTTTCATCATTTATTGCTTAATTAATTATTCATGGGGACAGTTTTACATTTTCTGCTTAATATTTCATACCTTTTAGTGCCAATATATGATGATTTTTTAACGTAGAAGAATGTACTTAAAGAAGGCTAGAAAACTGAGGTTGAACACTGCACTTGAGTGGATAGCACTTCTGCTTTGTAATTGGGATGGCTAGGGTTCAAATCCTGGCTCTGAGACCGACTATTTTGGCAGGATATTCTCATGGTTTTCTTCGGTCACTTCAAGCAAATTCTGGAATAGCACCTCAAAACCATTTCCTGCCACGTCCTTTCCTGTTCACTATTCAGCCTGCCATTCAATGCTGTATTCTCTGAGCTGGTTAGAGTGTCATTAAATAGACAATGAATGAAGAAGGAAGATGAGCGCGCGCGCGCACACACACACACACACACACACACACACACACTGCATAACAAGCACTGAGCAGAGGATCAGACTGGGGACAGAGGAGAGGCAACTGCTCATCTGGTGTTCTCTGTTCTAACAGACCCTGATGCTCCCAGTCGTGCCAATCCTGTGAGGAGAGAATTTCGTCACTGGTTGGTTGGTAACATCCCAGGTGACAAAGTGGATGAGGGAGAGACACTCACGGAGTATGTGGGGTCTGGCCCTCCCAAGGGCACAGGTAAAATATTGATTGAAGCAATGGTTTGACTGATCTGACAGGTGAGCAACTGGATGAGTGCGTCATACAGTCTGTGTTCAGGTGAGCACAGATGCTGCTCTTGTCAAGTTAGGCCACCCCATGACAGATGTTAGCTTAGTGGCTCTAGTTTGTAGTAAACTCATGGTATATTTCTACACAGATGTTTATGTGCTGTGAATTCTGTAGACATACCTCCACGAAGTGAGCTTACGTATCATGGATCAGTCCATCGTTATATCAGGAGTGTCCAGCTTTTGTGTTCACAGGAATATTCTGTGTATAAAAGAATTTACAAGTTAAGGCATGAGATGTAATTTATTCCAGGAAAGGATTTTATATCTTTATTACTGTATACTCTGTGAAATTTTCAGTGTAGATGTTTTACAGCAAACAGAAAACATTATGGGTGTGACATGTTCTGAATAACTATTTCCAGGGCTCCATCGCTATGTGTTCCTCGTCTACAAACAGCCTGGCGAAATTAATTATGAGGAGCGTCATATAAGTAACAGGTATTCACCATTCATTACTTCATTGCTGTTGCTTATGTCAGTGAATGGGTCTAAATGAATATTAGTTTCGCTTAACCAGTCAAATAAAAATATCATCTATCTCATGCCCAAACACTTAAAAAATTGTGTAAAAACCTTTTTTCTTTATGTGTTATCCATTTCTCCCTCTCTGCCTTTCCATCTCAGGTCCGTTGCAAGGGAACCATGACTAGTTTTATAGCACAAAAATAATGTGCATCTGTTTTACTGCTTGGCAGCTGTTTAATTCATGAATTGTCTAATGTTTAGGTAAAGACTAAAATATATAAAAAAAAACTATAATTTGTCCTATTTTTGTATGGGTGTCAGTATTGGTCTGTCTCACTAAAGGAAAAGTGCAGATTGAGGGTGTTTGTGAATAGGATGCCAAGGTGAATGTTATGGCATAAAAGAGAAGCAGTAACTAGTGGAAGGAGAAAATTACATAATAAGGAAATTCATAATCTATGTTCCTCTTCAGATGTTTGTTAGTATGATCAAATCGAGGATAAGACGTGAACGGCCAAAAGAGAAATGCACAGAAAATTTTGATAGGAAAACCTGCAGGAAGGAGCTACATGGAAGACCTAGGCATGGATGAGTGGTTAATATTAAAATGAATATTAAAGAAATAGGGTGTGAGTATGTGGAATTGATTAATTTTGTGCAGGCTAGGGACCAGTGGTGGGCTCTTGTGAGCATGGTAATGAACATAATGTTGCACTGCAGCTTCCTGTTGCACTGTGTATTCCAGTTCTAGCACTCTTGAATGAATAAATGAATGTATATATAAGGGTCGGACCTTCTCGGCCCTTGCACCGCGACCTACAGTGATCTATTGTACTTTCTAACACTCTTACTCCACCGTCCCTGTGCTGCGCATAGCACAAAGAAACCCACGTAGCAAACAACATGCATCAAACGTGTGTGCACAACAGAACTACAGCATGATAGTCTACAAAAATAACTTAAAATCTTACATTCATAAAATGCAGAATACAACAGTGTAACAGCAGAGCAGCAGTTTTCATGTACAGTCTTACACATGTGATGATGGTCAGTTAGCCCGAAACATGTAGCATTAAATAAATAAATAAGAATAGATAAAAAGCCTAGGAAGTGTTAATTTTAATATGTGGTAAAGTTGCATAGGGATGGTGGAGTTTGAATGATAAAGAAACGGTAAACAAAATTTGGGTTCCATAAATTGCTGGGAATTTCTTGAGAAACTCAGCAGTTGTCAGCTTCTCAACAAAGCCCCTGTACCAGGGAGCTAGAGCTTGCCCATCTGCTGGAATAATTAGTGATGACTTTGCATTCCTTTGTGTCTGTCCTTTTAGATCTGCTGACACACGCCCCAAGTTCTCCATCAAGGCCTTTGCACGGAAGTATAACCTTGGCAGTCCAGTTGCTGGCAACTTCTTTCAGGCCCAATATGATGATTATGTTCCAACTGTGCATGCCCAGCTCAGTGGCCACTGATTTCTGAAGGAATGAGGTACATACGCTCAGGGTTCTAAATGAACTCTATGTTTCAATGTACTTTTATTCCTAAATTAGGCTTCATTGTAACCCAAATACAGAGGAATATATGTAAGAAAATAATATAGATTAAATATACTTGCTACAAATCTGTTTACAAAATACTGTATATTTCATTTCTCCTAATCATTCTGCCTGTGTATAACAACCCATTAAGGGGAAATTTCCTCCACCTGTTCCATAATTTAGTTTCTTCTTTCTCTCACCTCACTTCTCCTCATTCTGCCCTATATGTGGTTGATGTTCCTTGCTCTGTCTCTCTCTCACACTTACAGATCCATCAGGTATAACCTCAAGTGTTTCTCATAACTGCCAAGTATTTAATTTATGACATATAAACAGTATTTTCATGTATAACGTATACATATATATTTGTGAACTGTGTGTGTGCCAGATCTCACATGCATAGCTCCATTGATCCATTAGTTACTGCCACCAAGCGAAGGAAAATACAGATTTTGCATGATCACAGTTTGTTCTTTTACATTTTACAAACATGATCTCAGTAAAGTTCCATGTTTTATGAAAATCTTTATGCATGCTAGATGTCAGGACTCTACACACTTTGCACTTCATAGTTTTGCACAGCTGTCAGTATGGTATTATTGATAGGGAGAAATAAAATTTTTCAATGTTTGGATAATCTCCAAAAGTAAAGATCACTTGGAAAACATGTGTAAAGATGGGCGCACACGGTAGTGTAGTTGGTTGAGGCACTATGCTACAAGCTGGAAGGTTGCGGATTCAAGTCCCGATGAGGTCATTGGATGTTTTCAATTGACCTAATCCTTCCAGCCGTACTATGGCCCTGGGGTCGACTCAGCCTCTAACAGAAATGAGTACCAGTAATATTCCTGGGGGTAAAGGACAGCTGGAACGTAGGGCTGACAACCTTACCGACATCTATGAGCCGATTGTCTAGGAAATGTGGGAACCTCAACATCTCACAACCCTGTGGGCCTCCACAGCCTGTTACAGGGATACCTTTACTTTTTTTATATATGTATAGATGAGCGGATGATATTAAAATGTATATGTAAGAAAATAAGGTATGAGGGTGTGGGTCAGATTTGTGTGGTACAGGATGTGACCCAGTGGCAGGCTGTTGTGAATCTGGCAGTGAACCTTCGAGTTACGTAACGAAGGGGAATGACCACTAGGAAGACCAAGACATAGGTGGATGCACAATATTAAAATGGATCTTGGAGAGACAGGCTGGGATGGTATAGATTAGATTGATCTGGTTTGGACAGGGAGTGGCTGAGAGGGCTCTTGTGAGCAAGTAATGAATTTTCAGGTTCCATAAAATGCTGTGAAATTCTTGAGTAGCTGCACAATTGGTGGCTTCTCAAGAAGGGCTCAGCTCAATGAGTGAGTGAGGGGAATTTTGACTCTCTGAGTGACTATCAGCTTTTAGAAAAGTATTCTGCTGTATAGGGATAGCCTCATAATCTCATTTATTGTCAGACCAGATATTTGTAGTAATAAATGACAGTGTTGTAAGTTTGTATTACATTGGCAACCATTGTCACTTGAGATGGGAATTGTTATATTTTTCCATTGAATTCTCAAAGGGAATTCCTCTGGTTTTATACAATTTTGAGATAAATAGTTATATGAAATAAAAATCCTGATCCATGCCAGTGTTCTGGCTGCTGTGTTCCTGGTATGCAAACAGCCTGGCAAAATTTATTATGATGAGTCATGTAAACAACAGGCAAGCTTGTTACTTCTGCTCCTAGCAACAAGAACTGAAGAAACTAGTCTTGACCTTGTAAAGCACAATGGTGACTCATGCAGACCGAGAGTGTTTGGATTTGAGAGAAAGGAAGTAACAGGAGAGTGGAGAAAGTTGTATAATGAGGAGCTGTGCTCTTTACCAAATGGTACCAGGTTGATCAAATGGAGGATGAGATGGGTGGGAAATGAAGCAGACATGGGTGTGATGTGTAAAGCATTCAGAATTGTAGAGAGACTTGAAGGGAAGAGACCACTTGGGAGACCTAGAAGCAGGTGTAAGGATGGTGCTGAAATGTACCTTGAGGAAATACTGTGTAAGGATGTGGATTGAATTCAGGACGGTCCACTGGTGGTTTGTTGTGAACTGAACGGAATACTGTACCTTCAATTTCTATAGAAGATGAATTTCTTGAGCAGGTGATGGAGAATTGTCTTTTTTGTGGAAACGGAAAAGGAAACTGGAAACGGCAGTAAATTGTGCAGTTATTATGCACTCAAGTTTTCCAATAACAGAGTCCGTTTTCTTATAGGACTGTTGGCAACTGCCCATCAAGAAATTTTCACTGAAGTACAACCTGGGTGACTCAGTGGCCAGCAGCATGTTTCAGGCCCAATATGATGCCTATGTTCCCAAACTGTACAGTCAGTTCAGTTGTGTGTGTATAGAATCCTTAACTTTATACTGTGCAGATAAAGTGTGAATTCAGTCTACAAAACTCTGAACTGCAAATTGGTTGTGCCTTTTATTTAATTATATGATAAGTGTTTAACATTACTGACAATAGTGGATCAGTAACGTTAAGCAGTTGGGCTTAAAGGCAGTGAAAGCCAGGTGCAAATAAAGGAAGGCTTGTATTGTGTAAATAGTGTGGCCAACGTCAGTATTTAGTTAGACTAAAATTTCCTCAAATTAAAGATGACATAATCAAAAGACAATGAAAATGAACCTGTTGGAAAAGAGGGAGGATTTATCTTGTTTAAATCTATATTTCCTAGTGTTCCCATATTGAGATAAACAGAAATTAACATATTGTTTACTTTCACGCAAATATATAAACATAAAAAAGTCTTAGTTACTAATCAGAGAAGTTTATTGGCAAAACTCGAAAATAAGAAACTGCCAATAATTGTGTTGCTGATTCCACCCCTTGATTTGCAATCACAGCATATAGTCTTAGCAAGTGATGTAGATCACTTCGAAAATGATCCTACTTTGTATGCAGGAATGTGCTATATAATATCCTTGGCATTTTGCAGTTGGTTCTTCCAGTTGGAGGTCAAGCAGTGTGTGTTGTAGCGTGCAGTAACTGAGTGTAGTAATGCTGAAATCAGAGTGAAAATGTGTTCTGCAGAAATCAGACATTTAATGTGGGCCAGGCATAATGTAAGAGTTGGGATTCCCTAGGTAGTTTACTTAGGGGCAGTGCTAAACACAAGAGAAGTGTTTTTTCCAGCAAGGGTAGAAAATTCTTTTGGCTGCAGTATATAGACTGGCTCTGTGGCCCATCCGACCTCCTGGTTGTTGGATAATAGGAGCTCTTTCTGGTCAGTAGTAAGGAAACCAGGTTCATATAAAGGATAACATTTATCTGCAGATAGAACTGTGCATATAGCCCTTTGTGTAAAAAGTGTAACCAATGACTTCATCGGAACGCTAACCTGTGACCCAACTTGAAGCATAGTGCCTTAGCCGATTATTACCTTACGTTGGAAAAAATTCATATATATATAGAAATGGCCTAGACAATGCACATCCAGCCCTCAGTCTTAACCTGTTATTTATTTATTTTGAAAAAAATTCAAGTACCAAAATGGCCTAGGCAATGCCAATCCGGCCCCTTAACCGATAATATTTTTATTGTGAAAAATAATCGTAAATACAAAAAAGGCTTTGGCAATGCCCATCAGGCCTTCTCTTAACCGATTATTTTTTTTTGTGGTGAAAGATAACTGTAAATACAAAAAAGGCCAAGGCAATGCCCATATCTATATGATTGGTGCTGCCATCTGGGGACAAAACTACAGACTGATGACTTCGGATAACCAAATAAACCAATACTGCTAACTGGGCAATTAAAATGGCCAAATTTGCACAAGTTTTAATGTTTTTTGTGCCGTCATATCGTTGTAATAGTTACTACTAGAGTTAAAGTTACGGAGTAGCGTTTATGAACTAAGCGGACCGCACCTAGCACCCAGTTTATTGTATCGATAAACGATCATAAACGATGAAGTATAATCGATACAATTCTAAGCCAAATGGTGATGCGTGTATCTCTTAATTTACGTAATAGTTACTTTTTACAGTCCAATAATTTAATATGTGAAGTAACAGTAGAAACATGGACTGTTGTAAGTAATATGAAAAATATGAATGAGGAATAATATGTAATCTTATCTCTTTTTGTAACATTTGTTGATATTTGTAGGTTATGTTTCGTGTTATGATAACTAAAACATTGTTTTGTATTTTCAGCTTTGAGTCATAATGACACCAAATATACTGGTTATTGGAGTGTGGTGTCGAAAGCTGTGGAGCAGATTCTCCAAAGCACCCTAGTAACACGAGTATCATTTGAGCAGATGTATAGTATTGTATACAAGAGTGTATGTGATGGATTTTCAGAAAAAATGTATGCTGACTTATTGGGTCAATGCAGTCGTCATCTGGAGCATGTGGACCACTCATTGCACACACATAAACAGGAGTCCGATCAGCAACAGGTGGGCATTTAGTTTCTATATAGAATGTAGTTGTACTGAAACTGTAAATTTTAGCTTTCATTTTCCACATCTTGATAGTGCTTCCAAAACATTAATGCTCATTGTTAAGTTGTTTCTATAATATTAGACATTTGAACCTTAGCAACAAATCCATGGGATCGTGTTATGACACATAGGTTAGATTGTGAATATATCAGAATATAGTTAATAAAGTGCCCCTTAGAGGAGATCAGTCCATTCTATCAGTTGAATTGCTTTGTGTTTGAGACCATCATGAAGTTCAAGGAGGGGAGGAAGGCATTTTTATAATATCAAAATTTAGGTTAAGGCTGTATGTTGAAATCTCTGTAGATCATAATACACGAGATATATTTCTGTGGGCTGTACTTCCTTTAGAATCTCATATATAAAGATACACATTATGGAATTTCACATATGGACCTTTATGATGATGTGCATACCGTTGGCTTGGCTTGTCATCCAAACACAGTCTCACCTATCTGAAATTCCATCTGAATATAAATGAACACACATGACTGAATACAGAAACAGATAAATGTAATTTCATACAGTCAGTTCTCTTGATGCTCTGGTGAGCGTCTTGCATAAGATTTTGCTGTTTTTCAATATCTTGTTAATTTGTTTTATTTTTATATATAGCATAATAGGCGGTTTAATAGTTACAACATAATGTAATGTGTTCCTGATGATCATGTTTCATTTGAGACAATAAATTTAGTGATTTCTATTTCTTTTCTTAATTTTAAGTTGTTCAGGAGCATAACTCCTAATCATATAATTGTGCTTATTGGAAATAGTGATTTTCATTACAGAATTTTGCTTTATGCATTCTCCTCTGGAACATGGCTATTCACTGGGTAGGAACTGCCAAAACAAAACAAACTCTGTGGTTTTAGTCCGCAAGCGAACTATACTGACCAAGCAACTGCCGCTTGTCGGTGAAGTTAGTGCCAACTGCCTGTGTAACATAATTCACATATTCATGTTGTTTGATATGATTCAGTTCCTTCTTCATAATGTGATTTTTGTAGTTTCACTTCACATGGTTTGTAGAAGTTGAATCGGTGTGTATTGAGGAAGAAATAAATATAAATTGTGTTGTTGTACCCTCAAATTTTACTGGAGTATATAAGCTGAATACGTTTGTCCTATTCATCTTGATGTCAAGTAGGAGTAACTTAACTCCATGGAGTAGAGCCCGTCAAGAGTCCAATAATCTTTTATTTGATCAAGCAATTCCCAGCATTTTATTGGATACATTCATTGTCACATTCACAAGAGCCTCTTGTGAATCCTTATCATGAGCCAGATGAATTCAGATCATATCCTTCCCCATTATTTTGCTGACCATTTTAATATTATCCTACCGTATGCACTGAAGAGTAAAATAATCTCCCCCCTCCTCCCAAGTATACCAAAGAAGGCTCATTCCTTCTGGTTTTCCTACCCAAATTTTGTATGCATTTCTCTTGTCAGACAAGTGAAATATGTGAGTAAGAGATTAGGTTGGTATAGGGGTAATACTCTATATTTATATACAGGAGGTGTTCGGGACATCATCTGCCTACCCCAGCTGAGGATTTTATGCATTTCCTCAGTCGGACAGCGTCTCAGTTGCTTGCTTTGTTCAGATTTTTCCCTAATTCATCATTCGTCCTACATAGCAGCATCATATCCACACTAAAACCTTCCCCAACCCTGATGAAGGAGGCAGAGGAAGTCTTGGAAATATTGGTTTTTACCTGAACCATGGTGCAGCTAATCAGCTCACAAGATTTTAGTGCGTTTGTGTGCCGTGAAAGCTTTGGATGTTACTTACATTTCTCTTTCCTTCAATTTCAGGACGGTGATATGACCAAATTCATTATGTTTTTCCATGAAGCACTGGAATCATATTTATCTGCTGTTCAACAGATCACTCCAATATTTGCATATATGGTTAGTACTTCAAGTTTCATACATGTGTGTTGTGTGTGTGACGGAGAGAGGTTACTTAGGAGAGACTCATTGCATTTTAATGACAGAAATATTTTGTTTTCATGACATTAAAGAGTCATTGTGTTGTGGTCTCCCCCCGAAGTTGTCTCCACCTTGTGTTGGTGGGGCTTGTGTGACTGTGACCTGGAGAGCTATGCCAGTGGTAGTTTAACTACCGGTAGGGTCACCCATGCCAGAAGCATCAAATGGTAGACTCCAGAGTAAGAGAGATACCCTGGTCCTGCAAGTTGGGGGCTGGGCATGAGGCTAACAACCTCATCCTGTAAAAAGAATTTTGTTCAGAAACCTAACAGCCAGCCTCGGGTCATCATGCATGGCAGCACGCATTGGTTGTGGAGACTGGTTGTAGAGGAGGCCAAGGCTCACCCAGGACTCTAGTGCTGAGTGGTAGGTATAGAACCTGTGGAGTTTCATTCTGTTGTTTGTGTGGGCTCAGGCAACTCAGGGTGTGTGTATATATGTATGTATTGTGTTCTGGGTTATGGAGCCACATTTAATGTGGAAGTGAAAGTGAAAATGGAGACAGGATGTTCCTGTGAAGTAGTGGTATGCACCTACCCAACTTTTCTTGAGTTGTAACCAGAGATATCACAATAAGACAAGTAGATTGTTTGTGGAGATTTTCAGAATGACCTCAGTCATGCCTCATGATCGCATTACTTTATTTTCTGCTTTACAGAACAAATTTTATGTTGAGGTGACACTACGGACGTCATTACAGGTGCAGTTACTAGACTTGTTCCGACAGAAAGTAGCAGATAGTCGTATGGACACCATTATGGGTAAGAGAGCTAGTTGCTAATGTTGTGATTTTGGTACAAGACAGAAAAATTAAGCAGGGTTATATTACGCAAAGTCTGAGGTTCTTATGGCTTTGACGATGAGAGAACTTTCTCCTGGGATGTGACACTGTGTCATCTGTTAAAAGTTTAGTCTTCTCACTGCTTGCATTTCTCTGTGTAGCTCCCAGTCTCCACGATCTGTACCGTTTTATCTGTGCTTGGCTTACTCTTTAGCCCTAAAGAAGTAGAGTGTATGTTCCTATGAAACGTTTTTCATCTTCTACCAGACTGCACAGCTTCACATTTTAGAAGATAGCACTGTTCAATATTATATCAATTAATTTTACTGCCTCCTGGGATATATTGCCATGTAGTCAGGTTGGTAGGTACCAGCAATTCAGAATAGCCTGGTACCTTCATCTGTAGGACAGTATACAGATAAAACTATGCTTAATTAAGCATCATGCAGTGAAGATGTATGGAGGAATGTATGTATACTTGTAGCTCCATACATTTGTCAACTCGCCAGTAGATGTAGGTGAGTGGTCAGTTGAACACCTGGGCTGGTCACTCTCAGTGAAAGAGCCCCCAGTACCCACTGAATAGAAGGCTGGATGGGCCCCAGAGCTGGTCTGGGTGCTGTAGAGAGCAGAAAGAATGTCTGTCCCTTCCTGGATATGAACCTTTAGGCTAGTCACCAAGAGCGTAGAATCTTTAGCTATTTTTCTCTGTATGTAATGGCGCTGATAGCAGCTGAAACGGCAGTGTCGAATGGTGGGATGATCAGAGAGTGGTGATTTGGAAAATATGTGGAAGGAAGCGGTTGTGACCTAGTGTGAGATAGTGTGATGTCATTTGCCTGGAGGTTAGCATGAAGAAGCACAGCTGCGATGGCCTGTCCCCAGGCCAAGATTTGAGGTCGCAGGAGGGCTACGTGCTTGGGCATTTGTCTTCTTGTTTGTTTGCGTCCTTTAAGGCAGAATCACCCAACAGATATTGTGCCTAATACTAATCAGTGTTGCCATATTTCAGGAAGCATAGAAGATCTGCTGGAGCGACCATTTGCGCTTTCTCCTGCTGCCATGTCTTTGCTGTTCCGAAATCTTCATTGTATTGGGAGAGGAGACTATGGTCGACGGTATCCTAAACTCTTTTCACGCTACGTGCCAGGAATTCTGCCCCCGATGTTAGAGAGTGACATAGCAGCGCACATTGCTGAAACGCATGAGCTGCAAAGCAGGTTGCTTGCTCAGGGAGGGGCAGGTGCCATGCAACAGGGACAGAAAAGGAGGGGAGACGATGATAACTATGGTCCGACATTTTGTGCTGCTGTTGCGAGTCAACAGCAATCAGCAGTGCCACCAGATGTGTAGTTAGGCCACTCCCGAAGTGGAACCATGGCAGGATAACAGCTTCACTTCATTCTGATGCTAGACAACATGAAGGCGAGGTTATCGCACGTACTTAATGGTACGTATCGCTACATAGATCAGTCAGTATTTTATTCCTGGGAATTTATAAAGCATAACATATATTGTACAGTAAACTGTATTAATTTTATACCAGCTTTTGCCATGTATAGAATTTGTTAATATTAAGCTTTAGTTCGCAGTCGTATATGTAATGCTATGTGAATTGTACCCCACACAAACTCTTCTTCTGGTGTTCTCATGTGTTCATTTAAACCCAAAACTGTGATGTTTGCTGCTGATGCATTTGTTACAGCAAATTACATGTGGGTTTATATTGATATGGCTTAAATTGCCTTTCGGTGTGTAATATCTGTAATTGTTTGTGTTTATGATTTTTAAATATCATTACAGGAAATTCTTGTAATTTTATGTTTTTAAAATTCTGTAGTTTATTAAATTTTTGTTTGCATAAAATGCTGGGAAGTTTTTGAGTAGCTGCACAATTGGCAGCTTCTTAAGAAGGGTTCGGCTCCATGAATGAGTAGTTTGTTAAATATCTGTTCCTTTTCTGAGCACTCACATTTCCTTCTGTTAAAGTTTTGTTGTGAAATAACTTATGTATTTGTGCAGTGTATCCCCCAAATGTGTGCCTCGGAACACTGGTGCGCTATAATGGCAGTAGAAACGTGCCGTGCCATTTATCTGCGTATCATGTATGCAAAATACGGTGAGAATTTATAAAATTCATAAGAATGGCATTGTAATGGGTATTTGTAATGTTTGAGAATGGTTGAACCACACAGTTTTCTGGCCCAACTTCTAATTGCAGTTGTAGGAGCATTTATGCCTTGTGGCATGTTACCAACAAAAAGTCTTGAAAATGTCTCTGTTACCTCTGCTGTTCTTGTCTGTACATCCATCTGTCTGCATGTAACAGAAACTGCTAAATGGGCTTTCATGAAATTTGTTATTAGCCAGTTCTGCTGTTATTTACCAACACATTTCAATTTTGATTGGAACGAGACAGCAGTAAGCTACGTATTACGTTTCTTGTAAGTGCTGAAGACATTCACCATGTGGGTGGAAATGTCACATCTCCCATACATGCAAAATCTGTGTCAGTAGCCCTTCCAGACTTTATGGGGCTCTTGTAAGTACCACAGGAGTTCACAAGCTCTTATCTATTCAAGGGTGAATGTCTGACATATGAACACTGGAGCGACTTGTGTAGCGAGTCAACGTCTGATAGGTTGACACCTGACTGACTTGTCAGGTGGCTGAATGTCTCATATATCACATATTTGTATTGAGGAGCCGTTTTGGCACCCATCATGAGTGCTTAACCCAGACAAAGCTGTTCTGCACTGCATGGTTTCAGTAGTACCTTTATATGAACAATCCAGGTACCAAATTTATTTTCCTGTGCATACAGCTGTTCTGGCCATGTGCAACAATTTATTGACACTCTGAACTCACCTAGCAAAATGTTTTCTTCTGCTTTACTGTGGCATCTCTGTTAGGAGGCTTGATTTTCAGCCTTATAATGTGTGGGGGAGTGAAACAGTTCTTTTGATTGGAATGACGTGGCATGCAGTGACAGATTGCTGCCAGTGATCTATAATTTACTTTGTTCATATGAAGCTGGGGGCATATGATAGCGTAGTTGGTTGAGGCACAATGCTACAAGCCGGAAGGTTGCGAGATCAAATCCTGATGAGGTGGATTTTTTCAATTTACCTCATTCTTCCAGCCGCACTGTGGCCTGGGGCCGACTCAGTCTCTAACAGAAATGAGTACCAGGAAACTTCCTGGGGGGTAAAGGTAGGCCGGCGCGTAAGGCTGACAACCTCACCGCCATCTGTGAGCTAATTGTCTAGAAAATGTGAGAGCCCCAACGTCTCACAACCCTATGGGCCTCCACGGCCTGTTACGGGGATAGCTTTACTTTTTTTATTTACTTTACATGATGATATGAAGCAGTCTTACAAATGTAGCAGGAAAGCAAAGTGGTGATATACATTGCTAGTGAATATGATGATGTAAAGGTCAGTGGTAGATTATTTTCCATTTTATGCCTTTTCTTTGTTCTGTACTTAATGCGTTCAGTAGAACCAGTATCTGCAGTCAGTATCATTGGCCCTTTGAAGTGTATGCACAGAATGGTGTTGAAGAGCAGTGTGCTGATGTTGACCCTGAAGAAGAGATCAAAGATATTGTACTTCAGGTTTCATCATCTGGTGAAATTAGCGAAACTTTAGAGTGGTGCCAGGAACTTCTGTCTGGTCAGGCAGATGTGCACAAACCAGTTTGTGAGAGAGCGAAATTTGAAGAAAGTAGTCTTCTGGGATTTGGCACCGTGTATATGTGGTGCTTTTACCGGTTCTCATGGTCTCTTCACTTGCAGATTTCTTATATTTTTTCTTCTACCCTGAAGATGGAGGCGATACGTTCCTCCGAAACGTCGGTTAACACCACATATACGCGGTGCCAAATCCCAGAAGACTACTTTCTTCATAGTCACCGCCGTGAAAGCCTCAAATCTTACATAGCGAAATTTATTGAACAAAACTGTTGGTCATATTATTTCTGAAATTTCACAATCTGCTGATTTCTTTTTCCTATATTTTAGACCATCCTTCTAGTTATTGTAAAAGAGAACCACTGCTGTATGCAGCAAGATGCACTAGCAGGAAACAAACCAGACATTCCAGATCTCCAGAAAATAAGCAAGAAGAATGTAAATGCATGTCTTGCAATTAGATTGAGGTCGGTCATGACTGCAAGACTAGTGTGAAACTGTAATGCACCAACTGCCATGTTCCTTCCTGTTCCCTGTCTTATGCAATGTGGTCATTTCTCAAGATCATGAAATATACCAGGAAATGACGGTGAAGATTATGATTATGACATTGGAAAATTAGATGAGTATTTGACGTCCTAATTTTCGGAAATGAATCGTCCATCAGAACATATGGCAGTGGACAAAGTAAGTGTAAAATTGAGAGGGTAGGTCACCTTTTAGCAGTGCATTCCAAGAAACATAAAGAGATTTCATCTAAAATGTATAGACTTTGTAAGAGGTATGATTACACTCATGTCATGAGCGTGTACCGTGCGAAACAGAAAACTGGCCGACACTGAAGTAACGTGGAATCATATTGGAATTGGTTTAGAACTTCAAAGGAGTTGGGTGCAAGAATTAATGGAAAAGTACTTAAGCTCAATGAAGCTTTTCAGTGATTTGCATCAAAGGAATTCAATACATGTGACACAGTTCATCACAACAGGAAGTAGATACCACCCAATTTCAGTACTGAAAACATATCGCCAGAAGGAGGAGACATTGCATGTAGAACACAAGAAAATCTAAAGGCTATACATATATGTTCTTTCTAATATGCACATTCCACCTGTGGAGGGGAAAACTTCAAGGAAGAAGCAGCGAAGCAGCTGGTCATTGAAGACTGTGTAACATGCAGGGGTTATGTTGACTTGAGTGACGGGATGGTGAACAGCGTCACCAGGAGAACCTGGAAATGCATGATGAATTTGTATGTTTTCTACAAGTCCTGTGGGGCAATCTGTTTGGTTTACCCTGTAAAGGGTATACTGAAATGTGTGGTATGCCAAAGGTTTGACCTAGCAGAGGCTAGACTTAGTAGACTTCAAGTAAAATAACCCCTTGCATTGACTGGCTAATGTAAAAAGTGTTGTTGTATGTGCCAAATGAAGAGAACAGTGTGTCACTGCAAGAAGTGTGACTCTGATCTGTGTGTTGTTCAGTGCTCCTAGCTGGGATGTGCCAGAATCTAATTGTCGCTGTGACTAATTGTACTCATCAGACAGACTGTACAGCATTGTAAAATTATCCAGAAAAAGAAAAGGTAAGAAAGAAATGTGTGTACTGCTGGCATAAATCACAACTGATTATTGTTTGGCTTCAAGTCATTCTTATTAAGAACTAAAGGTTTTATGGGCTGGTCTAGAAAACCGAAATTTACGGCCATGGGGATTCATTGAGGTGACCATGCGACACTCTCTTTAGTTAGTTGGCACTAACTTCGCCGACAAGCGCTCGGTCGGTATAGTTTGCTTGAGGACTAAAGCCATGGAGTTTGTTTTAAAGGTTTTATGGGACCGAATTTTCACTGGTGTTTGGTTGGTGACTCCTTTGTAAATATGTGAGGTTTGAGGTTTTCAAGGCAGTGACGATGAAGGTTATTATTGTCTGTCTGGCAGCTGCTACCGCTGTATCAGAAGGAACTGTTTGCCCTGCACTATAAAGATGGATGCAGCAGGTTTCCACAAAGAGTGACTTTCTAGCAGAATCCGATTGAAAAGGGGGACTAATCTGGTATACAGATGGTTCCAAGACAAATAAAGGCACTGGAGCTGGGGTGTATTGTGATGGAACAAGGCGGAAACGTAGTTTTGGCCTTGGTCAGTACACAACAATATTCCAGGCAGAAATGCATGCCATTAAGGCATGCACAATTGAGAATTTAGATAGAAACTAATCCGATTGAAAAGGGGGACTAATCTGGTATACAGATGGTTCCAAGACAAATAAAGGCACTGGAGCTGGGGTGTATTGTGATGGAACAAGGCGGAAACGTAGTTTTGGCCTTGGTCAGTACACAACAATATTCCAGGCAGAAATGCATGCCATTAAGGCATGCACAATTGAGAATTTAGATAGAAACTAATCCGATTGAAAAGGGGGACTAATCTGGTATACAGATGGTTCCAAGACAAATAAAGGCACTGGAGCTGGGGTGTATTGTGATGGAACAAGGCGGAAACGTAGTTTTGGCCTTGGTCAGTACACAACAATATTCCAGGCAGAAATGCATGCCATTAAGGCATGCACAATTGAGAATTTAGATAGAAACTAATCCGATTGAAAAGGGGGACTAATCTGGTATACAGATGGTTCCAAGACAAATAAAGGCACTGGAGCTGGGGTGTATTGTGATGGAACAAGGCGGAAACGTAGTTTTGGCCTTGGTCAGTACACAACAATATTCCAGGCAGAAATGCATGCCATTAAGGCATGCACAATTGAGAATTTAGATAGAAACTAATCCGATTGAAAAGGGGGACTAATCTGGTATACAGATGGTTCCAAGACAAATAAAGGCACTGGAGCTGGGGTGTATTGTGATGGAACAAGGCGGAAACGTAGTTTTGGCCTTGGTCAGTACACAACAATATTCCAGGCAGAAATGCATGCCATTAAGGCATGCACAATTGAGAATTTAGATAGAAACTAATCCGATTGAAAAGGGGGACTAATCTGGTATACAGATGGTTCCAAGACAAATAAAGGCACTGGAGCTGGGGTGTATTGTGATGGAACAAGGCGGAAACGTAGTTTTGGCCTTGGTCAGTACACAACAATATTCCAGGCAGAAATGCATGCCATTAAGGCATGCACAATTGAGAATTTAGATAGAAACTAT